TATAACTATAAAGAGTGATTACAGACTGTAGACATCTTAATTCTATAATTCTACAGAATTGATAAAAGAATGAAAAATTTCTCACAATTCTATAGTATTAAAGAATAATGATTTATAAGAATAAGTGAAAGATTAACTCATAAATACTTCTCTTTAATAAGAATAATCTTATAGAGAGTGATTCATCTGTGAGATAAATCTGTATAATAATTATATAAGAATCTCATGAAAATAATTAAGAGTTAATCAGAACTCTTCTATATAAAAGATATAAAATAAATCTATATAATAGTCAGAGAAGAATCTGTAGATTATAAAGAATCTTATAGAATAAGAAACTAAGTAACAGACTCTTTTTTCTTTATAGTAATAAGAGATTTTTCCTCACTAAGATTTTTTATAGATATGAAGAATTTTTAGTGAGTATTACTACAGTACTAAGCTGATTCTATGAAATCACTCAGTGAAAGAATTCACAGACAAAGTCTTAGAGAGAAAAGAGTATATAAGAAATTTCACTTCTCACAGATTCTTTATCTCTATTTCTATCTCTTATATAATTAATAGAGCTAGTGACTCTTGACTATATATAACTATATAGACTGGAGTTTATAAATACTATTCATAACTCAGCTTAAATGCTATTATACATTTAATCTCTACATTTTATCTTTTTACTGTGAATACTTTTAGTAGTTAATAGTACATATCATACTAAGCTGCAAATATCTGAATAATCATCTGCAAGCACTTATTCTTACAAATAGTTAACTGTATAAATATAGGAAAAACTCTGAGAACTTTTAGTTCTCAGATAGATATTATAGTCTCTGACTGTATATATCTATAATTGAAGAATAATAATAATAATAATTATAAGATTAGATTAAATAAAATTAAATAAGAAATTTATAGTCTTATTAATCAGTTTAGTAATTATAAACTCTTATAAAAAATTACATAGTAGTTAACTTTTTATAATAAAATTAACTATTTCAAGAACTTCTTTATTAAAAATAAATATTAATACTAATATAAATATAACAGAAAATAATAATAAAAAAAATTTAAAGAATTTGAAAAAAATTAAATAAAAATATAATAAATTTTCAATAGAGAATAATTTTTAATAAATAAGATATTTTTTAAAAATTAATAATTATATAAATAAAAATCAGTGATATTATTAATATAATTCTGTTTATAACTTGTTTACAATGATTTCACAGCTTATTCACTATTATATAATTATTAAGATTTATAATTCAGTGACAGTGTCACTAACTAGTATAGTGAAACAATCATAACTCAGTCATATAATAAGCCTACTTTTTTCCAGTATAATGACACTACAGGCGGTCACGTGAGAGTGTGCATTTTTTCAATCAATTATATCACAGAATAAGGTCTACAAGATCGCACCTTCTATTATAATCAGGTTTTGAAAGCAGTATCTAACATATTGTTTCGCTTCGCTCCGTAAATAATTGATGACATGTAGACTGACTGTCAGAACTATGAATTTTATATTTAATCTCATTTAATCTGATCTTATACATTTCTTGATGTGAATTCTACTGAGACTGACTATTAAAAAAACAGATAAAGTGACTATATATCAGATCTTAAAATGAAATCATGACTTGAAAAAAATGAGAAAGTGATCTCATTTAATTTCATTTAGTCTCATTCTTGATATAAAGTTACTATTTTTAGACATTTTAAGATTTTTTTTAGACTATTTTTAATTTTTTAAAAAGTAACACTTTTTAATAACACTTAAATGAGATTTAAAGTCATTTAAAGCAATAAAAATAATTTAAATTGAGAAGTGAAAATCATGATCTCATTTGAAAAATGTGACAAGAGTAGACAGTAAGTCTCACTGAGACAGTATGAGACTACTATCTAATGTTAAAACTGTGTAATGGGATCAGTCGAATTGGTAATGGGACTATCAAAAAATCTGGTCCTGGTCCCAGACACGGTCACACGGTCAGTCTAATGACATGTGACACACATGGAATGATGGATTCAAAGTGGAATCAGTGAATCACTGAGAAATGAGCCCTACGAGAAGTCAACCTCGACAAATCGAAGAAAAACAACAAAAATAAAGAAGAAGAAAAAAGTACCCATCAATCAACCCGAGGCGGCGTCAAGTTCGCATGGCATTTCCACCACGCCTTCATCCGTGATGTGATGCAGACAAAGGCAGGTTGAAAATGGTTCACCACTTGCTCTTGTCTGCACTCTGGTTTAAATTAAATACCTTGCGACCATCCCCCTCTCACACGGGTCTTTTTAGGAGTTTCGGTGCTGATTATTATATATATTATTGTTATTCCTATCTGTGATAGTATTTCCGAGGGAGAATCATCCAATTTCACCCCTACCCTACCAATGATTTAAGTTGCCTTTCCCTCCCTCCTTTGAAGCAGATAACTACGTCAACAGAGGTAGATTATCTTGTGCTTTTTGTCAAAAAATGGCCACCGACTCCCAGAACACTACCCTAGACATTGATCATGGCGAAACTAATTCCAGCTTTGGAGGTGACCTATAACTTTAAGATATATACCTTTTTTTTAGAATTCCTTTTTAGAATTCCTTTTTAATATTTTATATTTCAAAGAATTATGGCCGAAATCCATCTTCCATTACTTCCATCTCAAAATTGTCAACTTAAGAAGCGCACGAGTGCCCACCACCATCAATTATATACTTATCCCCCACCTGTGCTTCAGATGGCGACATGAACACTAACCAAAATCTCCCGCGGGAAAATACAAATTAATATAGAGAGAGCTAAACCACCTCAGTTACATCAAGCATATATAAATATCGCCTTGAGCAAGGGAGAAGATACCATGGCTATAAAGACGGCGCCTACTATGCCCCTAATGACGAGAAGGCGAACGAGGTCTTAGACATGTCCCATCATTCGTATCTCCTCATGCTGAATAAGAAGTTATTTCTGGCGCCCGTTGAGAAACCTCAGGTATATTTGCAGTTCTCCAGTCTTTGGTTCTTCCCGTACATTTTGTACAGTTCACCGATGTCATCGAGGTCGATTTTGCTGTTTGTTTGGTTTTGGGGGTCGCCTGTGACTGGGAGAATTGGGCGATGTTGGAACCATATAAAAGCGCCATTGGTGGTTATGTAGTAAGGAGATATGCTAACTATGTTATGCTACGGATAGACAGTCCTCGATCTCGGAACTGGAACGGGTATGTTGAGACGATATGTTTCCTATGTTCCCCCTTCCCATAAGTGTTTTGTAACTAACTGCAAACCCCCCCCCCCCCCCCCCCCCCAAAATAATGTCCCACCAAGTAATAGAGGCGTCTTGAGTCGCGTATTAAAAAAAAAAGAAAAAAGAAAAAAAGAAAAAAAAAAAAAAAAAAAAGAAAAACTAGGCATCTACGCAGGTATGCCCCGGTGTTTTCATTAGTGCCGCCCTAATATTTTAGTGGCATTCTAACATTCATTCTCGGGGGATCCGTGGCATTCTCGCGTTTGAGCGCGTTTTTCATTATGAAGCAGAATACATAGAATCAATGTAGAATCATATTAATATCTAGTATAGCCACCACCTGCCTGTATAACAGCCTGACAGCGAGCTGGCATCTCTGCTATAAGTTCTTGTAATTGCTCCTCTGTTATAGCATCCCAGACAGCTCTAATCACTTGTTAAAGTGTATTAGAAGAAAGATTCTTCTCATCTCTATGATTCTCTTGTATTCACTGCTTCATAAGATTCCATACAGATTCAATTGGGTTCAAATCTGGTGAATATGGCGGCCAATCTATATAGAGGTGATTTCATGTTCTTGAAGATCTTGAGAAGTCTCTGCTGCAGCATGCCCTGGAGCTCCATCTTGTATTAATTTCAATCCAGGATTCATCTGTATCCAACCATGGATAAGAGGGACTATACATTCGTGATAGGAGGTCTAGAAGGAGAATAGATTAGCACTATTTCTAGAATATTGTTAATCAATCATATTATCTTGTTGATGAATCTTACCTTGTTAATGATTCCTCAATCCTTTTCCCAGAATAAGCAGGGTCTCTTTGTAATTTCATTAAAAGCTCCCCAGAACATCCACCCCCGTTTTCTCTGAATCTTATCCATTATACAGGTAGGATCAAGTGCTTCTCCTGCTCTGTGAGTTACCCAGGTTCTTGTATAGTGGCCAGATTTAACCCAAGTCTCATCAGTTCAAAGAATGACAGATCACTGCTCAAATATTCAATTCTGATGCTTCAATACTCACTGAAGTGAAATACTCTGAACATGTATGAATAGAGGTGACTTTTGTAGAGCTATTCTGTGAGAATAACCTCTTCTCTTTAGTGCTCTTCTCAGACACTTCTCATTGACCTCAAGATGAAGAACAACAATGAGCTTTTTATATGACCTTTGACAGTTGATTTTGAAGACAGAGATGAATTCTATAATCTTATTCATCTGCTCCTCAGAAAGTTGACTAGGACAGCCAGTATGCTTCTTAGAAGTAGCTATTTCATTTTCACAGGTGTATTGAACTCCATGATAAGTAATCTCAAGATGATCAGAGATCTTTTGATAGGTCCAATTCAGTCTGTGAAGAAGAAGGATATCTTGATGTTGATCGCGGGTCAATCATTTTGGAGGAGTAGCAGGAGGTTCAGGAGGTTCTGATGGTGGAGGTGCAATAGCAAATAAGTCCATATTGAATCAGAGAATGATAATAATGAGTATAGGAATCGCGTACGTATGGAATAAGAATAATGAATGAGAAGCTTGCTTCTTATATTATATGAGGATATTTAGAGACGCGGCACCCCAGAATGAACATTAGAATGCCACTAAAATATTAGGGCGGCACTAACGAAAACACCGGGGCATACCTGCGTAGGCCATCGATTTCGCCGAAGAGCACCCACAAGCCAGAGTAATCGGCACCGACCTATCCCCCACCCAACCCACCTGGGTGCCCCCCAACGTCTCCTTCATGATCGACGACTTCACCGAATACCCCTGGACCTGCGAGGACAACTCGATGGATTTCATCCACGCCCGCGACCTCTTCGCTTGCGTGCCCGACTGGTCTCAGTTCCTCGCGCAGTGCTACCGAACCACCAAGCCCGGTGGTTACGTGCAGGTGTTCAACCGGGCGGTGTGGCTGGAATGCCACGACGGCTCGATCCCCGCCGCCGAGAAGCACGCGATGAAGCGCGAGTTCCGCGAAGCGGGCGAGCGGCTAGGGAAGACGGCGACGATCATCGAGCGGCAGCGCGAGGAGATGGAGAAGGCGGGCTTTGTGGACGTCACGGAGACGAAGTTGAAGATGCCCCTGGGCACCTGACCGAAGGAGAAGGCGCTCAAGGAGGCGGGTAAGTTTTATTATCTGGAGTGTCTGCAGGGGGTGGATGGGTGGGCGTTGGCGCTGTTGACGTGGGTGATGGGTTGGGATGTGAGGGAGGTGCAAGTGCTGCTGGCGAAGCTGCGGGAAGCCATGGCGGATCGGACTTATTCATTCGTATGTGCCTCTTTCGATTGTGTATGGACGGAAACCGACGGCGTGAAAGGGCTGTGAATAGAGGTTTGTGTGTTTGTGCACTCATGGAAACCCGTTGAAACGGGAAATACATAGTGGACACGATCCGCAATTATCTAGGGGTTGAAAAGCGACGGCGCCAAAGGCTACTGCGCCGGAGATGAATGCCCCAGCGGGCCGCGGGTGACAGAAAAAGTTAAAAATTAGGCGTTGGTTAGGTTAGCCTTAGAGATATCCCACAGCAGTTGAATTAAACTAGAATCTAGCGAGAGGGCTTGAAAGTTGAGAGGATCTGGCAGGTTAGAAAGCGCCTATTTATGTGAAATGGGAACCGTTCTCAAGAACAAAAAGTCGTGATTTGAATTATTTTCTGTTCTTGTCAGGGTACGAAAGAAAATATTACATTTGCTGGTGTCCGACTCTCTCAAGGCCATGTTTTATATATGTTATTTCCAGCGACGCCATGAATGCTAAGTGAACACACTTATGTATGAACTCCAGCACCTATTAGTTTTATAAGATCATTAATCACCTCAATTTGGCAGTTCGATTCTGGCCCATCTTAACCAGGCAGAGTTTCTTCATTGGGGGGAGCTATTAATAAGAAATAAATAAATAAATAACAGTCATGCTAACCCTCAGCTCCCTCTTATACCCTAGAAATGAAAGAAACCGAACCCTAGCAGGTCCGTAAATTTGCCTGGAGATTTCAACACACAACACCAGCAGGCAATTGGGCCCGTATCGTCTCCTTTTTTCCCCTCCCAGTCTCCTGGGGTATTTATGTTTCAACTGCCAGGAGGACAACAGGAGCATGGATTATGTATATTAACCTGTGGCTTCCCAAGAGTTCATTGCTGTTCAGTGTGACTGTTCATAGCAAAATTTGCATCTCATACTTCTTTAAAAAAATGATGGATGGATTTTATGGCCATTATAGAGATAGACATGTCTATAATTCTTTATTTTGCTGAAGGAGGGTAATTAAGATAAAAAACATTACGGAGTAAATATTAAGTTATTATCTCCAGCCACCCATAGCTCTAGTGTTTGTCCACAACAGACTCTTTCAAGTATGGAGTGATTAGTTAAATGTTCTCTCCTTTGTATATCAAGAAGTTCTGTGAAAATTCAAGGCCAACTTTTTTCTTGAGCTTGAGGGGTATTAGATTTGGCTCTGGCCCAAAAGTATGACCTTCAACAAAAGGGCTGATATATATGAAGCAGAGAAAGGTATTTCAGGTCTGCTTGTTGTCTATGATGACAAGGCTGTGCCTGGCTCAAAAGGCACGTCATCGTCAAGACATTTCAAAGGGCTTCTTTCTTTCATTCAGGGAGAATGTTGTGGTATTTTTAGCACTGCGCTCAAGCCTCAAGTATATAAAACACACAAAGATGAAGAATCCTGGACAACTCCTTGAAGTGTAACAGAAATAAGAAAACAGATAAATAGATAAAAAGCGCAACAAGGAAGAGTAAGGGAAAAAGAAAGTAAAATTACTGTACCATGTCCAGGAATGAAAGAGCCCCTTTTCTCCCAGAGCAATAGTTAAGAACAACAACAATAGCATCTAAACTGCTCTTTTGTATCCAGGCCAACACTAGGATAGGTTGCTTGGTTGGTGTCCATTGTTTCTCAGCCCCAGCCAAGTAGGAATCATAATATTGGATCGAACGATTCAGATGAGGAAGTGCAGGCCTAGAGCACAAGGTCTTTTTGCACATCCATACGCATACATATATACATATATGCTGCTGCACAATACTTCCAGTCCATCAAGCAAGCGAGGAGCTTCCTTCTTCCATGATTTGGTCAAGTCAATAATGAGTGTTTTGGTTTCATTGTTCCTCAAACCGCATCCAGCCCCTTGTGGGGGGTGGTTGTGTTGGGGGTATTTTTGGAAACAACGCCGCGCCGTATGTAACTTTCAATACACAGCCCTGTACCATACATATATAGGTCTTCTTCCCAGGGTCGGGTAACATCCGTACGCGCGTAAAATATCATGTGAAATACAGTACCAGTAAGGTTACGCGGTGGAGACGGGGATGGGCTTATATAAGCAGACTTTTCTGGAACACGCCCAGTCCAGATCCGGAAAGTCTTGGCTGTCAGAACCCCCATCGCTTCGCCCATCGCTTCAATCAACTTCCAACTACTTCATCAGCTTCATTTCGTTTCCCATCCTCCGCCTTTGCCTCTATCCCCCAACTGCTATCCCCGTGATACCCGCCGTGTGCAGTCCAGAGACAAGACATCCCCAGACACACCACAACATCGCTCTCGACGTAACGCTTTTATCTTTGCTGGCCAACGAAAAAAAGATCGCTGTTGTTATCCAACTGCCACGCAACCGGCCCCTTCTTAATCGCTGTTACCTAGCCCTTCACATTCCTCATCAGCCATGGCCGACCGTGAACAACCCTACGATCCTTATATCCCTTCCGGATCAAACCAACCGCCAGGAAACAGTGCAAATGGTGGAAATCAGAGAACAGCAGCGCTCCAAGCGGTGGGTTCTATTCCCCCTCCCCCCCTCTCCTTCGTGTAACTGTCCGGCGTGCGCGGCTCAGGTCAACATCCGTTCAATTTGCGATCGCAGGAAACTACTTCGCCTAAATCGAGAAGGTTCTGCGCCGTTATGGCCCTCTTTCGCAAGTCGATGGACTTGATTCTATCCATCGATTTGTGGGAGAAGGAGAGAGAGAGCCTTTTCCCCTCTCCGATTTAGCCAACAATAATTCGCTCTTACTTCTTTAAAAAAATCCATTTCGCTGACCTTCATTATCCTTGTCGTTTCTCTCCTTCTAGCAAATCGATGATACCGTCGGCGTAATGCGCGAAAACATCAATAAAGTCTCGCAGCGCGGCGAAAATCTCGATTCGTTGCAAGACAAGACCGATAACTTGGCTGTTTCCGCCCAGGGATTCCGTCGCGGCGCCAACAGAGTGAGAAAGCAGATGTGGTGGAAGGACTTCAAGATGCGCATATGCATAATTGTCGGCATCATTATTCTGCTTGTTATTATTATTGTGCCTTCTGGTATGTGACATTCCCTTTCTCCCCCCACTCTCCTGGATGGCTCGGATATCTCCAGCACTGTCTTTTTATCACCTTGGCGGACGTTGTTTTGGTGCGTAGAAACTTTAATAACTAACTGTACTTTGTAGTTGTATTGAATAAGTAATTTGGGCCGGCGGTCGCATTCTTACGCATGCTCGCTCAAGCACGGATCTTAGTCCGTTCCCTAACTGTACTCCCTCTGACGTCGGTAGCGAAGTGGCTGGTTTTCACGGATTGCGTTCCTTCGGGTCGATGAATTTTGTGTCCGATGGTTTTTGATACTCCTTGTTCTGTCTTGTTATTCCTGTCATGTCCTTGTCCTGGCGCAAGTTGCTTTTTAATTTTTCTTGTTTCCCTTTTTGTTCTTGGTCATTTATGCTGTTCGTTTTCCCTTGCGTTTTACCCTTCCCCTTGATACATGCGCGAGCTTTTTGGCCAGATCCCGTGAAAAAAACAAACGTTAAAACGAACTGGGTGGCCTAGGGGTAGACGCAATGGAATTGTATATGATACTGGCGATTTTAAGTTGTTGTTCCCTTCCCGCTCTCATTCTTGTGTGTCATTCCTTGCTGCTAGAAGCTATACTAATGAAATGTGAAAAAGCCCCACAATCAAGCATACAAGTGAACTGTAAGGCCACTCAATGGTTGAACCAGCGGTGAGGGATAGCAGACGCTGCAAGGCTGGGTGGAGAGTCAAAATGTACCCCCTTGCAGAATCCTGGGTTTAATTGTAATACATGAAATTTGAAGATCCAAATCTAGACTAGACACGGCAATAGGAGACGTTCTGGAATCATAGCGCTATAAAAAAGTCAATGGCTCCACACAGGTCTTGCAATCTTATCAATCAATCTCCGTCATTTTTGCCCCAGAAAACTGAGTTTCGAAGCGACAACTTTTCTAGCCTGAAAATTTTGACCAAAAGCCCAGCCAGCGTCAACATCTGATTTTTCAGTTTTCTACTGATAGATAAAATTATTGGAGACTTTAAGCGGATTTTGTAGTTTTTCTTTTCTTTTCTTTTTTTTCTTTTTTTTCTTCTCTGTCCCTCGCTCTGTTGTAACTTACCGCTTGCGCAGATTAGCTCCGGGAACGGCCCACCTCGACGTCCAGTCATATTTATCCCTCCAGTTCACAAAAATTTACCCTCAACAAACTCCCCAAAAAACCACAACATCCCGTCTGCCACCCTTTCCATTAAGATACCAAGGTGCATCTAATCTCTCCGTACTCAATTTGGCTATAGTCTATTCTAGCATTGCCTTACCTCTCTGAAAGCTGCCGCATGTTTGTCAGCAAGATGGTAGCAGCTCGGCTCGGTGCGCATGGAGCTCTCGCACACCCCCTCATATCCCTCTCCGTCCCTGCCAGACGACTCCTGTCCTCAGCAGCAACCAGGCGATTTACTCCAGCATGTACTGCTCTTACAGCCGCGTCGTCTCATCTGTCTCTATCCTCCTCCTCCCCTTCTTCCCGACTTGAACGTCGCCATTATTCCCCCCAATTGCCGCCGCATCTCTCCACCCGCTCGACCGTTGTCCAGCTACTGAGCAACATTGGGTCCAAGAGGGAGGTCCAGCAGTACCTATCCCACTTCACTTCTGTCTCTTCGCAGCAGTTCGCCGTCATCAAAGTTGGCGGGGCCATCATCACAGAGCATCTGCAGACTTTATCGTCTGCTCTTGCCTTCCTCAACCATGTCGGGCTCTATCCGATTGTCGTCCACGGCGCTGGGCCACAGCTGAATAAAATGCTTGAAGCTGCCGGAGTAGAACCGCAATTCGAAGACGGGATCAGGGTTACGGATGGGAAGACGCTGGCGCTTGCGAGGTCGTTGTTCCTGGAGGAGAATCTGAAATTGGTGGAGGAGCTGGAGAGTCTGGGTGTGCGGGCTCGACCGATTACCACGGGCGTCTTCTCGGCGGACTATCTTGACAAGGAAAGGTATAACTTGGTCGGCAAGATTAATGGCGTTAACAAGGCTCCCATTGAGGCTGCAATTAACGCTGGATGCCTGCCCATCTTGACTTCCATGGCTGAGACACCCGAGGGTCAGATTCTGAATGTCAACGCGGACGTGGCTGCTGGTGAGCTTGCGAGGGCGCTGCAGCCGCTGAAAATTGTCTATCTTGCGGAGAAGGGAGGGTTGTTTAATGGTGATACTGGCGAGAAGATCTCTGCCATTAACCTGGATGAGGAGTACGATCATCTGATGAAGCAGTGGTGGGTGCGTCATGGCACCAGACTAAAGATCAAAGAAATGAAAGAGCTGCTTATGGATCTTCCTCGAACGTCCAGCGTGGCTATCATCCATCCTGCGGATCTGCAGAAGGAGTTGTTTACGGATACCGGAGCGGGGACTTTGATCCGCAGAGGCAACAAGGTTCATATCAAATCTTCCCTGGATGAGTTTGAGGACATTAAATTGCTTAAGAATGCCCTCGTCCGTGACCGTGAGGGATTGGATGCCAAAGCCACCGTTGATAGATATGTGGAGTCATTGAAAAACAGCGAGTTCAAGGCCTACCTGGACGAGCCTATGGAAGCGCTAGCTGTGGTTTTGCCTCCAAAGCCTGGCTCGTCTCTTGCTCAATTGACGACTCTCAGCATTACCAAGGCTGGATGGCTGAAGCAAGTTGCGGATAATGTTTTTGCCAGTATCCAGAAAGACTTCCCCAAGCTCGTCTGGACCGTTAATGAGAATGATGAAAACCTAACATGGTTCTTTGACAAAGCCCAGGGGAGTTTGAGCCGCGGTGGTCAAGTGCTCTTCTGGAGTGGTATTGAAAGCGGTGACGAAATCAAAGAGCTCATCGCGGAATTCAGCAAACATGGCAGCGACATGCTTGGCGGTAATGCTCTCGAGTCCAAGTTCCAACAGGCTGCACAGGCTGCGTCCGGACAGCCCGTCGCCCCTGGACTAGCAGGCCAACAGAAACGCACATTCTCAACCTCTCCCGCGTCGAGCATCCTCCGTGCGGAAAGACAGCGACCATTTGGCGCTGGTAACTACCAGTCTTCTCGATCATATACTACCACCAACCCAAACCCCCCTCTTGGCCAGAAAAATGTGTCGAACACCAAGCCCTCCAGTGTAGCCCTTATCGGCGCGCGGGGATACACGGGACGCGCTCTCATCAGTCTTATGAACGAACACCCACACATGGATCTCCGACACGTCTCTTCCCGCGAACTCGCCGGCCAAGAGCTGCAAGGTTACAGCAAACGAAAAATCATCTACGAGAACCTCAGCGCCGACGATGTACGGCGTATGGCCGAGAATGGCGACGTCGATTGCTGGGTGATGGCGTTGCCCAACGGCGTCTGCAAGCCGTTCGTCGACGCCATCGACCAGGTCGACAAGGAGAAAGCCGTCATCGTGGACCTCAGCGCTGATTACCGGTTTGACAGCAGCTGGACCTACGGCCTGCCCGAGCTAGTGAGCCGTGCCTCCATCGCTCAAGCGCTCCGCATTTCCAACCCGGGCTGCTACGCCACGGCTGCCCAAGTAGGCATCGCGCCCCTTGTTCCGCACCTTGATGGGCGACCCACTGTTTTCGGTGTGTCTGGGTATTCGGGGGCGGGGACGAAGCCCAGTCCGAAGAATGATGTCGAGCACCTTACCAACAACCTCATCCCGTATAGTTTGACCGACCACATCCACGAGCGGGAGATTAGCACACAACTTGGCGTTGAGGTTGCGTTTATTCCTCATGTCGCGTCGTGGTTCCAGGGTATTCATGTATGTTTCTTTTCTAGGGAAAAAAAAAAAAAAGAATCCTAATATCTCTGTGTTCTTATTTATTCTGGCGGTTGGCTGACATATTTTTGTATAGCACACCATCAACATCCCCCTAAAGGACACAATGTCATCCCGTGACATCCGTAATCTCTACCAGGATAGATACGCTGGCGAGAAGCTTGTCAAAGTCGTTGGCGAGGCGCCACTTGTGAAGAACATCGCCGGTCGCCACGGAGTTGAGGTTGGAGGCTTCGCAGTCCACTCGGGAGGGAAGAGGGTGGTCGTTTGCGCCACGATTGATAATCTGCTGAAAGGAGCAGCAACTCAATGTCTTCGTAAGTTTCCTAGCTACATATCTTTTTTTCTTCTCGTGTTCTATTTAACCATTTGAGCTTGATACATTTTGTGTTGATATAACACACAAAGTTTTGTGCTAACACTTGGCCAAAACTAGAAAACATGAATCTCGCACTTGGATATTCAGAATACGAAGGCATCCCGTTGGACTAAAGCGAAGGTAGTGAGCGAGCTCAATTTAGCCTGAACCAGTTTCAAACAAATTATGTCACAAGCAGAAAAAAGAAGAAAGGCTATTCATGTCACAGTATTTCGCGCATGCTATTTAAACGATTTTCCAAGATCATCCTCTTTGTCCTTTCCGGTGTTATGTCTCTATATCATCCTTGTTATATCACCCTTTTTTTCCGTCAGTGTGTTGTCTCCTTATCTGTGTAACTGAGCCCTGTGCAGATATACCGCGCATACCCCCCCACCCCGGCGTGGCAATCAATTATTTTGGTTTTGGTATCTCTTCCTACCTCTCTCGCCCTCTTTTTTTCTCTCTCGGTAATTGATCCCTACATATGATCAATTTCCCTTCCCCCCTCCCTCGTTTTCTTCTCGTCAACTTACTTTCCTTAGGGGAAGAGGACCACATACGTTTCCACCTATCCACCCTTGACAGTTTGGGCTCGTTTGCTGTTTTTGGGCGTCATTAGAAATTTCTATTTCTTGGAGCTTGATCTTCTTCGTTGTCGTCGCCACATGCATAGACATCTGTTTCTTTTGGGGCCGTGGCTGTTGTCCCCCCCCCCCCCCTCCCCTGTCCAGGTTTGTTCTGATTTTTCTCATCATTAGATGTAATTCGGGAAGAAAGAGAAAAAACAAAAAGAAAAGAAGAAAATGGCCAGAGATGGTATAGGCTAAAATTCCAAGATACCCTTCCTGCGAAATTCTTTGTTTCTATTCCTCCCCTGCCGAATGGAGGATGGAGATGGCAACGGGCAGTTGTGAGCGTACCATCTTCGGGCGTATATCTAGAAAAAAGATATACAACCTCCCCCCTTTTCCTCTTAATTTTTCTCTCTCCCGCTTCCGACACCTCCACAGGCAGGGGGAATTAATGATCAATCAGATAACTCGGCTATACCTGGTTGCTTGATTAGGTATCTGTTTCCTCTTGTTGTTTCCTACATAATCCCCATCCTGTGAACGAGGAGCTGGCGGAGTCCTATGCAAATAGTCGGATCAAGGAAGGACAACTAAATGTAAGCCTACCTATATATCAAGTGGTTTTGTACAGGACACTTTTCAGTATGTACATGTACATCTCCCAATATAGAATGGCATTCCGCGAGCCGTGGCCCCGTGACTCCGCTCCGCCCAACGCGGGTTCTTGTCACGCGTTTCCCCCCCCCTCCCCTTTTTTTTCCGGCTCTTCTACTTCATTCTTCCTCCGCCACGTCGCTCTCTCATCTTCACTCGACACGCCTCTCGTCTCCTCGTTTTTACACTCGTGCAGTCTTTTCATCGCACATATCATATCTACTTACGTTTACAGGTGTCTACATTTAGTAGTCCCTTGCCCCTATTGTTCAGCATAGTTAGGGGGAACAGCACGTAAAGAGAGGACAGAGGGCGACTTATATCTACAGGCGATTGCAGCATACTAACAAAGGTTGGGCTAAGAGACATTACATCAAAATTACCCCTATATCATTCATTCTGCGCGTTGCACACGAAAGCAGCACGATAAGAAGTGCGGGCAGGTGATGACCTTGGCAAGATGTTCTACAGCCATGAGAGTGAGTGCTTTTTCGCAATTCGAGACACCCTGATTTGTTGCTCTGAATCCGCATGCACTGCAAATTTTAGCAGTTGGGAACGCGATGGTTGGACAAACGTGTTATTTTGAAACCGCTAAGAAAAAAGGGCGGCGGCGGGGATTTCATGTGTGCGCAGTATCACATACTCTGTGAGAGAAGACGGAACATATTGCTGATGAAATGTGTGCCTGACGTGCAGTCCTCACGTCCCGCGAGCATGGCGTCGCGACGGTTTGGTAGGTCGATGCTATTTAATCCCGGTTCCTGTCCCGTTTTTCGTTCGAGTAGTCGTGTGTTGGATTTACTCTATTGCATATGTCTATGCATTTTCTCCCTTGATGTCAAAACCCCCTAACTGATGCGTTGTACTATGAACACTACATTTACAGGCTCGTTGCGACCCTCGGTGCAAAATCTGCGGCGAGAAAAGTTAATCGCAGGGCCATTCTTGATGTCGATGTCCCCAAAGCTTGCGAAACTATCATACGTCCAGAGGCACCGATGGCCTTGAGGTTACAGGGCAATTTACTGTGAGTTTAAGGAGGGAAATCCTATCATCACTCTGATATTTATGCCAGTTGGCCTTCTACTAAATGGACTGGGGCTTCGATTTATAGATACGGGGTTTCGAGAGTGTATCACCAGCAGTGCGGATATGCGTTGATGGACGCACAGGCAATGCGGGATAAGATGCAAGCGATGTTGAGGGAGATCCGTTCAACAGGATTGGATCCCAGTGCTGGGAAGGCGAAGTATGTGACTGTAGCCCCCATTATTCAGGGTTTCCCGTGATCAAGTCCATGGCCTTGTTTGTTGAGATAAAACGTATAGTCAATTACTAACCCATCCATTTCAGACCTAGCCAGCTCGTTCTTCCGGATGACCCTTCCTTTATACCCGATCTAATGCTCCCAGGATTAAACGTAGATTTATCTGTTCTGGACATCTCCTTAGACATCGGATCTCCTCGAAAATCCAGTCTTTTGTCAAGTGTCTTGGCCCCATCGAGCAAATCTAGCCAATTTTCTGATGGCCAGCTTCAGTTAAACATCTCGTCGTCCGATATAGGGGGACATTGTGCTGGTGCCTCTGGGTTCCCCAGTGATATCGGCAGCAGTGTTAGAAAGGAAGCCCAATTTGAGCTTCCAGCTGCCTTCGCAGAAGAGACTGGTGTTTTGCTGCAACCGGACTTCGAGTTCGATGGCGACGGAAATATAGTTGAATTACCAGTGAATCCAACTCTCAAAGATAAATGCATAGCAGTTTCTGGCCGCAGTGCCACCAACGTCAACTCCAGGCTGAGGACAGAGGAAGAGGCAGAGTATCAAGCTTTTCAAGATCAGGTGAGCTCCATTTGACAGTGGTATCTACCGCATGCACTGACATCCCCCTCCCCTGCTACAGTTCCAGGACCAGATGGTTCTTCACGATGATGTGGAAATAAGGGATGGAGGGCATAGCAACTTTGGTTCCGGCGATCCGGTTTCAATACTCGATTCCGCTGCCGATCCTAACTTCGAGCCGGTGGTTGAGGCATCATCGGAAGCCCCCGAAGTGGAGCAGCGTTTAAGGAAGAGGACTATCAAAACATTGGGATTCGATGACCCCCCAGAATTGAGGAATTCTGACCTAGCACAATGGAATTCAGATTACGCACAGAACATGGCTCTCGCTACAAAACTAAAGCAAAACAATAGGCTTATAACGCTAGCAAAGAAAAATGCTGTATCCTGGGTAATGGGGGACAGAATTTGCTGCGTGGACATTGGTTTGGGTGTTTCGGATTTTGAGCATCCTCTGGACATATTCTCCGGAGAGCAACTGCTAGCCGCATTAACAGGAACCAAAATTCGTACAACCCGCCGCAAACGAAGCTGGGATGAGGACAAATGCGCTGATTCAGGAGATGAGGAAAGAAATGTGCGTATGAGAGGAGCTGCGGAGGATGAAATTGGGCGCGGATATGCAGCTGAACATGACGATGGCTATGGCATCGGATTTGAGGTATGACAGGTTGACCGATATACTCTCTTCAACCGCTGAGTTATTTCCATCAAACTAACAGAGCAATTAAATCCACGGCTCCAGGACATTGAAGTAGGCCGCCATGCGCCCCTGCCTATGTACGACGATGCTTCATCCCAGATGCCATGGAATATCACCGCCTCAATCCGAGGATCCCAGCCAGGCTCTTCTATCCACTCTCGTCAATTCCTCCCGAGCGTAGGGGGTTATTCCAGCATTGGTGGACCTCGCTCCATCGCCAGCGGCGGCGGTCATGACGGAAGCGTCATGGGCGGCCCATCAACAACAGCATTAGGAAGGCGCATGGGGCGGATGACAAGCGCCAGTCCCTTGGCCGGCCGCGGGATGATGGGCCCTGGTATGGGGGATATTTCAATCATGGACGACGGGGAATTCGACATAAGATCCAATCTAGGGGATAACATGGACCTCGACAGCTCGGTGACTGGGCGCGGTGAATTGGCTAGCACCCGTAGCCATCATCACGACTCCTTTGAACTCTACGGGCCCTCCGCAGCGGTTGATACGCAAACGGCCGCTGAGTCACAGTGGCTTGCAGCAACCCTTGATCAGGAGAGTGCGAATTTCCTCGACTTTGTCAAAAGTAAAATTGGAGAAGCGGGCGAGAAGAAGGTAAACGCCCCAGCTGCTGCTGCTGGTACTGTTGAGAGCGGCGGTCATGAAAACGATCACGACAATGCTATTGCTCCCACTACTACCGTGGAGATTTCATTTTCCACCCTCCTTCCATCAACAGTCAACAGTCGCATCGTCGCCACGCAAGCACTGCTTCATACCCTCACTTTGGCGACTAAGGGGGCATTGCACGTGCGACAGGAAAAGGGTATTCGATCCGAGGGTGGTCAGGGGGAGTTCGGGGAAATTTTCATGTGGCTCGTGTGATGGAGGACTAATGCTATACACGCCCTCCTTCTCACCTTTTATTCTTCGATTGTTCAACTGAGGATGATAAGCAAGTGAAGTGTTCTTTTTCTTTTCGAAACCCGCCTTATTTACGAATAGTGGGAGAAGTTCCCTTTTCCTCCTCTCTCCCTGGTATTTTCGTCCCTTCTACACAACAAAACCGGTCGCTGAGTACTCTTTTTTAATACTTTCCCGCGTTGTTGATTGTCCTCTCGTAGCTTGCTTAACGAGGCAGGATCCCTTTTAAGTTACACTCCCGTCCCCACTTATCCACTTTCATTTTTTAGCAAGAAGGGTGCATGCATATATCCGCTATTGTTAATTTCAGTACTGTTATTTCTGTTATGTATCTACGGTCTTACCTTCCCTATTTAATATGCAAATACAACTATATGCAAATACGGGGCAAGGCACACACACGCAAGCACTGGTGATAATATTTCAAGTTTGATGAGAAATTTTCTGTATTTTCTGTATTTTCGTTTTCTTCTTTTTTTGCTTCAATTTATTTTTTAATTCCCCCCTACTCATTTCGTTTACATCTTCCTACATCGGCTTTACTTATTGTTCTTGCCAGGACTCATGGTTTGATATATACCTAATAGTACTTTCGTTTAATGAGAATGCATTTTTTCCGGAAGAATTTGCTCGAGTTTCAGTTATTTCTATCTCTTGACTGCCGCGTCCTCAAGATCTGATGCAGGCGCTGGTCACTTAAATGACAAACTTTGTTTTCCTCCCATGTGATCCGTGGATGTATTGTATGTAGTTAAAGCGTAACTACGGTACATGGTACTGTACGCGCATATCCGCAGAATTACTTACACTGAAAAATATACCCATACGGTACCCAAATTGATGAATAATGATGGTTTACCAGTGTATTCCCAAGTAAGTTACACCTTTTCTTTTACCCTTTCAATCTACTCCGTAGTCAAGCCAGGTGGGTTTACTTCAAAAAAAAAAAAAAAAAAAAAAAAAAAAAAAAAAAGTTTATAAAGAAATGAACATATATATATATATATATATATATAAATAATTTCTTGTCGGGCTTGTCAGAATTTGTCTTTTTACACGCAGATAGTCGTTCTAACAATGCAAGAAGGAGATTTCCATTCTATGTATTACTAGAAATCTATCATGCAGTATTATTTATTACTTCCTGTAGGATGTACTTAGCTCGCGTTGTTTTTGGGAGCTGACGTTGGGGGTCCTTCGGGGGTCACGTATGCCTATGTACAAATTGATATTTCATGTTAGATGATGTAGTTAAATCTATATGGGGAAGGTTGATTCTGAGAAAGAGATCGTGATACGGGAGAGAGAGGAAAAAGAGAGAAGAGAGAGAAAGGTTAAATATGCAGGTAACGGACCTTGGTCATTCCGCCATCAACTACGAAATCAGTGCCGTTTACGAAACTGCTCTCGTCGCTAGCTAGGAAAAGAACAGCTTGAGCTTGCTCGATCGCTTCGCCGAAACGGCCCGTTGGGAAATGGATTTCGCGTCTCTGGCGCTTGGGAATGTCATCGCCCAGCCAGTCTTGCAGGAGAGGGGTGCTGGAGGTATTGTTAGTTTAGGCTCTGTAGTTGTGCTCGTTCAAAATCAAATGATAAAAAAAGAAGAAGGGTGAGTGGTGGAGGGAGGAATTATTTACTTCAAAGGTGCAGGACAGAGAGAGTTGAATCTAAATCCCTCACGAGCATGGACGATTGCTAACTCCCTCGTCATTGCAAGGACGGCCCCTTTACTAGCGGTATAAGCCAACTGAGGAGTTGCACTTCCAACCAACCCTACGACACTGGCGGTGTTGATGATGCTACCCTTCTTCTTCTTGTGCTTGCGCAGGCTGAGAACTGCATGCTTGCATCCGTACCAGACCCCCTTGACATTGATATTCTGAGTCAGATCCCATATTTTCTCGGGGGTATCGACGGCATCCGCATCGTCTGCATGCATGATGCCTGCATTATTGAAGATGATGTCGCATCCACCCCACGAGTCCTGCGCCTCTACCATGGCTTTAACATCGGCCTCTTTCGACACATCGCATTTGATGGTTTCGAGCTTGACAGCGTTAGGGACCAGTTGCTTTACTTTGGCGAGTGCTTTTTCAAGGGCGGGCTCGGAGATGTCCGCCATCAGAACGGAAGCACCTTCGCGGGCAAAGAGGATGGTGGTTTCGAGTCCGATGCCGCTAGAAATTGTCTCGTTAGCATGGCTATGTCGTCATTTCCCATAGATCAAGGAGCTTTACCCCGCGGCGCCGGTAATGATGGCATTTTTCCCGCTGAGTCGTCCCATGGCGCCTGATGTTCTTTTTTCTTAAGAATCGAGGCCGGTAATCTAAGAATATGAAGAATTATAAGTTAATATCAATGAAATGAATCACATATCCTCAATTATTAAAACTGTGATCACCCATTCCATTGCGGGATGTGGATCGGGTATAGATAGCCGAATATCCGGGTAAGGGGAGCTTACTCAGGAGCCAGGAATTTAGAGTAGAAATGGGCGTAGTCAGCTCTTTTTCTACGTGTCCCCTTCCAGGAAACTTGGAGAGACGCGCACAATGGCCACACAACAAGTAAAGACGAGGGTTGCTGTTCAGGAGGGGAGTGTTGTCACCGCTGTCTTATCTAATTGACTGAGCACCGAGATACCGCTAAATCAAAACCGGTTAGCTGCTTTCGGTGCCTGAGTTCAACTAACTTAACTACCCGATCACATGATGGCAATCGAAGCCGATGAGGGACGCGTTTCCGGCAGATGCAACCGCCGGCTAAACGACACCCCATTCTTGATCCCGGCCGACAGGAGAAGTACGAGTGTTGTTGCAATAGCACTGATAAGCGAGTCCCCCAGCCTCCCTGTCTCTCGCGCCAACTTGGGGATCAACTGTGGCTGCTCGAAACCGTGGATTTCCAGCCCGCAAAGCCTTATCCCGTTCCCCAAAAGACGGCCCCTCGATTGCCCCTCCTTCACCGCTTTCGCGAATAACGGTATCGACCGGGGTCGAAATGTCGCCGGAAACTGAGGTTACTCTGGATAATCTTAGTATAATTCTCGAGCAGGATACACAAGTAAAGCTCGCCGGAATCGACGCAGATGGGATCCTTCGTGGGAAACTTGTATCCAAGCGGAAGTTTCTCAGCATTGCCCAAGATGGATTCGGGTTCTGCTCTGTCATATTTGGGTGGGATATGCACGATCATACATATTTCAAGGAGCTAGGGATAAGCAATAAGGAGAATGGATATAGAGACATGCTAGCAATCCCGGACCTGACTAGCTTTCGGAGAATACCGTGGGAGGATAATGTACCCTTTTTTCTGATAAACTTTTTCGACCCGGATACCAAGGAGCCTGTATCGGCCTGTCCGCGCGGATTGTTGAGGACAGCTGCTGAGAAAATGGAGAAGCTGGGCTATAGAGCTATGGCTGGTGGTATGTTGTTTTCACTTTCCCCGCTGATTGCGCCAGAACCTAATGGTCTTTGCTAATTGGCCTTTTCACAGCGGAATATGAATTTTATCAATTTCGCGCGCCTCCGAATCCAAATGCTCTCGAACGAAACTCTTCATCAACAGCTACTTTTCTCAGGGAGAATCCAGTGGATGCTCTCCCACCACTAACGGAAGGGATGTTTGGTTACAGTCTTACGAGGACGGTGCATAATCAGGAGTATTTTTATAGGGTCTTCAACACCTGTCATGAATTTAAGTGTGACATTGAGAGTTGGCATACTGAAAGCGGTCCTGGCGTATTTGAAGCCGTATGTTTTGCATTGAACACACCTTCGTATTGCAATTCCTAACCTTCAACAGGCTCTTGAGTTTGGAGAGATCAAAGAAATAGCTGATCGCGCGGGGTTATTCAAGTAAGTTAAATATTCAGTTCAGCCCCAATGATTCATGAATTTACAAACATAGAAAGCATACGATATGCGAGGAAGACTAACATCCCAAAATCCTAGATACGTTGTGAAATGCCTTGGCAGCAAATATGGAATAACACCTGTATTCATGGCTAAACCACGGCAGGGACTCCCGGGAAACAGCGGACATATGCACGTCTCCCTTGTCTCAGACACGGGGATAAACTTGTTCAGCCGCGACGAACCCGATCCTTCACCCCCATATTCCGATGTAGCATACCTTTCCGACATGGGCAGGCACTTTCTCGCAGGCGTCCTCGACGGCCTGCCTGACATCATGCCCCTTTTCGCCCCGACCATAAATTCCTACAAGCGTCTGGTGGAGAACTTCTGGGCCCCCGTCACCGTTTCCTGGGGTCTAGAGCACCGAGCTGCATCTATCCGTGTCATCACGCCACCCACTTCGTCTCCGAAGGGCACACGTCTTGAGGTGCGGGTCCCCGGTGCAGATGCTAACCCGCATTATGTCCTCGCGGCTATCCTCGCGCTGGGTTGGCGCGGGGTGGAGAAGAAGCTCGCGCTTCCTGTTCCGCCGCTGCCTCGAGGGGCGGAGGTGGGCAGCTCAACCGACCAAGGGGCGCGGTTGGCTAAAAGTCTCAAGGAAGCGGTTGCCGTTTTCACACGAAAGGAGAGTGTTGCGAGGGAGGTTTTTGGAGATGCCTTTGTGGATCATTTTGGGGGGACGAGGGAACATGAGATCCGGCTGTGGGAGGAAGCTGTGACTGATTGGTGAGTTTGGTTTTGATCTTTCTGGGGTTCCCCTTTCTGTTCTTGACTCATATATATTACCTTTGGAAAACGCTAATCACTCCTGGACCATGTTGTAGGGAAGTTAAGCGGTATATCGAAACTGTTTAGAAGGTTGCGTTTCGAGAGAGAGAGGGGCGACGGACGGGGGAATCTTGTTATTGTTAACCTATGAATGTGCTTTTATAGATATACCATCCTGAACATTATTGAGCGACATACACCGTATAAACCGTATGGCCAATTGACATTCCATTCAAAAATCCCCATTCAATGCATGGGTAGATATATTCGTAGTTCATCGTATTTGTCACGAAACGTATATATATTCCTGTTTTCTAGCTCCGAGTTTCTTCAATCACATGACTAGGAACTGCTCTTGTTATGGGTTCGGTTCTAGCGTGGCTACCAACTTCACAACCAACATCCAGAAAATTATCTGACTGCCAATCATCTCTATTATGTTATGGCGTCCTCGAAATTGGAGATAATTTCTCATCCTATCGGCAGTCGACTAAAAGAATATCGCGATTTGTACAACTGTTTGAGTGCTGGGCATTCAGCTTGTGGTGCTGACAAGATCAAGAAGCGACTGCTTCAATTACTGGCAGTTCTACAAACCCATCCTGTTTGTTTTGAGCTTCCTTCTGGCAGAGGACGTGGAACTCTTTTTGATGATATATTGGCCCTTCTTTCAGAAGTTCGCTCAAGCCTATTTGAAATCAATTGTCTACACCCCCTTTTGAAATTGATCCACAAACAATCTGATGAAACAATCTGGAACAAAGTCTATGATGTTGTTACAGAGACTACTCCCCCTCCTCACTTGCCCTTACCTCTCCTCCAAACTCCCTTGCTATGGAATACAAGTAGCTTTGTCAACTCAACTGAGTACAGGAAACATGTGCAGTGTTGAAGGAGAAGCTTGATGCTATGATGTATGTGGATATACCGGGTTTCTACAAGACATATTTTGGAACCATTGAGTGGCTAGAGCCTACAGCCCAGGTAGTTTTTGCAAGATGCAAGGGAGGTGAAGATCCTTTTTACAGTGAGGAGACTGGCTGGAGAGGGTGGCCTGAAGATGCCAAGGAACTAGATGTGTTGCAATGGCTGTCGGCCCTTATTGACAACTTCATAGGGGAGTTTCAGGCTTAGTATGCTTCTTTGAGGAATATGCAGCTGATCAAAAGATTCAAAGAAAGCTACTTGTGCAGCTGTACCAACCTCTCACAGGTTCCACTGCAGACTGCAAGCTGGACATAGGCTTTGTGAACAACTCCAATGCCAGTGAGGATTCCAGCTGCCACTGGTCACAGATCCTGGGCCTGGGAGAGCTGAAGAATGACATCTCATATGATGTCCCATCAAAGGCATGGCTTGACCTGGGGAGGTACATCAGAGAGGTTATGACAGCCCATGACTCCTGCAGTTCTGTGTTGGGTTTCACCCTCTGCAGATCAAAGATGAGGCTCTGAAATTTTGGTCATCTGGGCAGGATAGCTTCCAAGTCATTTGATATCAATAAGAAGGGCTTTCAGTTTGTATCAGTGATACTTGAGTACCTCAGCATGAGCAGCTGATGGACATCGAGATAGAGAGAGACAGCCAGATAAAGAGACTTATTTTTGAAGAAGTGGTGAAGCGGGCTCCTTGTGTCACCGGGCGGGCGACGACCTGCTGGAAGGCACATCTAGATGGAGATGAGTCCAGGATGCCTCTCGTTATCAAAGATTCGTGGCAGTATCCGGAGCGCGAGGAGGAGGGAGTGTTGCTGCGGGAGGTAACAGAGAAAGGAGTGAGCAATGTGGCAAGGTACTACCACCATGAGACAGTTTGTGTGAGGGAAAATGACAATGATATCTGCAACACTGTTCAGAGAGGCCTAGATGTCACAAAGTCAGGGAACTACAGAACCAGCAGCTCCAGATCAGTGTTGAGCAGAAAGGGTTCTCATGCTGGGAGAAAGGATGGAGGGAGCGGCGGCGTCGCCAGTCAGAAGCATTACTCCACTTCAATTGATTCATCACTGCGGCCGAGCAAACAGCAGTCAATTTCTTCAACAAAAGCTGGTACTCACAACTCAATGCCTAACTGGATTCATCGCCGTGTCGTTGTTCGGGATTATGGAAAACCAATATATAAGGCAAGTTCGAAAGTCTCCCTGCTTGCCGCCCTGGAGGGATGCATTGAGGGGTACAAGGACCTATATAAACAGACCGGCTTGCTTCAAGGAGATATCTCTCCAAATAATCTCATGATCAATGAGGAGGCAGATAATTTGTCATGGAAATCTTTCTTAATTGATCTTGATCTTGCAATCAGGGAGCAGTGGGAGGGTTTCTCAGGAAATCAAGGAAAAACTGGAACACTAGTGTTTATAACAATTGATGTTCTTTTAGCAGATGAGAAACACACCTTTATGCATGCTCTTGACTCATTTTTCTGGGTACTCTTCTGGATATGCATACATTACAAAGGGCCAGGCAAAGGCAAGGTGATTGAAGAGTTTGAGAAATGGAATTTTATGGACATGGAGGCACTAGCAAAAGCAAAAAAAGAGGAGATTTCTGATGAAAGAGATTTCCTTATATCAGGAGAGAAATATTTTACTGAGTACTATCAACCTCTGCTACCTTGGGTTAACAAACTACAGAGAGAGGTTTTCCCTGGTGGGAGCAGATAAAGAAGGCCAGATCCAAACCTGGGTTAATTCATGAGAAGGATACTGCAGGAAGCAAGAAATGATCCAAATGTTATTGGCTCAAATTAAGTTTGTGCGGTCTTCTGCCCAATAAACATCATACCATACCCCCAAGGGCCTGGAAGGAAAGCCGCGAATATATTTGGAGATTATCCATTGAACAAGAATTAGATGTAATTGATTACGAAGGACGGAGTGAGGCACTTGAAATGCTATATTGGCGCGTTCTAGTTTGGCATTGAGATCTTCCCATTTCCGCTTGCGCCCGCGATTCTGGGCAATCGGTATCACATCATGGCCCATGGTGTGTCTGCCACCATATCAAAATATTTCTTCTCTCATATACGCACAGTAATCCCAGAGCACCATAGGAGTGGAATAAGGAACTGTGCACAAGAAATACAGGCCTACTTGTCCCACGAACAGAGCAATGTGCGCTTTGTTTTGCTATTCTATCTAATAAATTATGGATTTGAAGTTTATGGTGATCAATGTGTCGGTGACAATCGCTCTGGTAAGGAGCACAGGCCTGTTGTCATGGATCTGCTACAAAAGATGATATTTCCAGAGTTGAACCGGGAGCCAATGATCGACTCCATAATCAGGAGATGTTGGTACAGTGAGTACGAGACAGTGGCAGAATCGACCGCGGATACAGAAAGTTTATGTGGCATGGGCAGTGAGGCTTCCAGGGGCAAGATTGAAGGAGTTAAGTGTTTGACATCCATATCTGCAGACGACTTTTCATCGCGGAGGAAATTGTGTGAGGATTTACTCTGTAGTCAGGTGTTGAATCCCTAAGGCTCTATCTTTGCAGAATACCCGGCAACTTGGGCTCCCAATAAAACGCAGACATGTTTGTTGGGAACTACTGCGGTAGGAAGAGAAGATAGAGCAGGTGTGAGCAGTGTCTTTATGTTTAGTAACAGGCGGCCGCTGTCTAACACATGAGATGTATAATGCAGATGGTTTTGACAAAGCTATGCGCGGCCGAAAACTTCGTCCCTTCGCCGATTTTGCTTCGCGCGTTGGGCTGGAATATTTCGCAGCTGCCATGACAAATAGCGATATAGCGCTGTAGATAGCAATTCCAACCCTACCATCAACAGTTGAACAGCATTTTCACCTACAGAGTATACTTATATAGATCGGGAGCCTATAGGGCGTCGTCCACCTAAGCAGGGGATTTTATCCTCTAGAAGCCGGATAGTTGTATAAAAGAGCAACCGTTTTAGCTTCAGCCCACTCAAAGGAGCTGTTTTCAGCACGAGGCGTAGCGTGCAAGGAATTGGCCTTGGACCGTGAATATTGCTTTTGGGTTCGTCAGTCCGTACAAGGAAGAGCGTCCGTGCTAATAACTATTTTGAAGAAGGTTGCTGTGCTAGATTGTTTTCATCACCGATATGTGCAAACGATGCCGGGTGAAAAAGAGAACATGACAATCGCCGGACAGGTGATCTCCTGCATGGCGGATATCAGGAGTTGAAAGGAAGAAGGGTGGAGTTTAAAAAGACAGACAGACACACTTTGACCACCTGAAGTAGCTGTTCCTTCAACGAACGTAACCACTAGTTAACAGTTAGTTAGTTACACATTTTCTCGCGTCTCGTATGTGTCGCACTAGTAATAAAAAACAATAACCATGCTCCAGATACATGTAGAGAGTTGTCAAACTATGAAGACTGCTGGTTGCAATACATGAAGTGGTTAAATAGTAAATAATGGAATTGAACATGAAAAGAAAAGAATAAGCAAAAAGATACAAATTATAAGAGGATTGGAAGGAGTCGAAAAAGGAAAAAAAGGTAAAGGAAAAAAAGGAGGGCTAGGTCTCAGGGTGGATTAGTCACAGCCCTAAGTCATTCGGGGGAAACGAGAAGGAAGCAAAAGGCGCATCAAAACCATGTCGAAAAAAAATAGTAGCAAGCTAGAATTAAAGGAGGATAACATGAGATAAAAGGGAAGATAAAAGTAAATAAAATGGAAAATATAAAAGGTGGCGACGAGACATAAAATAATATCAAAACACAAATTTGAGAATGAGAGCACGATAGGTGGTATTTGTTTGTTTGCGCTCGTAGAAGATCAAGGGAAAAAAGACTAGAAAGTAGATAGACGGGAGAATAAAAAGGATTTTTCAAAGGGAAAAACAAGATATCATCACCCCATCACTAAAGCGCACGGAAAAAACGCATCCCGGGCAAGAGGCCCAGTTTCTCTTAGCCCCGAGAGATCAAATTGAAAATAAATATTAAAAAAAATCGAGACATCAAGACATCGTCCTAAGTTCGCCACTGACACCATCCTGTTTCGACTCAAAAAGACATAGTGAATAGGGGATGGGGAGAGAAAGTTGTTTGATGTAAAATCCTAGCTTTTACCCCACATAGAAAAGCCAAGTAAAAATATAAAATCAAATCACAGGGAACGAATACAAGGATCGTCGCTCGTTCCATTTAGGTGATGCGGAAAGCATCGAAAATAACTGTTCGGTAAAAAAAATAGCGGAGTTAGCCACTAGAACAGATAAAACGCGTTGTCGACTACGAGAGGGAAATATATATATATTATATAATGGTCGTAAAAACGATACAAAAAATATGAGAAGTCTTTGCTTACCCTCTGAGGAACGACGGCAACCACTACCAACCCACATGACAGTGTTGACGAATGCGTAGCGCTCGTCGCCCGTCTCCAAAGATATGTTAATGCGATATTTATAGGTGGTGGGGTTAACGGAGTCGGCCATAGATGGGTCTGCGAGTTTCTCCAAAACGTCCTTTGCGCCCGTCATCCAGCCGGTGGTCTTTGCGACGATGAACGCTGGCGGTTCATCTGCAGTTTGCAACAGGTAGTTTGCTTTAATGTGTGTGGATAGCTCCTTGACGACGACCTGCGAATCTTGTCCTCCGGGCTGAAAATGGTTGGATGCAGTTAGTCTATATATTTGGAGAGAGAAAGAGAGATTGAAAGAAAAACGTCAGGAAAAGGTGTTAAAGGAAGGCTTAATAGTTTACCAGAACAATTCCTTTACCCCATCTTCCCGCCCATTGACCACCAACAAACGTGACCCAGTCTCTTTGTCCCCAGAGGCCCTGTCCAACTGTTACCGTTGGATTTAATTTGAGACTCATACGGAAGTCAAGTTCCAATGTGGGAATAGGGAGCTGGAGAGAGCGGGCAATATCCCCTTCGGGGAACGAGTGTTGGAGGTTATTGGCGGGGATGGAGTCTTTCATCACATTGAGATATGGCGGGCATTCTAGCAGGTGCTGGCGCTGTCGACTCGTATTTTTCGCACGGACTTGTTGACAGTATATGCATTGGACAGAGAGACACTGTTTTTGCAAACTAGTCAGTCTTATACACAATCCAGTATGCGGTTACTCGCGCGAGTGGATCCTACGCACCTTATCCTCTTCCTTCGCGCGGAACTCAACAAAGGCGGCGTGTACATCGTCGAGAGGGGGAGCCGGCAGGCTTGAGGTGCTCTGCCTGGGCTGCTTCGAAGACTTGGGGGTGCTGTGGGCTCGTTGCTGCGCCTGGGGAGCTGCGGAGGATGCGCTAGGGGGAGGAGCAGCTTGCGAAGGGAGAGACGGGCGACTGGAGAGATTCTGCATAGGAGTCTGCAGAGCACTGCTATGAGGGTTAACTCCATTGGCCATCATGGAGCCACTGGCAGAGGGGAGGGTGGCTGTCGCTGACCCAGCACCGGGGCCACCAGCAGGCCCGTTTGGAGCCGCCCCGTAGCCATTGACGGGACCTACGCCATTGGTAGGGGCGGACTGCGGATGGGGAGGATTATGGCCGCGAAGCGCGGGACATTCGAGTAGATGTTGCTTCTGTCGACTCGTGTTCTTTGCTCTGATCTGCTGGCAGTATATGCATTGAACGGAGAGACACTATAGATACAGACAGAGCACCAGCAAAGGGTGGTTTATTATATCTGGTCAGTAAAGTTATTGTTCGTAATTATTATTACCCACGATAATTACAAGCAAATACAGGCAAATTTCACCTTATCATCTTCCTTGGCACGAAACTCGACGAACGCCGCGTGGACCTCTTGGTCAACGGTGCGACCCATCGTATTATTCGAGAAAGCAACGCGATGCGGAAGGAGAAACGACGGATCCAGGAGGGACGACGTCTTGACGGTTAGAAGAGAGTCAGGGGAGGGACAAGACACGGTGCCTGGTGGGCAGCCGGGCGGGCAGAAAGGCGGCAGCAGAGGGAGGAAAGATTATAGGGAAGAGATACAGCGGAAACAAGAGGGCGAGGGAAGAAACAGAGCGAGATAACACACGAGAACGAGGGATACAGGCGGAGACCGAATACAGCAGACGAATACTGCGTACAACACGAGGAAATATTTAGCAAATGCTGGGAAGCGTTTTGGGTGTTTTGGGTGTTTTGGTGTTTTTGAATGTTTTGAACGAGGTCAAAAAGAGTTGAAGAGTTCTGTCAGGTATTATAACTCGGGGTGGGGGTCAGGTTTTATTTCACAGATTTCCGGTTTTTTTCAGCGTCACCTGCCCGCGTTTTCATCAGCAGTGTTCGGCGTATCTTTCGTCATTACAGCGTATTTATCAGTCTAGGGTTGGGTAAGAATAGTACCGAGGCAGGTAAAAGCGTAGGACACCGTATTGGTTGGTTTGGGATCTGTGTTGGGCGATGTTTGACTTCTGTATCACCCCATACATACGCCGTACCCTGTTCGATTACCGTCACACATGCAACCGGTTTGTATGTACATACCCCGGTACAGAACCGAACCAGTCGTCAGTTTACTCTAGTAAATACCATTCATTCATTTTCTTCTGTACTCCGTGAAATCATTTGCGATATATCTGGTGAGAGAGGGGTGCTAGAAGAAACACAATCCGTGAGACTATCACCTTGCTCCCGTACAGAGTAGTGGCGATCAAATTCAACCACCCCCAAGCAAACGCTGTTTGTTCTGTTGAATTATCTGAAACATAGCGCGTAACTCAGCTGTCTCGTACACAGTAGTCCGTACGGGGGTATGGATACGCCCCTTCCGAATTACAGATCTGGCTGTCTTGAACTTTCCAATACGTCCGTTCCGACGCTTTACCAATACGTATCAATATCCTCTTTCACAGGGCAATCCAAACCTCTTCGCCAGCTCCCCCAACCAAGATACTCTGTCTGTTAGTTAAATGCCGTCAAAGGGATATTTATTCTTTGCACGGCCTACATAGATGAAAATGTTTAATGCTTTCATAAATCAAGGATAAAAAATATGCAAACACAATGCCGAATATTGGATCTTGTGAGAAGTTACAATCACGTGATTTTCTCGCATATCCAGATCGCCCGCTCCACTACCAGGTTAGGAAATTTTCAACGTCACTTTCAATTTAGATAGGATAAAGCTCCTTAACGTATTCGTTGCTGAAACCCATGCTGAGTGAAATAGCAACTCTTGACCAATTCAAACTAGATGGACGCCAGAGCCAGATCAAATCGAATGTTCTTCTTGAACAAATCTGAGTGGCTGAGGGTGGTGGACATTCCCCAACCCGCCCTTGACATTCTCCCTTGAAAGCTCATACCCCGCAGTGCGTGCGATTGCGTTGACGAGAACCCCCGGGGCTTGTGTATAGGCTGGATTAACCTGGCTGACTGTTTCTTGAAAATTTAATCATGCATTCTGCAGAAAATTCTAGTTCTGGTGAGGGGGCAATCACGCCCCCTGATGTTGCCTTTGGGGCGACTCTCCGACCCTCGCTTCTATCATCTAGTAGATCTTCAACAACTTGGATTACTTCCCCGGAACTTAGCAGCTCGGGGGAGAAGTTTTCTCTAGAAGCTTTCCTAGGAGTGACGACCCACCTTCTGGCAAATCCTAACATAAACTGTAGCCATGTTTTCCGAGCCGACATATTATACGATAGCGCCGATGTTATTCAGACTCAAAGGAGCAAGGAAAGAAGTTATTACCGCCTCCCCTCGCAAACGGTGGATGCTGGTCAAACAAACAGTGATGGTCCATCAACTATGCCCTCGGAATCGTTTTCTGGTTTCCGCCTCAACAGGACCGTTGTAAGACGATTCGTCCCCAGAAAGCAAATTGACCGTCCAATAGAGCAGACCTGTCACTTCTATGAAGGGACGTGCAATGTAGATATATCGGGGGTTGCGTGCATGGAGCGGCAACGTTGCCTTGTGGTTTACACACCTCACGTTCGTTCGGAGGATAAGATACCATATTATCATCCACAGGTACGAGCATTAGCTCTATTATACGATATCGATCGGTCAACGAAATCTGAATCTGAGGATTCGGGAACACTCTCCATTCATTTCTCATTGTTCATTCCAGGACTCCCGCAGTTCATTACATATCGCCTACAACGGACGCTACTGGCTCTTGTATCAACCCACGTTCGCCTCTCGCGCAAGTCGTTAGCTGCCGCTGGACCACCCAGATCTAAAACCGTAGCACCAAAGGATAATCTCATCCCACAACATGTTGTGCAGAATACATATGCTCGCTTGAAAGAGGAACACGCCGCTCATCTAATAAACAGTTGGGTTGAAACTACCGAACCTTCGAAGCATGTATTCGAAGATATTTCAATCGCAGCCTTTCTAATTGAGCTGTGGCGGGGCATGTACAGTCTACCTAATTCGAAACAAACGGATAATACTAATGAATCGAAAGACGGCCTCCCCCCTTTCCCTGGGTTTGTTGATATTGCATGTGGGAATGGTGTCTTGACGTACATATTACTCACAGAAGGGTATAACGGTTGGGGTTTCGATGCTCGTCGGAGGAGGTCATGGTCTATATTCCCTACATCAATCCAAGACCGACTTAAACAAATTATATGCATTCCCAAGCCATTCAAAGATATCCTTAATCACATGGAAGGCGAAACCTCGATTCTAAAACGCGCCCAGGAGAGTCCTACGGACGTACATGAGGGGGTTTTCGACAAAGATACTTTCATCATCTCCAACCACGCTGACGAATTGACAGTGTGGACACCGCTGCTCGGCACCCTCTCGAACCCGGAGCGTCCCTTGCCATTTCTCGCGATACCTTGTTGCTCACACTCCATTTCCGGCATGCGCTATAGATACCCAGCCCCAAAACCACCGTCAACAAAGGACAATGATTTGATCAAAACATATATGCCTGCCGAAAAAAACCACCACAACAATAATGGTCACATTGTAATCAATGGCATTACGGAACCAGTAAAACAACATCAGAAATCAGAAGTAGCAGTCGAATCAATACCACCGGCGCCAGTAGCAGCAGCAGCAGCAGCAGAAGAAGAAGAACAGCATCAAAACCCCCAATCCTCCACCGGCGATCTCAAATCGCTCCGTGCGGTAAAACTCGACGAGCGCACCAAGCCAGACTGTCAAAGCTCCATGTACGCCTCCCTTACTGCGAAAGTGATGCAGGTGGCTAGAGAGGTCGGGTATGGGTCTGATATCGATAAAACGCTGCTTCGCATACCGAGTACGAGAAATGTTGGGATCGTAGGGGGTGTGAAGGGTGTGATGCTCAAGAATGGAGGGGCGAAGGAGATGGAAGAGCAAAGTTTGTGTTTATGTTTGAATGGGGGAGACGATGTGATGAAGCGAGTGAACAATGTTGTGGAAAGGGAATGTAGCAGGGATGGTGGGCTGGAGGTTGCGGCGAAGCTGTGGGTGGAGAGATCATTGGGGTTGCAGGAGCCCCAGGGGCGAGGGAGGTTGAAGGGGGGAGATGGCCATGTGCATTGATGAAGTTAGATGGTAATATAGTTACAATTAAACATACCACGGAGAGTATGGGATTATTTTGTTTGCGGGACATATTTCGGCTATGTATTACATATGGAACCTGTTAGGTGTAATTGAACGTCTTATTAAATATGTAGTGTACATTTCAATCAAATCATTGAATGGATATCAGCAGTAAAATAGCCACTCAAAGCTGCCCAATCCACATCAATGGATACACCCATCCACAGAACCAAACCCCATAACATTTAACCTGTCATGCCCCAACGTCAACCCCGTCCCTCCTACTCCTATCCATCTCCCTCCCCTTCCCCTTCCCTCGCGTCCTCAACACATCCTTCATCCTCAAAACACATTTCCCAAAATCCATCTGCCGATAATCTTCCGGCACATACTCCCCACTAACAATACACAACACCTTCATCCCCCTCTTATACTTCAACCCACTCAGCAACTTGGGCGTGATGAGGAAATATTGACCTCCACCCTCACCATTCTTGCCCGAAGCACACGCAATATCCACCATCCGCTCATGCACCATCCGCTCGTTTCGCGGGTCCATGCCCTGGTTAATTTCATCCACGACACGGAACGGCGAGGCTGATAGCGACTGTAGAGCCATGAGGTAGAAGATCGTGCTCACTGCCCGCTCCCCACCAGACTGCCTATGCGAGTCTAGAACGGAGAGGTTCTCGTTTTCGCGGAACTTCACCTGGATGCGGATGGACCACTGGTCGAAATCGCTCGTGCGGTTGGTGCTGCCGTTCCCGTTCCCGTTACCGTTACCAGCCTGAGTAGAGTTAAGAACAGAGCTGCCATGTTCGGGCATGACATCTTCAGCCTTGTCGATGCTCACTTGCCCCGCGCACCCGATGCGGGCGAAGGACTCGCTAAAGGCGTCACTGATTTGCTTGACGAGGGCTTCAAGCTTCGGCTCCCATTTGCCTCGAATTTCGGCAATTGCTTCGTCTAGTTCGTTGAGGTTTGTTTGGAACTCAGAAAGATGGTCCTTGAGTTTGTCGATGCGCTGCTGGCGCTCTTCAAACTCTTTAATCACGTTGGTGTTGCCTTCACCGGCTAGTTCGAGAGCGGCTTTTTCAGAGTCAATCTCAGCCTCAAGCTGATCAACGCTGTAGCTCTTTATTGTCTCGACAAGCTCCCTTAATTCCTCCGTCTGCATCTCTGGGTCGGCGTTGACGTATTCAACAAATTCCTTGAAATCATTCCGGCACTTGTCAACCCGCTCCTTTATTTTGGCACACTCCTTTATTGCTTCCTCAACTTCTGCCTTTTTCCTCTTGAGGGTTTTGTTTACTTCCGTGTTCCTCTCGTGTAGGGTGTCAAGGTCGGATACAGCTTCGAGGAGATTAACTTCTACTAAAGCAAGATCCTCAATTAAATGTTGGAATTCATCGACGCAGGTCTAGAAGGAAGTTAGCGTTCGGAAACATCCTCTGCTTGGGGGAGTAGACTTACAGCATATTCAAGAGCCACAGCAGCCTTTTCAAGAGAGAGCTGATCCTGTTTGTTCCGAAGCGCTTCAACTCTCTCCCTCACGCCCCTTATCGCAGCTTCCGACGCACGGAGTTTTTCCTCTTGCTGTGCTAAACGGGGAGTTAGTGGTTGAAGCGGCAAGAAGGTTGCAGAGCTTACCCTTTTTAGTAGGCAAAGTTTTATAGAGTGTCAGAGCGGTCTGCTTCGCTGACTTTTCCGACTCCAAATTCCGCTGGATAAAGATTGCTGTTAGCGGATGTTTGAAGGTCCTATGTCCATTATGGGAATATACCTTTTGTTCCTGTACATCTCTATGACGTCTTCTCAAATTTTCAAGTGTCTTCTTGTGTTCATCAATCACCTCCTGGAGCGTATCCACTTCCCTTTGCAGTTCTTTAATCCCATTCACAATGGTGCTCTTGGCAGAGAGATCGGCGGGCTGGTTCGTCCAAAATTGGGCAGGTCGAAGCTGCCGAACTCGAGTCGAAACGGCGCTTGGCCCGTATTCACGTCTGCGGATGACTTGGTATGACTGGCGTCCGGTCACCCAACTGCTGATTGGGCTGTTTGTCATCCTCGTATGCTCCTCGTCGGTGATATCTCGACGAGCTATAGGCGTCTGATTCAATCTGTTTTCGCTGCAGAGCATAGCCACGACAGGCTCAGGCCCAGCTAATAAATCTTTAGCCCAACAGTCGAATCCCAGAGCGCGAAGCTCCTCGTCTGTTATCGGAGTTCGGAGGTCGGATAAGGTGACAGAAGAAACCTTCATAGAAATGTCATGAAGTCCTAATTCTTTAGAGAATGCTTGCTGTAGCATTTTGAAATCAACCAGAGTCTGGACTGTGAAGGTTAAAAGGTCAGTCCTTTGGAATAGCGATTCCATGGCATCCACATATGTAGGGTCCTTTACAGAGCACTCCACAAGCGGCGGACCGAAGACCCTTTTTTGAAACTTGGGCTGGTTTGCATTTATCCATGCCCATGCTTTGGCAGTATCTGCAGACAAATGTTTCAGCTTCTCCTCTTGTCGTCCACTCTCAGTGTTTAAGTTCTTGAGGCGTTCATTTCCTTTCGAAATTTTTTCTAACGTAATCTCCTGGTCCCGAGAAGCCTTATTTTTGGCGTCATGGGCATTTCTCATCTCCTCCTCGATATCCCTAATCTTACGCACGGTCTCCCGCTACAGAAATATTAGTTAATGTGTGAGAAACGAAACAGTGGGGCTAGGGAAAAGAGCAAAGCTTACAATTTTCTCGGTATAGGCCGCAGCATCATATTCAACCGGCTCCTCCTCCATTTGTCGCGTGAGTTTGTTAATAATCTGCTGCGACTTTTTAAAAATCTCCCGATGCGTTTTCGTAGCCTTTTTCTCAGCCTCAATTTGCGCATCCAAGTCTTGTATACTCTCTTGTGTCTTTTCAAGTTTCAGGGCACTGTCCGCCACCACTCCTTCTTGTCTAGTAACCATATCTCTTTTCTGCGCGACAACCGCTTGGAGAGAATTCAAGTATTCCTTTTTATCATTAACTGACTTGAGAGCAGGGGCCAGCTGGTTTTCTAAATCACCGTGCTCTTGTTGAAGATTCCGTCTTTTGTGTTGCGCCTCTCTGAACGATTGGACGGCCTCCTGATACCTTGGTACTGGCCGCGAGCGTTCCAGCAAGGCAATCTTCTTCTGTATCCGTGCGCGTTGCAACAGCCTCTCCACGTCTTCCCTTTGCATTTCTTGGCGGCTTTCCAAATTTGCCAGTTGTTCGCGTTCGCCGGCGTTAGCAGCTTGCAATTTCTTCTGTTCGGCACGTAGTGTCTTTAGATTTTCATGCCACTCCAGCATCTCGGGGCCAGCTGCTGCTCGCTGGGTCGAGTGTAATAATTCAATTGGCGAAAGTGCAGCAAACTCAGCTACCTTGTCCTGTGGCAAGAATTGGCATAGATTGTCGATTTGAATAGAAAACGATTTCGCAAGCTCAAGGACAGAAGCCTTCGATGAGGGCTTCCCATTGATCGCAAAAGTGCTTTTGTTGCCCTTCCTTACGATGGTTCTGCGGATGACCGGGTTTTCGCGATGATTTATTCCTTTAGCTAGCTCAATTTCAATGATTGCCTCTTCGCAGCCATGTTTAACAAACTCGGCTGGATCCTTTGCTCTTCCAAGATGCTGTAGTACCGGGCTTTTGTCAGCATGTTATATAATTTCGCGCAAATCACAACCTCAGAAGTCTTTATCTTTAAGTTACAGGGGGGAACATCGTTTTCAACAAATATGTAGAAACTAAGTTTATTTACCTGTGGGCCCCATCCAAGTCCTAAGCAAATCGCACAAACAAGGGTACTCTTCCCAGTTCCATTGGGGCCAATCACCATATTAAGTCTCGGCCCAGGAAAGAACTCTGCAGAGGTATATGTCACAAAATCCGTGAGTTTAACTCTCACAATCGATCCAGGTCGATGTTCTGGATTCGACCCATTCCCGTGGGAGTGTTTTCGCCTGCCGCTAGAGGTGCGCTTGGTACGAGAGTTGGGATCGGTCTTGACAACGGGGACCTGGAGCGTATTGCCTGACTTCGTTGTTCGGTTTGCCCTAGCAGGTCCATCATCACTATCTTCTTCCAACGTAGAGTTCGCATCATTCTCGTCGTTTTCACCATCATAAGGTGCTGAAAGGCGAATGCGCTTGCTTCCATTAGACGCTTGGGAAAAGGGAGTGCCATCTCGAGAGATGCGAGAAGCCATATCGCTGTCGTGGCTGTTGCTGTCGGATTCTGGCTCTTCAGCTCGTTGTCGCCGTTGCGGAAGAGGCGCAAGGGAAGGCATGTCGTCTTTGAAGCCCACCGCCTGCGGCCTCAGTTTGCTTTTGTTGGTTCCTAGATGTTGAAGAAGTATCGAGTCCTGGACAGTTCTCCGAGCAACAACCCACAGACCACAACCGCGCCGGAACGCGTTAAGCACGAGACGCGCTAGCCCATATTAGGATAGATACCTTAAGTTAGCATTTACGTATATCTTAGTCAGCAAATCACGTTAACTAAGTTACCAGGCGATGCGCGAGTTCAATCCAATTAGGGATTGAAACTGTAGACGTGAAGAGAGATAACTCCTTGAAGTTTACAATACTCTTCATGTGTGACCTCCCAAAGTTAAATTCTTATATTCTCTAATATTTGCATTCCATACTTGTTGTAACGTTGCACCCAGAATGAAATATCTCAAATATATTCAATCACGGCCTTCATCATCAATCTCTCTAACATTGCTTGACTAATATAACATTTAGAAGTAAGTATCCCGTTATCTGGCAATGAATACTTAGGTATATCTCTTCCAAAATGTAAATCATTCAGACACAGCTGCTTACATGGAATGTAGGTCAATCAACAACGCGTCAGACCTAGGACCAAAACCATCCCCAGTCCGTGGGCGCCTATTTACCAGATACTATACTGCTCCCTCATTTGATATACATGATGATTCAACCATTTTGGAAGCATGGCCATCCATTTCGCCCGTAACCCATTGACTCTGCTACGCAGCTCTTGAAAATGGCCGCGAATGTTGCTACGCGTGATTTCTTTGAAATTAATTTCAAATGACTGGGCTTGCCTTGAACCGATAATTCCTAGCAAGCCTTGAGAGATCAACCGACAACACACCATCCCAACGATGATGATTGGGATGAGTTTGTCTCCAATTCCAAGGGCATGATATCTTCAAAAAATCACCAAATCGGTGTCTAATTTTCAGCCAGAATAACCAAGGCGTGCTCCAGCTTGAACTCTTGTCTCATACGTCACTCTTCTCATTCTATTTCTATCCACATATGAAATATTATCCGAATGACGTAAGTGAAATAATAATCACTGCTTAAGTTTTGAGTATATCTATTCTCGATATATGAATCCAGGCACATTTCTTCATGGTTCAGCCCGCCAATGCTGCAGCCATACGCTGCTGAATACTTTCATCGGTATATAATCATGCTGCGCAAGGTTCCTGCTATTGGTCCCTGTAACGTGGTGCTGCGACGTTTCATAGCGCGACATTGCGGTGACTTATAGCTAAACTGTTGTAGGGCGTACAGTTATGTTATTTAGTAAAGCGGCTGGGCCTGCTGAGATATATCTGAGAGGAGTTCAACTCAGCTGACCAAAAAAAACAACATTCACATTCACCCAAACTTTTTATTAAACATCTTTAATGGCTGATTCAACCACCCCGATCTCTACCCGTCCGAAATCCGAGGTAGTTGTCCCCCAGCCTTCTCAGCCTCCCAGTGAGGTGATTTCGAGGTGGTCAGACCACAACGTTGAGCTTCCAGCAATGGTGATCGTACCAAATTCAGAAGAAGATATTTTTGATGCTATTAAGCTTGCCAAAGAGCGGAAACTCACACTTATCCCGGCAGATGGTGGTCACGGCTCCTTTGTGCCAATCACATCGAACACCCTGTATCTAGACATGAGGAAGTTCAACAGCGTGGTCGTTGATACGTCTACGGGGACTGTGCGTGTTGGCGGCGGTACTTCGACTAGCCAAGTGATCAAGGCTGTCACGGCGGAGGGCTACTATACATTGTGACCCAACTCTAATGCCTTTGGCTACGTCGGATGTGTCTTGGGTGGTGGAAATTGTTCTTTGAACGGTCTGCACGGCTTCATGATTGACGATGTGGAATCAATACAGCTCATATCCTAGAACGAGGAGAAGTTGGATGTGAGCTCGTCATCGGAAGGAGAAGGAAAGGCTCTGTTCAACGCTCTCTGCGGCGCCGGTCATGGACTCGGAGTTATCACATCAGTGACAATGAAGATTTTCCCTCTAAAAAGTTTGAACCTGACCAACGACTGCATTTGGACTCGCAGAGCCGTCTTCCCATCTACTGCCATAGCGGCTGCTGCCGAGGCATTCGCGCAATTCAGTGATCCACCACCTCCTCTAGCTATCTCCATGGTCTTCTTCAGGACCCCTCCCAATGCCCCCGTTCCAGATTCGCATACGATCATGCTCTCAGCGTCATATTATGGGCCTGCTCATGAGGCCGAGCTCGCAGTTGCCTTACTCTTTGAGCCGGAACTCGTCAGCAAAGCCAACAAGGTAGAGACTCTCTTTGTTCCGATGGCAACCGTTAACAATGGGCTTGACTTTATGGATGTCCATGGAGGATACAAGGGTATTTCCTCCTGCTACGTGAGCTTTGTGAACATGGAATCTATCAAAGAGAGTTTTGAGAGCTGGGCTCGGGTAGGTGAGCAAAACCAGGATGCGAAGCGAACCATAGCTGTCTGGCCGGTTCAGCACAAACAAGGCCGTTGGACTAGGGCGAAGCGAAGAAGGGCAATTCAAGTTTCTTGGGATTCGGGGCCGTAGCATATTCGCTAATACGATCCGGTGGGCCCAGAGTTGGGAAACGAATAAGTCTCTTGATCAGTTTTGTGACGAGTTCATGGAGATCGCCAGACGGAATGACGCAGGGCCGCCGAGGACACTGGCCAATAACCAGTATTCGGGGATAGATCTAGAAGAGCTGTATCCCAGCGGCAGAGTTGCCGAATTGAAGCGTGTGAAATCAATATGGGATGCAGAACGAGTATTCTGGAGTCCATATTGAGCATCACATAAGCCTCTTGATTTTATCCTCGGACTGCAGGGACTGAGGCCCTTCAAGGTTATGAAACAATGTGAGGATATGAAGATATATATTGGAACATTAAAGCTGTTCACTAGCCCTCCTTGAAGTTAGAGGTCCAGCGGGATTTTTTATCTATTCTTTTATAAGTCAATGTATGCTGCAGAAGCTTACACTGACCGAGGTCACCTTTGAATCACATAGATGCTCAACCTTGAAATAGATGTGATCACTTTTCACAGCTTCCGACACACCTTCGCAAATCTAAAAAATACCGATGGTCTGTTCCATGCAATAATAACGCTGGTGTTCATCTTCCCTGATGCCAACGACGTGGTCTGGGGTATCGAGGAGCATATGCTTCTGTGTAAAGGCGAAGAGCCCATGGTGCTTAAGAAATCTTTATCTGATGGTTGTTCCATGCTTGCAGTGGCGGTGAGTATATGAACAGTGGTATTATGCCATGGTACCGGAAGGAATAACTAGTTGCTAAACATTACGCGTGAGATGGAGTCCGCTATCATCGCTCAGGTCGCCATAAATTCTTTTTCGCTGCAAAATCTTAGCTCAGTGCAGCTCAGTGCACTAGACTTCTCGAGCTGCCTTTGTCATCAGTCTCGTAGCTGTGCTTCTGTCTGTATTCTATTCGTGTCTTCTCCAGTGCAGACTGAGCAGTCTATACAAAACGGAAGACGTGAAAGATTGGCTCAGCGAACCAAGTGGAGCAAGTGAACGCGGTAGAGTGAACGCTGCAATTAACAATCTTGAATTTATTCCGAGAGATGAGGAACAAACGGCGACGACTACTGGGGAAGATATACAAGAGACCCTTCGTCAGAAGCGGAAAAATTGGTTATTGAATTCCGTGATAGAAATCGTTGGGTATTATCAGCCTCCCTCAACTCAGCTTGTACGATTCAAGCTCCTGCTCTTCTCTTAAACTACTCCGTCGGAGCCTTTCTCACTGGCTTCGGGATATACCTGGGTTGTGTCGCTATGGCAAACTTTGATCCTGCTGCAGGTGAAGATTTGTCCTACAAAGTCCTGATTGTTTATTGTTGTAGTAGGAGTAGCGGCATTATCATTCTTTACTGTGCTGAGGGAACTCGAACTATCCCCTCTCCGCCGTTGGTAGCCACTTTTAAAAATGGATACTACGGGCGAGAGCATTCTGCTAGAAAGGACGCATCTTTTAAGCCAAAGCTGGACCTGGAACTGGTTTTCCGTGGTCAACGTCAACGTAGTAGGGGATCAAGTGTCCGCTCCGATGTTCACGGGAAATCACAATAGACAACAGCAGAAAATGCCGAAAACGATAATGGTTATTGATATATTGCGGAGAACATCTGGCATAACTAAGTTCTGAAAAAACAGCCAGATTTTTCTTTGTTTCCTCCGCGTAAGACCAATCCCTGGCAGCTTTATGAGCCTCGGTCGCTGCTCAGGGGTAATGCACATCTTTCTTACAAGCTTTGCAGCTTGGATACCAGAAACTTCGGAGGCAAAGAGGTTACATCATGCATCTAGTTACTTGTTGCAGCAGTGACTTGGGTGCTGGGGCTAACTAGTTTGAGCGCAGGCAAAGTAAAGCGCCATATGAGCTCAATGAGTTTCTCGCGCCTCTAGCGTCCTCGGGCATGTATGTCGTAGTTAATTTTTACTACATAACTTAATAAATCATAATTAAATTTACGCTTTCAGAATTAAAGAAAAAAGAAAAAGAAAAAAAGAAAGAAAAAAAGAAAGAAAAAAAGAATACGAGTGTACAGAAATGAAAAGAACTTGTCGTGAGCACAAAGGGATTGTGCAAAAACAAAAGAAATGAGTGATATCTCAGACAGAGCATCAACTTGCGTTCGAAGTTCGAAGGGTTCGATAAAAAAAGGGAATTCAGGGTATCCAGAAAAAGTATATAGAAGTGAAAATGTGCCTCAAGAGGGAGAGGTAAGAAGATTATTTAAAACATGTAGGAAAATATGAGAGGAGATCTCAGAGTCCACGCCGTTCAGGGAACCGAATATCGGGGAATGTCCGGCGAGAACTGGGGGGCCCCAAATATTGCTCTCCGCCGCCTCTTGCTGCTTTCGTGGTTAAGACCGTGTCGTCACGGTCCATGGTCTCGTAGGATTGACATGGTCTAAAAAGTTCCGGGAAAAAGGAGGAAACGGCTCCTTTTCTTTCCAGTTCCGTCAAGGTGGTTAATTGAAGTAAGAAGAAAGAAGAAAATTCCGGCCAACCGGTTATATAAAGCCCAAAAGAAAAGAATAGTGATGATAGAACATTGATATCTTGCCCAAGGTCCCCCCCCCCCAATCAAGGATTATCCCATTTACCCAAAAGAAACGCCGCGTCTTCCTTTTCCATGAAACCCAATATGTGATGTGATAGTATATGAGAGCAGTGATTTGTTTCAGAAATAATTGCACTTGGGTATGGAGAGGAATATAATCAGGAGGGCGGCGGTTACGATGGCAGCGACGGTGAGAGTACGGAGGAGGATAAAGAGGTGTATGCGGCGGAGGATAGGGTCTTGAATCCTAGTATCTGGATCGAAGACTTTTTGGAGGAATTTGCGTCTCTCATAAGTGGGTATCCAGGGCTCATCTTCGTAGGAGTTGCTCTCTCCGACACTAGAGAAGATCTTAGATTGCATTCCTAGCTTTTGTCGCACGTGCTCATCTTCGTCGGAGAAGAGTTCCCAGGGATGCAGATGGCGGCGGTTAAGGAAGAGGAAGAGCTGCAATAACTGTAAGCTTTGATATTATGTTTTGACCCCTTTTTTGGTCGAAGGTCACGATAGAATCGCACTCCTCCAGTCCGTCCTTTTGTGTTGATTTCTCGAAGAGAGAAGCAAAAAGAAACAAAAGACTTACGATGCATCCACCGTCCCAGGACGTAAGAAAAATAACCAAGCCAGGCAAGAGAATTAATGCGGAAATAATCCTCCAGGCCCGCGTGGCGGAACTCAATATTGGAATGATGCCAGCTATCAGACCACAAAACATTGCCACGCAACTAACTATGCGAGCCGCGATAATCCGAGAGCAGTTGCAATTATTCATGGTCCAGCGGATAAAATTGGGATGCGATTGCTGGCGGAGAGTCCATTCTACTTGCCCTGCCACTTGTTTGAACGCTGATGGATGCGTTGTGCTGGCCAGGGCACGGTTGAGATTATCTCGTTCTTGAGACGTCAGGTTCAACTGCCGGCTCGCGCCATCCGCAATATATGTCGCATAAATTCTGGTGAGTTCATTTCTATAGGGTTGTGATAAATTTGGTTTTTGAGGATGATCGGGTTGTTCTCTCTTTGTCTTTCTTTGGCTTTCGCCTGTGCCTACGTGGGAATCGTTACATTTGGTTTCGGACGAAGCTTCAGTTCTTGCGGCGGCAGCCGGCCCTGCGTTTATCGAATCCATGTTTTCAACCACATGGCCAGGCAAGTTCTCCTGTTCGCTCTTCTGTGTGCGCGGACTTGAGGTGCCGTCAACCTTCCCCGTTCTTGATGGGGTGCTCCGGTCGCCATCTGGATGAGCAGGACTTCGTGGGGGTGTACTGAACGGTGCGGTATGGATATATGTGGGAAGATGCGTAGATTCGAACTGCTCTTCAGCGACAATAGTGACAGCTGGGGACAGCGGTACCGTTGGGGTTGGTTGACCTGATACGTCTCCCGGTCGCTTTTCCTTTCCAATCCACTCTGGGGAGAGCTGTCTTTGGTTATCGGCAATCAAGGCAAAGCGTCGAGAATAGTCGCGATACCATAGGAAAAATTGCAAGTTCTCCGCGTTCCGTTCAACATATTTTAAATAGTTCATGAAATCCCGAAGGGTGCATGGCTATAAAGGCAATTGTCAGCAATGAGTTCGAGACTGTTAAACAACATATATATTTCTATTTACGTTATCTTAACGACAACGGAGCTGACAAGCGAGTTCGATGTATACATGTAGAATTCGAAGTGGGCAAAACGGTGGACATTGGTATAGGTGCTGCGTACTAAGATGAAGGCATTTTTCGCGGTTGGTACTTACAGGACAAGTGCAGCCACCAACGATCATATCAAAGGATAATCCTTCTTGCCCACGCCATGCTCCTGGTAACTTCGTCACTCGCGATTGCTTGTTTGGTTCCCGTGCGCCCCTTACATTCGTCAGACGTTCATTGGGAGGAGGACAGCAACGCCCAAGAATACGGCACGCCATCCTGTCGATAAGAAAGGATATGGGGAGCAGGAAAAGGAAAGGAAAAGGAAAGGAAAAGGAGGAGTGGTCAAGAAGGATCACATTTTAGGGAAAATGAGGAGTCAAATCACGTTCTCGAGTTATGGAGCGCCGTCCGTCCTGCGCAGGGGATCGAGTGGTCAAGTCGTCGATCAATAATGGGCACTCTCTGTCCACCAACTCCGGTCCAGCGCGACCGCGCGGAGATTGATGGAAAGACTATTGGGAGTGTGGGGGGGATGGATAAAGTAATACCCCGGGAGCAAGAAGCAACTCAGCAGGGGATTGTTGGCCATTAACAGGGTACACCCCCCCAGCCTGTTCCATGAGGCAACTCTAGTTACTAGCTAAATAAAGTAGCATCGCATGGATAATCGAGGGGAAGAATTATTATTTTCTGCGGCTACCTGGGATTTCACAGGAATCCCTCAAGCGGCGATGGACTTGGCTTGGGGGCATTTCTTAATGGCTCCACCCAGGCGTGTTCAATAGCATATCTCCATTTACCCCGACATGGATAAATAGCTTAAGCCGCCAAGCTCGTAAGCATACGACCTTGGCGAGACCAAAGGGTATTTTTACGATCAGATTCCTTGTGCGTGCTTTTGTCCGTCCTCCGGGCACTTTCTATCCTATCATCGACATGGAACTGGTCATGCATGGCAACTGGGATTCATCAGGGATCCATCTGCCCTTCCTGCGCATCGAAATCGAACGGAAAAATGAAAGTATGTTACCTCACCTTCTATAGATCCGGCCATCGGCGTGCAGAGATGTGTCGCACCAGATCGATAAAACCAGCTTTCATGCAGAAGAAAGAAGAATGATCGGTTGGACTCTTCTGCAGCGCAGCGCAGTCGTGCTGTGAAGATATGCCTGGCAAGACGGAGTGGCGTACCGCTGCGCCCACACAACCATGGATAGGGAGGGAAAACCAACCTTTAGTTAGTTCTAGAGAGTTGCTAGAAGCAGGTTTCAACCATGGGAAAAGCCGGGCCCTTGAATCGTAAAGTCACCTCCTATCTCCCTGAAAGATCAGCGTGATCACTCGCTGTGCTGGCGCCGTTGCTGAACGCCTACGTGCGCTTTGGGGAGACCGGGGTCCGCTCGGGAACAAATCAATAGTAGGCCACCCACGACACTAATTGCCGCTTTACCCAACCACTGATGATGATGGAGCTGAAGAAGTATCAGGATAAATATATCCCACCTCACGAGTGTACGACGCAGAGAAGTGAAGCCCTCTCCGGGTCGAGCAAAGCAATCTGTGACACTGAAAAGAATTCATTGGTAACCGAGAAATTCATCGTTGTTTCTTGTCATCTGGACGATAGCTCAAGGTGTGTTGCATAAAACGGAGGGCACGGAGTAACTAAGGAGGACGGTTGTTTTGGACTGGTTGGGCATCCGAGCTGGGGGCTCGCGGCCTCCAAGGGCAAGGTTATTATTCCGTTGTTCAACGGTGCCAAATTTTATGGCCGAAAATGGGCGCTGATAACTTTTGCATACTACGTACTGGTGAAATCAGCCCAGTTGAAACCTTCTCTTGGAAGAAATGGTCTTAGTAAATAACAATCAGAACTCATCTTCAGCCACTTTGGCGTCAGCGTTGCAATAATAGCCTGGGGTGGGATATTTGTATTCCAAACAAACCTGGTTCCCGCAGATAGCGTAGACGGACCAGGGGTAAACAATCCACTTGTGCGGCTCGCGGCTTGGCGGAAATGCACCGGACGAACCAAATCCAACTAGACCAAGAATGAAATGAAGGCAGATTTCCTGCGACAGAATCCCACGAGTGCATGCAATGGTTGCTAGCATGAAGTACGACTGCGTTGTACTGCGTGTTTCGAGGCAAAGGAAGCGAGGATATCAACTCCTTTTTTTTTTTTTTGGGGGGGGGGGGCACGTTGGCACATTTGCCCACCCACAGCATCTGTGAACCTTTGTTTTCGTGAATCATCGGCTTCGTTGCGATCGCGTGGAAAAGCTGTTGGCATATAACTAGTTAATCATTTAGCCGGGGGAAGATCTGGTTCTCCATCCTTCAGCAAACCGGAAGCTTGGACTTCTCCTGGCTCAAAACTTCCAAGGTTGAAAGCTGGCGTCACAGAAACCTTGGCTTGGAGATGGTGCAACCCATCCCATGCTCACCTACGGTGGTTCTGAACACGAGCATGAACAAGACCGTCCCTCTCGCGTTGCATAACATCAATTGACATCGGCATTGTTATCAGAATCAGAATAATCAAACCGTCTCCACGCTGTGGCTGACTGATGGAAGCGATGCCAAGCTCCGGCTGTCCGGTTGTTGGCCAGATGGGGCTCAACAGAACAGGGGTCACATGTTCCACTCCAACGGCGAAAGACGACGCTCAACATCCATCATCGGGTCAACTGCACAATCTCCGCCATGATACATACGCAGACAGACAGACCCGTGGACATTGCTGGGTACTGATTGTGGACTGAGTCACATGTCGCATATAACTTATCAAATCTGGTTGCATTAGACCAACCGTCTGCTGTTAGATCGATGGACCCTCGTCGTAGGAAACTCAGCGCTTTGGACCGGAACACGAACTATATACACATCAGATTCCGCTATGCCCGGAGTTGACTCTGGTGACAGGGAGGACGATGCCTGGGAGGTTGGGAAGAATATCCCCTCACAATCCAGCAGAACTCTTCTCCCGCGACCAGTAGCTTCCCTTGTGTCGCTGTTCACTCATTCGACGTCCTTATCTCTCCGTATCGGCACATTCCTAGGCGGCTTTGCTCTCGATAGTGCGAGGGCTACGACTCTCACGGGCTTAGAACTGAGCAGAGCCGTTGTCGAGAGTATTTTGGTAAGAGCCGGGAGGGATGTGGCCTTACAAAGTACCGAGTATGGAAGGGCGCAGGCTGAATCGTTGTTGGAGCGCAGTGTATGTGTATCCATCTACGACTTCTTTTCTTTCGTTTGGCTGGCTTTTTCATTTTATTCATTAAATAAATCTAGCTCCGTGCAATACTAACTAGTGCTAACATACTTTGTAGCTGGCAACATTACACTCGAGTATAACCTCCGCCTCTTTTTTTGCCTCTGCTGGCTTTCACCTTTCTTCGATGACCCTGAACTCTTTCTCTGACTTCTCGCAAAACCTCCTATCAACACTGGATGCTATTCTTGGATCGTCTGAATCTTCTCGTGCCATTGCGGCGATAATCACGCTTATTATAAGAGAATTTCGCAGCAAAGAAAGCAAGTATGGCGGGCAGAGAGCCGGCGTAGCTGATCTGTTGGTGGGTTCCACGGGTTTTGCTTTGCTCCAGCGGTGGGGTCGAAGAGCAACAGAGAGAGAAATGCGGGACAGCGGCAAGGAAGAGACCGTTTGGGATGTGGTAATCCTCGACAATGGACTTAGAGCGGATGTTGTAGGAACCCAACAAATCGGATATCCCGAGGACATTGATACCGGACCCACGCGTGCATCTACCCGTGCATCATCTTTTATATTGCCAGATGACACTGACCGCGCTGATGTCTTCAGATCAGTGGGACATGACACTGCTAGACGCAATACTCTGGGTACTCTTCTGCCGCATGTTTCTCTCCCCGCTGATCACCAGCATGAGCTTTCTGATGAAGAGATCCGAGTATATATCATGAACCAGTTACCAGAAGGCACCAGGGCTTCAATAAATACAGATACCGTCACATCTAGAACTATAACTGTGGACTTCTATGACGACGATGTTGTGGATCTATCTCCCCCACCGGGAGCTGCAATGATAGCGGAAAGATTTCACCACCTTCATGATGTTGATCCAGGAGATACTACGAGGGGCTTTGTCAGCCATCTACTTAAACATACGGTTGTATTTCGAACCTCCTCAAACCATTCTAATAGCGCAGAGCTACGCAAAGAGCTCAGTGGTACATTATATTCTTCTGCCGATCGCAGCTCAGCCTCCGGGCCTCATTCTTCGAACAAGCGAAAACCGAAAAAGCGTGGCGATATTTCGACAACCTCGGACCCGTCTTTTAATAATACGATGACCATACCAGATTCTTGTGCGGAAAATACCAATTGCCCATATGGTGCAAACTTGTCCTCATCGATGATTGATTCTGGATTGCAGCAAGGCTCCCTTGGAAAGGGATCCCTTTCCAACTTTACGCAGAAGGTCGTATCTAACACGGAAGATAAAGCGAGCCATAGGCTGCCACCTTTGAAGAAGATTTTTACAGGTTTAACTAACGTAGCCCTATCCTCACAGGACAAACAAGACAACAAATCTGACGACGAAAATATCGCCCTTCATAATGCTTCAAGAAATCCATCGCTGAAGAATCCAGCTGGTAAATCAAATATTACCGAAACTGCACAGCCTACTTCGCCAATGGCAAAGCGATTATATTATACCGAAAAAGCTTTGCCCCGGGTACCATCAAAGCACGAGTCTTTAAATCACAAGCGAAGCTTCGGCAATTTAATAAACCCGCATCCCAACGGTCCTCGAATGAGATCGCCTTCCAGATCCAGTTATATCTCCGTTCAAGGGAAAACCGTCGACTCATATACTGCCCAAACCGACGCATACTCCCTTCATCCTACTGGATCCCCTCCCAGCTCTCCCACCAAGGCCAGGAATCATGTTCGTAGCAGCAGCGCGCTCTCCAGGACACTGTCCGAGAAAGATATAGCCATCCTCGTTAACGATGACGAGAACCCACGGCCTCTGACCCCTCATCGCAAAGGGTCTATCAAATCACTGGCACCTAGCACTTACTCTATTGCCGATGCAGGATCTGAAACTTCCTTGGTACTTGCCACACGACCTACAAAGAGCGTGTACGAGGATCAGGCTACGATTCTGGCCCTCCAGCGCGATGGACGGGTTCCAGGAGTATTTCCTGATGACCATATTGTGAAAAACATACAGAGATTTTCCCGCTTCTCGTCGGCATCGTACGGCTCCAATTTCCTCCGAGTGATGGGTATTGGGAACAAACAGCCATGGCAAAAAGACGAATTTATTAGCGATGATCATCACGAGCACTGTTCATTTTCCAAACATACGGGGCTCCCAGCGTCAACTATACTTCTTTCATCATTTGTCGATCCTGCAGGCGGATCAAATGCAGCCGGAGAAACAGCTGAAGGATTCCCTTTAGTCCACTACCTGTCCTTGGACCACGCTTCCAAAGCTGTTGTTTTGACGCTTAGAGGCACGTGGGGATTTGAAGATATCTTAACCGACATGACATGCGATTATGACGATCTCTACTGGCTAGGAAGGACCTGGCAGGTCCACAAAGGGATGCATGCGTCAGCGAGGCGGCTCCTTGAAGGAGGTGGCGGGCGCGTCATGGCGACAATCAGAGCTGCCCTGGAAGAGTTTCCAGAGTACGGTGTCATTTTCTGTGGCCACTCGTTGGGTGGAGGTGTTGCTTCGCTTCTTGCAACCATGATTTCGAGGCCCAAAGATGCAGATAAATCGGGCCCTTCGTTCGTAACGGCATCTAAACCTTCATCTGGTATCTCCTTGCTTCCCTCATCTCAACAACGTGGTCAGCTCTTCCTCCCTGCCGGACGCCCAATCCATGTCTACGCCTTTGGCCCACCGGCAGTGATGTGCCCCTCCCTCCGACTCGCGACAAGGGGCCTGATCACAACCGTCGTCAACGGCCAAGACGTCGTCCCTACTTTATCTCTCGGAGTCCTCCTTGACTTTCACGCCGTTTCCATGGCGTTCAAAAGCGATATGTCCGACGCCAAGGCCCATGTCCGCTCCCGCGTCTGGGAAAGCATTACCGCCAGACTAGTGAACAAATTCTACGTAGACCGGCCCCCACTCCTCGTTCACGCAGGTGATAGGGTCGGTGAGGATTCCTGGGCGTGGGCTACACTGAAATCGCTACGCGAAACCTTAGTGGCGCCTAAATTACTCCCACCCGGCGAGGTGTTTGTCGTGGAGACGATGCGTGTTTTGCAGCGTGATGCCTTTACACTCGACGCCTTCGGTAGTGCGGACGGATCACCGCGTCTAGGTCGGCCTGCAACGCGCGTTCAGCTTAAATTCATCCGGGATGTGGAAACGCGGTTCCGCGAGGTCAGATTCGGGTCTGGGATGTTGGGTGATCATAGCCCTGGCAGGTATGAAGCCAGTCTGGCGGTGTTGGCAAGGGGAGTTCTGGAGGATTGATTCTTACAGGCTATATTTCTTTAATTCGTTCATTTTGGGATTTGGCTTCCTTTGGGTTTTACCTAAATCGTTATAGATGGTCTTCGACATTTTACATTTCTCTCAGCTGCGTTATGATTGTGTAGAATTTAGATACATGGGTGAACGGTTTTTGTGAGAAGATGGTCATGTTGGTGCCTGCTTCTATTACACACGGTCTTCATACTACTTTTCTTCATTCCCTTTTACTCTATCCTCCTTGGTGTACTTTTCTATTATACCAATTTATACGTAAATAACAAATATATACCCAGTATTAACATAGATTCGATAGCTAAGGCACTTAGATATAAATAACTCCAGGGGTAACTATCTTTGAACATTCGGAGATACCCTCTTTTCATCTTTTTTTATCATCGTTTTATTCCCCCTTTTCCTGTGTAGCACCTATAATATATTCCGAACGGCTACCTCGTTTCCAGTCCTCCTATTCCTATCAACATTTTTCTAAGAGTTTTCGACAGAACAACGCTATATTGTAGCGCTCCCTTGGCTAGCAAACAGCTATTCGAGCTCTAGTAACAACGGCGACGAAATAATGAAATCTGCACCAAAGCCCAACGAATACATGAGCCAACATGCAATAATTACAGAGCGTATAAAAAAAATGAAACTTAATGACTCCTATATAAAATGTTTACTGATATTTGTAAAAACTGTCTGGAATAATTCTCTTGTTCCCACACATGCACATTTATTGTACGCTACATAATTATCCTCATCCATCATACCATGCTTCCAGCACACCGAGGAAGCCCAAAACAGATAAACACCCCTCACGCGCCCCCTCTGCTAAAAGCACTCATCATCGTCCCACAGTCATCCCGCACCAGCCCCAGGCAGCGATTAAAAAGCCCACAGCTGCACGGAAAGCCGCCTTCCCAGGCATCCCTTCACGCCAGCACACGTAACCATCCACCAAACCCAGGTAAGCGAGGATTACAAGGATGGTATCGAATTCAGTGAGCTTGTCTTGGGAGTAGAACGTCAATAGCGTAATTCCAATGGCAGTGGTGCGTGCTGACTGTGTGACCATCACCGATTGGGCTTGTTTGGAGACCGCAATGCGCTGTGGAAGACCGAATTCTTTGATCGCCTACTCGGCATTGAAGAATGGTAGTAGTCCGCCGAAGGTGGTGGCTGACGCGACGAGGAGGGCTGGTGTGTGCCGAGGAGTAAAGTGCGAAAGCATTATGCTTTGGATTTATGGGAGATACGGATGGTTTCGAAGAGAAAAAGTTGTTTTGTAGTGTGCTTGTTAAGAATACTGAGAGGCAATGAATGGCATTAATTCTAAATAGAATGAGACATGGCCAAATATTTGAAGCCCTTGGAAAATGAAGCAAAATGTGCTGGCGATAACAGGATTAGCAATATATTACTGTACAAACCAACACCACAGAGCGATCGAATCGGGGGAGTTCCTTATTGCATTGTGAAAAACCCAACGGCTTCTTTATAAATGCCTGTTCAGAAAACCTATTAAATAGTTAGAAAGCATCTTCAAAGAGATTTTAAACAATTCAAGACCTTAGAACCTTCTTACACTAAAAAAAAAAAAAAAAAAAAAAAAAAAAAAAAAAAAAAAAAAAAAAATTCAAACTAATTATGTATCCAAAACACGTTTGTATTCATTGTATGTGGCTGCATAGGACTCAGCCGAAGCTATTCTTGAAATCTCACTCATTTCCCAGGCTAACAGAACTGGAGCTCCTCCAACCCGATCATTTCCATCCGCAGCTCCCCAGCATGAAAGGCATATACACAACAACCACCTTTCCTTTTGCCCTCCTTTTCTGGGTATGGTTTTGGTTGGGGACAGCCAAAATTCAGAGATCCCATCCCGTGGCATATAATCTCGACCATTGATCCGCGGTGACAGGGAGCACAGCTCGGGAGTATTTCTCTCTCCCTTTGACGTCTGGTCGTCACTAGCCTCCCCCCATAAAATGAAATGCTTATCCGCGAGTAGCATGTACCAGCGGATGTAGCAACAAAATATCATTCCATTCTGGAAGACATAACAAACGAATGTTATTTGAATCCGCAGAATCTCGGCGAGCGTCAACAAGTACCGGTTGAGTTCGAAGGGTGAGAGGAGGCCGTGAGACTCTAGGGGTGGCGTAAGTCGCATGCGGAAACATGTCGGTAGTCCCAGCAATTAAGGCTTTGTTTAAGTCTGTCCCCTATGTAAATTGACTCGTTCATTTGCGATTGCGATCGTTATCCGACGTAACTCTACTCAAATAATAAGATATGAGCACGGTCCTTTACGCGCATCGGGAGCCGTACCACACAGACCAAAAAACCCGTCCACACTTAGACGAATTCGAATGCGAGGGCGAATGTAAATAGGAGATATTTTCATCACTATCTCCTGCCGGTTGTCCTTATTGTGCACATCCATTAAAGCACAGCCGGGTGTGCTCTCCGTGGGCAACTGGCTAGCCAAAAGGACTTAATAATCTTTAGCTCAGATTACCTTATGCTCTATTTCACCGCTCCCGCCCACTGTTACCAATGCTCTCATTCCTGCGCCTGCTCTCCTGTCTGGCCCGCAGCTCCCCTATCTGCTTTTCCAGCGACGCTCGACGCTTAACGAGTTCCTCCCGGGTTGCTTCGAGAGCTTGAATTTTCTCCGCCGGAGTGGCGGATCGTTGTTTCTCAGCTTCCTAGAAAATTGGAGCGTAATGTTAGGGATGCTGTATACTTAACATCCATGGGCGAGAGGAAGATATAAAGACACGTACCTTCTTTGCATCCTGATCCATTCTCAAGCGTGCTCCGTATAACGAGCCCGTAATTGTGCATATTGTGACGCCGGCTGTGAGGATAATCCGTCGTGCTTTGGGAGAGATAGCTGCTGAGGACATTTGCGATTGACAACTATGAGAGGATTTCCCACGGAGCAAGGGTTGGGCTACTCAAAAATATGCAATCGAGTATATTTTTCTGAAGCTGAGATAAAGAAAACTACATGCATTGTTTGCATTGTTTGCATCCATATGAAGCCCTAATTCATTTTTCCCAATTTGGACGGATTGGTTATGTCCACGGGTCCAGAGGCAAAAGGACTTATCCTTATCTCTGTAGACTATTCAATATTCTCATCTGAAGCGAGGTGCTTACAAAGTGAATAAATATCCAAAAAAGCTATACGAGTATTCGCTGTTACCTTCCTTTCTCATCCAATCATTCGTAAACGGCGCAGGCTGGCTCCCTGCTGCGTCCTGAATAAGCTGAACCTAAATATCCTCGTAACTTGTGAGCAGGGAATTTATTATGGAGAAGATAGGCCCGCCGTGACGATATTGTGGCACAGTCCTGACATATAAAAGAAAGAAAGGAATGTCTGTATACTCTGCAAGGCACATTGTACAGGAGAACCGTTTTGTTAACCCACCAACTTTATTATATTTGTTTAACTTCGTTTCTTCTTACCATTTGATCATTATACATACATATAAACACACCGCCCGCACCTTACATCCACTAAAATAAAGATGCCCTCCACCCCGCGCTGCTTCATCATCCGCCACGGCGAGACAGAATGGTCTCTAAATGGAAAGCATACAGGCACTACAGACCTGCCATTGACCGAGGACGGAGAGAAACGAGTGAAAACTACCGGCAACGCGCTCGTAGGACATGATAGATTGATAGTCCCAAAGCATTTGGCACATATGTAAGCTAAAACATTTTATGGCTCTCTTTCTTCCCAATTTGCCCCGAATTAGAATTCGCAAACCACCTAACCTACGGCTCCCACTCATGTGATTGTGTTGTCCTTTTAAGATATGTCTCCCCCCGTCAGAGAGCGCAGAGAACCCTCGAACTTCTCGAGATTGGTTGCAAAGAACCGCTTCCCTGGTTACAAGAAAGACAGAAAACACCCTCGCGGACGGAAGCACGCGTGGAAATCACCGAAGCTATTCGCGAATGGGATTATGGCGATTATGAAGGGATGAAAAGTGCGGAAATCCGAGAGCTGCGTGCTAAGAACGGAGAGGGCTCGTGGGATATTTGGCGCGACGGGTGTCCTGGTGGAGAGTACGTTTACCGAAAGGCGGGCCGCTGAAACATTCCACTCTCTCCTCTTCTTGTTGTTAAAATAAAAGCAAAACAGATCAGCCGATGATGTTACCAGGCGCCTTGATGCGCTCATCGCCGAGATCAGATCGAAATATCATAGCAAAGCTATGACCAAGTTAGCGCACGAGCCTGCGAACGGCGATGTTCTAATTGTGGCGCACGGGCACATTTTGCGAGCATTTGCGATGCGCTGGATTGGAAAACCGCTTACAGAAACGGCGTTCATTCTGGAGGCTGGAGGTGTGGGAACGTTGAGGTATGTCCTACGTCTCTCTGTAGTGAGGGTTGACTCAAATTGGCAAAGGTCGAAAATTTCAAAAAAAAAAAAGGACTGCTCCTTTTTTTCCCTGCGGGACATAGCTGACACCGCTTAATCGATTTTCCTAGCTACGAACATCACAACATTGACGAGCCAGCCATTATTCTTGGAGGAGCATTTGTCGTTGGTGACTAACGGATTTGCAATTCGAGGAGTGATCGAGTCGCGGTGGATGATGAGATGAGATCGCCTCATTGCTGGACCAATCGAGCGTAGACTCTTCGTATACCATATTAGATAGATATAGGAACACCATTCCCCACCCTCCTAACACTCCACCTCCCACGGTATGAGAGAACCATAAGAATACCTTTATCCTTTCATTCTGTGACATCAACTCCCAACCCTTTAACAACCTCACTAATCATCCCCTTCCCTCCTACCTCCACTCTCATCCCCACACGCAGCAGCCGTCTTCGCACTCCCCTCCTCCCCTAGAACCTTAGCAGCCCCCATAAACAATCCTCCCACATATCCGCCCAGAAACCGCATATCTCCCGCCTGCGCCGCCGTCATGCGCATGAGATTCTCCATGTCGGCCAGATGTGCGTTGAGCTGTGCGAGTTGGGAGTGTAGATGGGCGTATTGACGCGTTTTGGCTGTGGACATAGACGTTTGGTGTTGTGTGAGGGTGTGCGAGGTTGAGTTTGATGAAGGGTTGGTGCTGGTGAGATTGGCGGTATATCCGGCCATGGCGGTGGCGGAGGAGGTGCGGGAGTGGGATTGGTAGTTATTATTATTATTATTATTGTGGTTATTATAGAAGGATTGTTGACGTTGGTGGTAGGGTGGTGGCATTTTCTCCAGTAATGTTTTGTTGTTGGTTTGTGTATTTTGTAGCGTTAGCTGGCGAGGTTACGGGAGTGATAGTCGGCTTTGCTTTGCTGTTATATTATTTTGCTTCTATGCTTTCATGGAGATTAGTGAGTGCACATTAATGTACAATGTGAGAATTGAATGAACGGCTGGTTTAGCTGTTGACCTGCTGTTGCTGAAGATGGACGGTGATGTTTCGTTGGTAGCCAAGTTTAATATCACGTGATTCAGTGCATTCAGTCAATGAAACAGCAGGGATAGAGTTTACTCAATAGGTAAGAAAAGAAATAGTTAAAAAGGAAAATCGAATAGATAATAACTTGGAAACCAATAGGGGGAATTCACGTGCCGGCTATAGACAGGAATACTTGACAATAACGACTCGCACGAAGCAGTCCGTATTTCTACCCACGTTGATAAATACAGAGGGGAAAAAGGGAGGGAATCTTAAGAAGGAAAAGATATCGCCAAAGAAAGTCATTTCTACAACCATACACTCTTTCCCATATCTATATTCTCATCTTATATGTATGTTATATACTATTGGCGTCAGAGCACCCCAGGAGGGCAGTGGGAGTTTTGCGCCATACGCTCCTGACAGGACTAATAACCCCCATACAAAAAAAAAAAAAAAATCACGAAAGAAATAAAGTCTGACTCGAAACTGTTTTCATTACCAAGCCAGGTTAAGTTAAGGTTGGTCTCTTCCTTCTCTTCTCTGAACTAACAGCCAGCTCATATGTATATGTGTAGGCAACAGAATAGTTTTCTGGCCAAAAGCAAAAAAGGGAGAAGAGAGAAAAGAAGCCAATACAACATAGGATAAAAAAGTGAAAAAAGTAGGTATAGGAAGGAGAGGGGGAGATGCAAAACATTAATTCAAGTGTAGAGGGCTTAGAAAACAAAAAAAAGGGGGGGGAAGGGGGACAACAGGGAAACACTAGGTTCGAAGGTTTATGAAAAGTAAAAAACAATACGGGTTTGTTAAGAAAGGGACGTAGAAATGGAAATAAAGGATATGTATATTGTGTGCGCATTTGGTTATAGTGATTATTTTATGATCCGCCCAAATGACTCGTGATAAAAACAATGCATCCTTGAAGTACTGAGAACAGAGGAAATTCAATCAGCTTATTCTGAACACTGAAACACAAACAAGCCCCAACGGCGCAAAAAAGGTGGAAAAAAAAGGTGAAAATTGAATGTTTGGGTATAAACCGGTAATTCAGCAACGAAGCTATATTACTCTTATCAGCCCCCCAGTTACCAGCCATTGAAGAAAGAGCTGCCATTAATATTTAGTTGTGAGGGAAACGGTTATGCCTTGAGAAGGGGAAAGAAGGAAAAGAAAAAGAAAAGTATGCAAATGGGGGGTGTAGAGTTAACAAAGGAGAATGAGAACAAGAGAAGAGCAATAGCAGCAGCAAGTAGAATATGTAATGGTTTGGCTTATATAAAAGTTAAACCGTCTATCCGCAATCGACTTTTATCACGATCACGGCGGAACGGGTAGGGTGAGGATATCATCAATGCAGAAGACGTCTAAAGTCGTATCGTAAACTTAGTTTTCTGGTTCGTGGGAATCGCAGCGAGGGTTTCTCAATCGAGAAATCGAGCATTAACAAAATGCGAAGGTCGAATATTTTTAATTGGTTCATCGAGCGAGCGATGATTGACGAGGACCTAGACTGCTCTGACTGCTGTGGGCGGAATTTTCGGAGTCGATATTGGCGCTCACGCCGCTATCGCCACTCCCCGCGCTGGCGCTCGCACTCCCTGTCAGACTTCGAACTTTTAGGGTGCCTTTGGCTGGATACGAGTTGCTCACCCCGACATGTTGCTCGACTTGCTGCGGCGCCGCCACGCTTCCTTGTCCAGGAGGATACTTTGGAATTGGCGCTCTCTTCGCCCCAGGAGGGGATGGTCTCCTCCCTGTGGGCAGCATAGGTTGCCCGTTATACGAGTCGTGACCGGGGGGTGGCCGGCCCATACCACGTCCGGCAGGGTGAAAAGAAGTTCCAGGAGATTGGCTAGTTCGTCTACTTGGCGGGTGGAAGTTGCCCTGTCCTACCTCATTCATCCGACTGGCTGTCAGTGAGTTGGCTCTTGATTCGTCGCGAATCTCTTTCCTGTCGACATTTCCATATCGATTGGAGGAATAGCCCATCATGGGATTATTTAACAAGGAGTCGTGTACACCAGGTATCTCATCCATTAACCGGGAGGTCGTACGGCTTCGTCCACCGCCGCCAAAGTGCCTGCTGAAAGCTGAGGGAGGTCTACCACCACCACCCATCTCAGGATTCTTGCGGAACTGGCCTGGATTTTGACTTTGTGTTTTCCGATTTCTACGAGAAGTAACGCTCAGCATGTCAAAATTGTCGGGATCGATCTGAGGTAGGGGTGGGCCACGGTGATCCATTGGGTCGAAATAATCATCGTCGTCCATGTCGTCGAAACCGTCACGCGCCGCCGACGTTCGCCGTCCAACTCTTCTCATGCTAATTTCTTGCTCCCTCAATTGTAGTTCACGTTGCCGTAGTGCTAGCTCGCGCTCTCTCAGAGCAAGGTCCGGAGGAGGGCCTCCACCGTTTGACATAGGACCGTATCCACCGTTCTGCGCCCCGTCCTCTAACACGTCATCGTACAGCATAAGATGGCTAAATTCGTCCAGGTTATGCTCTTCTGATAATTCTCGCTGCATGGGCGGCGGCGGGCCCCTTGGAGGAAATCCATTGGGAGGTGGTCTCGGGTGCATACCCATCGAGGACGGGCCACGTCGAGGTGGGGGCATTCCCATACCAGGTCCAGGTCCCATTCGACTGCCCCGCATTCCATTCATCGGGGGACGGGGAGGAGGCGCAGATGAAAGTCTTGGGGGTGGGTGAACGGGGCCTGGTGACGTTGGTTCCTGCGGTTGCCTTGCCTGATTGCTGGCGTTGAGGTGGTGTAGCATCGCATATAGCGTCTCTATTCGAGGGATTTTAATACCAGTTTCGGTTGCTATCCTTACCGGCGATCCCAGGTATGTTTCCACCTCCATTGGACGCCTCGCTAAGAAATCTTGGTACATGGTGCTCGGTGCATCTGAATGGGCGATCATCTTCTCAATTATCGATTCTTTGAATTTCTCGGAAAAGGTGCAGCCCTGAGTTTTGGCTAGGCTAACGAGCTCTTCGATAACATCAGAGATTAATTGGCGGAGCCCAATTTTCTCTAAGAGGTCTGCGTGGTTTGGGCGTTCGAATATCACGCTCGCGGGATGGAATGCGATGGGCCTGCGATCATATATCGGTTAAGAGTCATTACCCAAAGGGGAAGAGAAAAAAAAAAAAAAAGAGTCAATAATCGTGGCTTACCCGATCATGCGTTCATACTGCTCTTGTCTGATGTTTTCTGACACTTTGCAGTCGACTTGGCCTGTACTTAATGTGATAGCCAAGGCTACAGCCATATCGTTCTGAATAGATGAAGGAATCATGGCATTTTTTGAAGAAGGGCCTACCCAAGTATTTGTCGATGATGTAATTTCGAATTCACTGGGCCCGGTCTGGATTATCTCAATTCCAGACACTAAAGAGAGAACAACATTTGTAGGAAACCGGTGCTCTAGATGAGCCTCGACACCCAATGTGTTTGTGGTGTTAACCAGAATACAGGTATGTTGGGGTGTCACGACCGACTCAATGACGGAGGCAAGATCGTAGACGTCTGGTAGAGCCTTCACGCAAAGAATAACGTAGTCGAAAGGTTGGTCGGTCGAACCCGCTTCTTCTGGAGTGCGCACGACTATTGAAAAAAAAAAATGATTTGAAATCAGCGGACGATCTCTCTTGCAGCTGCACTCCAATGGGGTCCGAATTGTAAGGGATTACATACCCCGAAAGGGTTTGAAGCGTTCATTTCCAAATACTTTTGATCTAAATGACGCAAATCATGAATTAGTTAAAAAACTAGGTCCACACGATTGCTTTGAAGGAGGTTCAAAAGGATGTTCAAAGGGGAGGGAAGCGGGTTCAAAGGTCTAGTTGCTTGCATACCTGAAAGTAAGACCATATTGAGAAGCAGATTCAAAGCCTGATTTCCATACGAGGGTCACATCGCAGGCATTTGTAGCTTGGAGCCGCCAGGAGAGAAAGGCAGATATCGCATTACCTCCAACTACAAGGCAGTTAGTATCGCGGCGCTTCGACATTGAGAATGCAAATGGGACAAGTGGAAATCAATGGATCAAAGCTCTCTAGCATTTAGGCATCGAGAGACTATGACCAAACAACCAACGATATACATGGATAGATTTGGCATATAGTGGTATTTTGAGGGGGTTGAAAGGGGAATTGAGGGACAAAGGACAAAGGACAAGATCTCCAGCGGTTGAAAAGTTCTGAGACTGTGGGCGACCCAAGCAAAGCAAAGCAAGCCACACAACGCATGCAAGCAAAACGCACCTGACAGAATCCGCAGTCTGGGCGGCGAAGGAGTCATTGCCGGCAACGCAGCGACGAGAAGGAGACCCCGAGGTCCAACGCGGGCCGCAGGAGCGACGCGGAATGGGAATTAAAGAACGAAAAAGAGCACAAGTTCCCCCAGCAATCGGCAGGCGGTAAACGGCAAAACTCTCCCTAGAACGCAGAAGTGGCTGACACAGCCATCCAGCTTGGTCTTCTCGTATGGGGAGGGGGGAGGGAAGTCGAAGGGCCGGAACCGAGGGCGGGAGGGGAGCTGTAGTGAGCGGCAACGAGAAGAACAATTATCGACGAACGAGAGACAAGAACGAGACACAGAGAAAGGGAGAGAGATTAACGATCTCGAGGTCGATTAGCAGAGTGTAATGGGAGAGAGAGAGAGAGAGAGAGTGTGTGTGTGTGTGTGTGTAAACTGAAGCGACAGTAGGAGGAAGAGTATAGAGGCGTTATGACGACGAGGACGACGACGATGTCAGACCAGACCAGCGGGAGCGGAATAAGGCCTCTAGTTCGAAGCAAGCAAGCAAACACAAAGAGAAGAGGAATCCTAATCCGACAGACAGATTGAGACAACTTGCTGCTATGGAGGTGCGGATGGCGATGGCGATGGGTGAGAGGTGTACAGAGAGTAGTTGGCCGGGAGTTGGAGCAGGCGAAGTCAGTGAAGTATTTAGCTCGATTTTTTTTTACTTTTTGGGCAATCAAGGCCCAGACACGACACGACGACGACCAACGAACAAATCAAGAATAAGTGGAACAGCGGACAGCAGAGCAGCAACAGTCTAATAATTTACTGCTACTAACGCGACGACCACCTCCAGAGAATAAATGAACGGCCTGGGGTAAATTAGAGATGGGGAAAAAAGTACACCAAGTATTATTATATATAACCCAGCTCTCTTCTCTGTCTGCGGGATCAGAAAGGAGGAGGGAAAAACGAGTGTGTGCAGAGAGATCCAGCAAGTGAGCAGAAAGGGGAGATGGATTGGTTCTGGTTGAGAACTACTTCTTACTATGTCCCTGATGCTGATGCTGAATTGTTGTTACTTCACTCCTAACTTATTACTACTGTTGCTAACTAACTGATGACAGGACTCTGCCGGGCCGCCAGGCATACATACATACGCAAGGCCACCCACCGGGACTGGCTGGAACTACTTCCACTACGATTGAGCTTGGACACAACACAAAACAGAGACCTCTTTTTTTCTTTCTCTCTGCTAAATCCGAACGGACGGGACAAGGAAGGCCAAACTTGGGCTGGGCGGTGGCAAACCGGTTGCAAGGTAGGCGGCTCGAGGAAGCACAAAAAAAATTCGTTGGACTTGGAACCAACAAAAAGTCATGCTGTGGAGCGTCATCTGTGTTCCGTGGGATTTGAGATCTCGAGGAAGTTTTGAATTTAGAAGGAAAGGGGAAAAAATATTTATTATTAATTTTATGGTGAACGGACAGCCCAATCGAACAAACTTGGCATTATTATTATATACGCAGCGTATGCCATGCCTGTGGTTCTTCCATCAGCATTGGCATCGTTTTACTTCAAGGAATCCCCTGGATGCCAGCCGATTTCGCGGAAATTTGATCTGGCTTTGATTCTTCTTCGTTGGTGCGATTCTTGTCATGTCATACATACTCCAAGAATATCAGGCAATATGCGCGTTGACAGTTGAAGTGTCGCCTGTCAACTATGGGAGCTTTGACATTCAGAACTAGCAAGGCAGAGTGACACACTGTCAACACGCTATCTTCCCTAGCTTTTTCGCCGATCAAGAAAGGAAAAAAAAAAAAAAAACATATAACAAGAAAAGAAAATCCTGACGCATTTCGAGAACAGCACCGTCGCTGATTGTCCTGATCGTCGTCTGAGCCTCGTGTGTTTGTACTGCAACACCCCATCCTGTTCGCCTTTTCCCTCTCTTTTACGAGGCTCGACTATTGTGGGCAATTCAAGTCTTCAATATAAGGTCGTTGCAACATTGTACAGGCACGGGTACAGGTACATGTCTGTACAATGACTGCTCCCACAAACGACTGCTCTTGCACCGCTCAAAGGGATGCTTTTTCAATAGTCCGGCTAGTTTCTTTGAGTCCTGACGGATATTGTTCGCAAACCATCGAAATGGACTCCGCCATACAACTTTAACTGTGCAACTTCGCAGCTGTACCAACCATTCATTTGGAAATCCCCGTCATAGTCAATAATAATGTCATTGTTTCGTTCGGCTTTGTGGTGGGATGTCTTTGTTTTTGTACTAACCAATGGTCGCAGGGATACTGAGCTGAGATAGTCTGCCTGATACATACATACGTGCCCACTTTCTGCGTGCGGGAAGGGCGAGGGTGTGGGCCTGCAAGGAAAATCAGGGAGGATTCAGGATGGCTCAGTCCAGGACCAAAAAACTAACTAGCTTCAAACCTTTAGATTTGAAGCTAGCCCGGATAGTTGTTCCTTGATTTTGATGTTTTTGTTTACAGGGCGCACAGCCCACACTGGTCCCCTCGCTCCAACCAACAATCATCATCATCATAGCCGGCTTCAACGAAGCTAAGAAGAGCCTAAGACCGAGGCAGGCACAAGCGTGGCCAGTGTTGCGTCAGGAATGCAGGCCAGGAAAAGAAATTATTATATAACTATTATTAATTCTTATTATTTCCAGACGGCTTTCCAAGTTTCCATGTGTTTTTTCCGTCCCCGGTTGGCTGGCTCTCAGCTCACAGGGCTACAGCGTAGGAACCGGTGAACACTGAACAGACAATATTCGGCCTTAAGCGCTCCATTTCGCCGCTATTTATCGCAATGCCAACCAGACCCTAAAGGTACGGTACTTATTACTGTGCAAGTTGTATTATTATTATTATTATTATTTATTGTACTCCGCACACAGGGCTAGAAAACTCGCCACAAAGCGAATCTATGATATTCTGTACTCCGTACTCCGTACTCTGTAATAAGTTAATCCGTACCTCGCAGAGGCAATCGCCCAATCAAGCCTCATTTTATGTACGGAGTATATATCATCGATACGCTTTTTCACAGGCTTTGCAGCCCAGGGCTCACAGAACTCTGTCCAGCGTGCAGGGAAAGCAAAATGTCCTGACATGGAATGCTATATACCCAGTCTCCCTTTTCTGCTTGCAAGAAATGAACCCTTGCACGGTAGGCCTTTGTTAGCATCGTTATCGAAGTACTGCATATAGTTAGTTACTCAACTCACTTGCTCCCACGACACCTCTACTATTAGTTAAACCCACCCCCGTTTTGAAATCATTAAAATGTCCTGACATGAAATGCTATATACCCAGTCTCCCTTTTCTGCTTGCAAGAAGTGAACCCTGCCATTTGAATTCTTCAATACCAAGCTACAAAGACAACCAACCAAATACCTTTCATCTTCCGAAGCTTTTCCCCGTACTGTACTGTACTCGGACTCGGCTTCATCGCCAATTAACGGCGATCTTCTGTTGGATAACAAAACCCCCAAGCTACGTTCAAGTACAGTACATGCATAGTAGTTACGTCCTCCCTTCAACCCGCTCCTACTCAGTAACTGCAACTACTGTTCTTTTCCTTTCTTTTTTCTCGGATCGTGACGGAAGTGGCACTTGCACTGTGGCTTGCCAGCAGCTACAGGCGCAAGGGGAAATGTGGCGCTGACACTAGCAGCTATGCATGCTTTCTTTTTTTTTTCTTTTTTTCTTTTCTTTTTCTTTTCTTTTTCTTTTTTTCTTTTTTTTTCTTTTTTTTTTCTTTTTTTTTCTGACACAGAGAAGCAAGCTGTAAGAAAAAAGCTCAAATCCTCCAGCGCCGTATGGCATATATAGTTATTTATCACCTATATCTGTATCTTCAGTCATGCAAGATAGCTCTCAATCAAAGGCTGCGAGGTTTCAACTCCATTATTATTAAAATGTATGAAGCAGCAAAATAGACCTTGATAGACTCAAAATATAAGAATAGAAAGTCAAAAAATAAATAATAGATCTGCAATCGGTTAAGTTACCACCACCCGGGATGGTACATGTATGTGAGAGCTCTTCAGTTATAAAAATGGAGCTCAAACCATCCAGGTACACACTGCATGGCCAATCATGCACATGCATAGAGCTTACTCTGTACAGATTTCGGGATTTACTTAACCTGGACTCGAGCTTGTTGCACGGTGTCATGGTCCTTTTTTAGCCACATTGACATGTATCAACCAGCAGACTGTCCTTTTTCTCTCTCATCTATGCAATTGAGATGTAGTACATATTTTATGAATGATAGTTAGATAACCAGATAGGCCATTGACAGCCCATCAAGAGGCAAGCTTACTGCTCCCTGGGACAATGTTTTTCATATGAAGCTGATGGGACATGGGAGGATTTGCTGAAGCTACAGACTGCATGCATGCATGGTTCATTCAATCTTTGGATGAGGGTAATCAATGTCTCGGATTTGATTTTGATGCGCACTGCCTACGAAGCGTCAAGAAAAAGGTTTTCCTGTAGCACAATGTCAAGCATTATTAACTCTGGCAGTGCTCCGTACTCCGTATCCCCATTTGAATTATGAATGAGCATCAGGGCTCAGAATGTTTGTCCACCGCTCACAGCCTCTGTTGTTTCGTTTGAATCCTGCAATACTCGGAGGTGGGTGTCATGAGCACATGGCTCTTGGGACAGCACAGCATTGACATGAGGAGGATAATAAAGCGAAAAAGAAAGGAAAATTGTCTCCCGGACGGACATTCCATGGGTGAACCGTTATATCTCTCGTTACATGCATACAAACTCCCTTGCATAACATGATATCTCCACACCTTCGCTTTTACATTCCTTCAAAATGTGGTATGGAGTCTATGGAGTAAATTCGCCCATCTACCTAACAAAATATATCATCCACAGTTTTATTTTTAGAATTTCTCTTTTAGTTCCCAATAATAATAATAACAGTAGAGTAGAGTAGTCAACCCCTTGTCCTGCAGACTGCAGTGCAGTGCAGTGCATCAAATTCGTCATTTTTCTCTTGCATTAAAACTTGGGAAAATCCTCGTCGCAATGATGCCATCGATTGGCGATCCCCTCCACTTCCCGCTTTTCACTTTTCTGATGACCCTTTTTACGCTGTAACTAAAAACTTGACTCAGGAGGTCTTTTAACTAAAAGGTTGTCCCGTTCTCATTAAAGCCAGCCCCGCCCGAGGGATTGCTCGGTTGTTTCAACCCTGGACGGACTTACTATATATGACTGCGTCGTCGTTTCGGCTCTTATAAAAAACCTTTTCACGGCTGAACGCACGCTTGTTTTTGAACTTCTCTTCTGAGAGGGTTGTTTCTAAGTAGTAAACTGCGTGCAATATGTGAGTGAAAAACTAACTCTGTGATGTCTCCCTTGTCCATCTTAGCCCGAGGCCGGCCATCATATCCGGATGTATGTAAATAATATTAAATGTTCGACCCTTCTACTTCCCCCACTCCCCACCCGAGCGAGGACGAGGGGGATTGAATCATAATAACGGGTCGAAAATCCACAAGGCTAGCAAATAATTATGCTAGCCATAAATGGCGGGTGCCTGCTACGTATATTCTCCACAGAGGATTTGCCATTATTTCCCTGCAGGGATCCGAACAGGAGACACGCAACCATGTAAGGTCAAGGATGGCGAGTGTAGGCTGGGCTGAGGATGCATGCATGGGAAATAATACTATGCGTATTGGGAGCTTCGCTGAATGACTTGGATCATGGTGTTGTTATAAAGGGCTTTCAGCTAGCCAGGGTCGTTGAGCTCGTGGGGATTTCTGGATCGTAGTTCTCTCTATCTAGACGACGATGAGGTCAACTTCTCCTTTTTCTCAACAATGTATGTGAACATACATGAGTTGCATTTTCTCAGGTTTCTTATCTGGATATATGTACGGGACACGTACATGTACAGTACTTTTTACCAAGGGGGATGTCGAGAATGACTTTGGTGCCTTCTCCCGACTCGATACCACTCTCGTGATATATAGAGAGGCTGGTTGGAAACAGTGCTTTGCCAGACAAGCTCCTCTTTTCTTAATTATTCGGAATACCGTAACCCCACAATAATAATGCCATGCATGGTATGTTTATGCAGCAATCCTTCGGGTTCTTCACGTCACGGTTCGCCAACTCGTGGCTCCGGCGGTTAACCTCGATGTCAAACGGGTTCAGAACCAGTGAGTCGGGTCGCTCGCTAACAGACAGTGGGTCTGAACGAGCCATTTATTATCAAATTATAACTCCTCCAAATCTCTAGGAGATGGCTCAAAGACGCTAGATAATGAATGCTCTCTCAACACAACAACCTCGGTGGCCATCGCAATGGGATGTGCTGCACCTATGCGTGCAAGGTGCACGACATAATACGCACTGCGGAGTCCACCCTCTTCCAGAGCTGGCCACGCTTTGTTGGAAGAAACATACGAGACCCCGTTTGGCTTCGACGATGCGTCACCGGGTGGCTGCGGCTGCAGGTTCGTCGTTCCTTGTGTGATTTTGTCTCCCTTATTGCTCCAGGAGACAGCCCTACCACCAAAAAGGGGGTTGGTTTTCGGAGTTAGTTGCTGCATATTTTCTGCCTGTCACTGAGCCGATTGGTAGGCCGAGCATTCAGCCATTCCAACCCCGTTAACGTAACAGACGGGCGGGCCTTCATCTATTGTAGCATGAATATTCATTCATACCCTAGCACCGCAAGTCGAGCTTTGGTTGTTGTTTTGGTACCATTGAGGTGCTTCGTTGCCTGCATCACTCAAAAACCTCCCGCGTGGTCTGGCTTCTAGCAATCTTCTGGGTTAATCTGCGTCTAGTTACACATCAAGGAATCAAGGGCGAATGAAAAGCTTACCACTTCTCATAACTCGCCCCCTCAGATGCCAAAAGAAATTACTGGAGGCTTATGTCACGTCGGTTCGAGCTCCCCGGACTGTGATCACCAAAACGATTTGTTTGGTCGATGGGCAAGAACTACAAATGATGTTGTATTTATGACTATAGACAACTCTCGCACTGAAGAATCTGCACAACCTACTTCATGTCAGCAACACTTTCCATGGGACGAATACATGGCCCACTAGAATCAAACCTCTCATAGCTGGGGGCCATGATGCGAAGTGCATAATATGAAGTTTGAAATGCCTAGAGGTGTAGAGAGTATAGTATCAGAAAATGGGGGAGAGTGTCGTGATGTCGATGATGTATACTATCCGTATATCCAAAGCATTGCGCAAAAAAAGGTCCCTAGTTATCCGATACCTGGCTTAATTTGTGTCAATAAATAAATTCCAAGATCAGGCAATGAAATGCACCGTACCGTCGTCCCCTAACGCCTCTGGAAAATATTTGGGGGAGATCATAATGGACATCAAAAAGTCATTTTGAGTAACTAGACGAGTAGGCATGTATTCTTTTTCTTCCTCTCTTTGCATAAACATCCCGCTGCCCAACCACCCAATCTTCCCATCAACCTTGGAATCGAATTGAAGCAAACAGGATTCTTCTGTAGCCTTTCCGGATAGCGAGGAGATAAAAAATAAAATAAAAAGAAAACACCCCACAGTAACTAACCATATTCCCTCTCCCGTCTTCTGTTTCCCTCCCTGACGCCTCGCTATTTTCGCAAAGTCACTTGTATGTATCCATCGTCCGCCTTAGAACCCTAATCACGGCAAGAGAGTAACGTAACATTTTGAGAGCTTTGTAGATTTTGCCGGCATTAGAAGCAAGGAAGTTTTGAGATAATCTAGGATTAAAAAACAGGCAAACCATAAGAGTACAATACGAACACACAGATTTTAACGAGAGACAAAGAGGAGCAGGGAAACAGCAAAAAACAATACGGAACAATCTCTGACCGTTATACGACACACGCCAAATTGTATAAGAAAACAAGACCGGTTTTAAAGTTAAGACGGCCGTGGTTGGGCCCAAGACTTCTTACACCTCTACACGCCATCCTACTATGGTGGTGAAATAGAGGTCTTCCTCGGTCCACGGTGAAAGATGACATGCTTTATGCCATGTACGCACTGGAGTCGACACCTCCCTCGGGGTATTCACTGCCAGGATTGTTAGTGTGCTGACGCTACATCAAGGTTTCCTCAAAGGGGAACTGTTTTACTTACGGAAGTGCAACTTCGAATCGTTTCTCAATGTCCTTGAGAACCTCTTGGTCCTGCTCACTGCTAACGAAAGAGATGGCAAGGCCCTTGGTACCGAAACGACCGGCACGGCCGACGCGGTGAAGATACGAATCCGCATCCGCAGGCAAGTCATAGTTGATGGCCAGGTTGATTCGTTCAATATCGATACCACGGCCGAAAACGTCTGTTGCTACACAGATACGCTTGTTGAATTCCTTGAACTCCTTGTATCGTTTGATGCTTAATTGAAGGGTGAAAAGTCAGCGACCAAAATTCGAGAGACGGTTAGGGAAAATAGAACCTACCGCTCTTCCTGGGAAACTCCGGAGTGGACTGCGATGCTAGGGAAGTTGCATTCACGGAGGAGCTTGTCCAGCTCGCTAGCACGCTGGGTGCTCTTAACGAAGATGATGACCTGGTTAAATTCTAGGCTGTCCAATAGCTCGTTCAATTTCCGGTTTTTCTCCGACTCGCTGAGCTTAATATAGTATTGTAGAAGGCCGTGAAGGGTCAGCTTCGTGTCGTCATCAACATACACCTCGAGAGGATTGCGCATGAACTTCTTGCAGATCGGCCGGACTTCCTGGGACAGGGTGGCACTAAACATCATGACTTGTTTATCGGCGGGAGTCGCACGGAAAATCTCTTGGACGTCGCGTCGCATATCTAAAGTAACAAGTCAGTATCGCTGACCTAAATGGTTAAGATGTGTCCCGAATCTCAAATACTAACCGATCTGATCCAACATCTTATCACATTCGTCGAGAACAAAGGCCTTGATGTTTCGGAGAGACAGTTTCTTGTCGCGAACAAGGGCGTTCAACCGACCAGGGGTACCAACAACGATGTTGGGATATGTGTCCTTCGATGAGAGCAGTTCAATGTCTTTCTGCATTGGGGTTCCACCATAGAAAACAGCAGTCTTCACATCTGGAAGATATTTGCTGAATCGGGCATATTCGTTTTTGATCTGATACGCTAGCTCCCTGGTGTGGCACATAACAAGTATCGAGCATTCGCCAGGAACTGGTTCCAGTTGGTGGAGAGTTGTCAGGACAAAGACAGCGGTTTTTCCAAGACCAGATTTGGCCTGGCAGAGGACATCGACATTCAGAATGGCAGTCGGGATGCAAACTTGCTGGACTGTAAAGAGGAGCGACGGAAAAAAGTTAGACTGATTCGACCCATTTAAAGCTTTGATGGCAAGTCCGCATTGCGAAAACGTCCGTCCATCCCATAATTCTGACAAGAAGACGCAAACATGAAGAAGGCTGGCCCGGGAAATAAAAATGACAACCAAGAGGGTTGTAAGGGAAATCCGTAGCAGAAGATAAGAGAACGAGGATGATTGAAGATGACAGATACAGGCATTTGCAGGTCGGCACGAGGATAGCCATTCCTCTTTCGAAGGTATATAAGGTTAAGGAGTCTCTGGCATCTTAAATCGCGGGTTCTGGCGCATTTCCTTTTACCGAAAACGACCAAGATTGACAGACAGTTATGCCACGCGGCAGAATATTGCCAGCCGTTGTTTGAAATAGTCCCTTTGACGACGCGCAATCCCGAGTGCGCTGACTGCCGTTAAAACCCCTTTGATTATACCATAGCTAATTTGCGAAGAGACATCCTCGTGCCGCCTGCAGGCCCCGCAAAACACGCGTGTGGATTCCGGCGTACATCAAAAAAACCCCGAGGAGATGGACGGACGTTGCAAGATGGAGCAAGTGGAGGGAGGCTTGGGAGAAATGATATATATTTTTTTTTGGTTCAATAAAACTAACCCTCCGATGGATGTTCGAAACCGCAATCGGTGATCGCACGCAAAAGTTCTCCCTTCAGGAGGAAATCGCGGAAACCAGTCGAGTGAATACCAACATAGCTTCCTTTCTTATCCGCTCGCGCGCCAGCCACTGTCAGGTCACCTTCTTTTTTAGGAGCGGCACCGTTGGCGCCAGCGGCAGCGGTAGTAGTAGCGGTAGCATCAGTTGCCTGAAGCTCCTCATCGGAGTAGTCGATGAGATCTTCTTCGTGAGACATGTTGGAAGGAGGCGAAAAAGCTGGACACGAAAAGTTTGATGGACTTGGACGTGGGCGGACGGCTGAACAGTCAAAGGCGCAGGATCCGGTGATAAAACCCCAACCTTGATGTTACAGGAGGGGGATCAGGATGGCGAAATACTTGCAACGGTGGTATACAAAGAACGATGAAGGACAAAGAGATGGAAGAGAGTCGCGTGAAGAGAGAGAGATGAAAGTTGTTGAGACACGGACGGGGTGAAGTTGTTGGTTTGTCACAGAGCCAAGCCAGAGCCTCAGTAACGCTAGCCGGTTTAAGCATGGCGTCTGCACGTGATAGGAAAAATCTAATTTAACTTTTTCCGATCCGGTGAGGTTCACGTGAAGTAGAAATTAGAGTTAATTACAAACAAGAAACAATGCAAACCAGACTACTTTAGGACTAGTGTAATTTGACTGGAAGTCATAACTCGGCTCTTCAAGCAGCCAACCCCAAAAGCGAAGCAAACCTTCGGCCCCCGATGCTCAAAACATATCCAGGAACCAAGGATACTAATATGGCAAAAGCCAAGACTCAAAGGGGCGGGGGAGCAGGTCAGAATCATATTCGAGTTCGGGTTGCGTTCTTATACAGAGCGTCGACGTATTTACAGTCCGCCTCTGTATCAAATCTTTCCGCCAAATGCATCACCAATCGGACCATCCAAGGTTCAAACCATGGATCTCCTACCCAGGAACAGGCACAAGGTAGTGAAACTGTTCCCAACGACAAAACCTCAACTACAGATGCCACCGGGGAGTCGAAACAGCCACACCCACAGCCCACACAACATGTTCCAGTCTCAAAGCTCTCTCGCCAGCTGGCTTCCCAGCTGCGCGGGGTATCACTCAAGTCGCAGCTGCGACTGTCCCGCGACATCAAACGATCAATCTGCAAATGCTGTGACTCGCTACTGATCCCCAACTCGACCTGTGTGGAAACGGTGGAGAATGCCAGCCGTGGCGGGTCGGAGAAAAAGCCGTGGGCTGACGTCCGCGTGGTTCGCTGTAATAGTTGTGGCTATACAAAGCGATACCCGCAGACAGAGAAGAGAAGCTTGAAGCTTGCGGAGCGCAAGCGGTTGAAAGAGGTGGGGGATGATGGCCGGACCGTGACGTCGCAACCGACCACGGCACAGTTACCCGCTGTTCATGTTGCCCGTTGAAGTTTCATTGGAGGCCTTGGATAACTTTGAAAAGAACACTCCGTCGAACGGGAATGAGACGGCATACTAGACGGGCAAAAATCCCGTGCCAATACGACTACGCCTCGGCGGCTGAACTCATAACAGTCATGCATCCGCGGCCAGCTAAGGATGCTCGGAGAATATTTGATCCAATTAGATCCTTCAAACTTAATATCCAGATTCTGGAAACGGTTACATCATGCTGGATGCTGCAGTGAGCCACGCACGGGGGAGGGATTCGCGGGTCACCGCCAAAACTTACGAACAACCTCTCGGTATGAGGCTACACGATCCACGTCCCACTCCGAAATACGGAAGTAGGTAGTCAGGACAGCGCATCGCGGAAACAAGCTTGATGGGAAAGATCCATTGATGCTCCCTGACAGGCAGTTTGGTGTTTACATATGTACGATGCAAAACGCAACGTATTATAGGAGAAAAAATGGGATGTCAGAGAGGGAGAGAGGGAGAGAGAGCGAAATAGCTAGTTATCTAGTAGCGATTAAACAAATAACCATAGCGCTCCATGATGTTGTCTCCCAGGTCATATTCGCTTTGCGCCGTGTGGCCTGGACATGGCCCTCAAGCACACATGTAAGACCGAGGGGAGATTCTCTAAGTTTCCCTTGACCGTTCCTATGCATAATAGTACAGTATATGTACATGTATATAGATTCTTAGGTCTAGAAGGGTGGAATTCATATTGGCTATTTCTAGTAATTCACCAATGTGAGCAATAACTGGCCATGCAGTGAGCTAGTCTATCCGATAGGTTCGAAAACAGAAGATAAAAACCAAAAAAAAAAAAAAAAAAAAAAAAAAAAAAAAAAGAAAAGAAAAGAAAAGAAAAAGGGGCGGAGAATTCGGGAGGGGCGGTATAGGGGCAGCTAGCTATATACGTAATCACTAGAAAAAATATCGAGCTTATAAGAATACCTACGCACATAATAAGAAGGCTAAGAGGACATGACAAACGGTGTGGGGTGGCGAGGAACTACAACAAAAAAAGAAAGGGTCTTGACATACGTGTGATCAATCGACAAAGAAAAAAGGGCCGAAGGGCAAATAAAATCAATAATATTCGCGTCGGATATTGAAACAAAATCTTGAAACAAAATCTTGAAACAAAACTGGCTGTTATGGAAATCCTGAGACTTGGATAAAAACGAAGAACCTGGTACCGTACCGCTTGAAAGGCTGGACGTAAGGAGGGAACAAAAAGGAAGAAAAAAAGAAAGAAAGAGGAAGAGAAATAATACATACGGATATTTACCAATATATAATATAATAATAATAGGAGGTAGGGGATGCAGGAGCGTAGTGTAGGTAGTAAGCAAAATACGCTTAAAGAAGGCCATAAAAAATACCAACATCCGCTGACGAAGCGGGGTTAAGCAGGATAGAGGGAAGAGGGCAAATGGCGCAGGAAGCTAGGGGAAGGGGGAAGGCATGAAATGGTATCAGATTCAGGTTCAGTCTCATCTTTTTTGTTTCTTCCACCCCCCCCAGCCAACCAGGCTTCCGTTTCTCCAATATTTACCTAGGCAGGTAGGGATCCAATAAGTAAAAACCAATCAAAGTGAAAAAAAAGAACGAAAATCAAAAGTTTCGGCCGTGAGGCATGTAACCATTCTTAGAAGATTTTGTATCCAAGACAGAAAGTAGATAGAAAGTTGCAAAACAGAAAAATAGAAGGTGTACAGGGTTAATTAAGTTCCACCTCTTCCCGATCCAGCAAACATTGCGGAAGTGGAATTTGCGGATCTTACGGGAATATAATAAGGGGTTATAATTCTTTCCACACTGGCTCGGAGCGGGTGGCGTACTCTACATCAATGCGGGTGGCTTTTGATTTCCGTACCCATGTCTGCGCGTTGTAAGCAACGTGGAGGAAAGATGATTGTCCGCGAGGACTAAATATCGGCGAAATTTGAATATCCGATATCCTGATTCTTTTTGTTTACGCTGAGCACGTGGGATATGTGTCATTTATTTTGTTTTCGAGGCTGCGGTAGCAACATTAACGGGCTGTGTCAGAGAGCAGGACCACCCAGCAGTCGAGGTGACGAATTGGGCCGGGATCGCGGTTTTCGTAACAGAGGAATATCGCTGCATATGTAAAAACGGAAAGGGGAAAATTGGAAAAGCGTTCTCTCGTGGCATCGTAAACGTGGGCTCATTCCGTCTCGCTGAGCTTTTCATTACGGGATTTAATTTCACATTTCCCCTCACTACCACGTGAAAAGGAATATAAACAGGTAGATGAGAGAATAAACAAGGAGGAGGAATGTCATATCAGCGTCTTCTGCGGGCGGCCTGGTCCAACCGGTGGTCTAGACTCTCCACTCTAGATCTGTATTGCTTGACGATGTCCCTGATGCGTCGGATCTTGTCGAATTCGGTTTCCAATTCATCGATGTTTTGTAATATTTGGTGCATTCGCGCAATCTCGATATCTGCATTCGCAACGACATTGCCCGCTTCGTCATAGGTATTTTGGATTGATAGTTCGGATTGTTCAGTCAACTATATAGGGGATGATATTATTAGCGCCAGCTCTTTAAAAGGCCCGACAAAAGATAAACAACTAATTAGTCACAAAGCGGCTTGAGGAACGTATTGGGCTCTAGAAGCGCAAAAAGCGATAGAAGCAATCTAGAATCTAGATATAAAATTGCAAAAGAACCAACGGCGGCGGATGGCAACCTACATAATCTATTCTTCGCCGTATATCCCTCAACAGATTCTCGAGTTGATAATAGAGCGCTTGCAAGCTATCCGGGTCGAGCAGCAGTCTGCCATGACTACTGGCAGCGCTGGCGGCACTGGTAGCCCGCGAGCTCGAATTGCTATTCCTCCCCATGCCTCTCCCCCGGGACACAAGGCTGCCAGCGCGGCTCCCCTGGAGGGCGATCTGCTGCTGGTGCACCGCCATCTGCATCTCGGCGGAGGTGAGGCCGAACCGGGCATCAGGAATGGACGTTGACGCGGACATCTGGTATTTGGCTGGTGTGTGCGCAAAGACATGCTCTTAAAACAGAAAGTCGTCGAACGCACGGGAGGGGATGGGGCGGGCGGATTGGTGGTAGTTCATGTTGGAGAACAAATGCGGGATGAACTGTTTTGGATAAAGGGAACCCGGAAGAGGGGGGAGGAGGGAAAGCGAGGTCTGTTGTATTTTAAGTATAACTAGATGATCTCCTGAATTCACCCAGACAGGCGTTATTCCGCACTAAGCATCAATAGTGGCATATGGCTAGATCCGCGAGAAGTCGCAGAACGGGTAATTCTGCGGATGACGAGCAGGATCGCAGCCACACCGGGATTTTAGCTCGGCGGAGGCTGAAGCCGTGGCGAAGGCGCAGTATGAGACGGGGAGGAGAGGGAAAGCAATGACAAGGTTGGCGAAGGGAAGGAGATAGGATATATATTTTGGCGATGGGAAGAAGGAGGACCAGGAGGATCTCAAGAGATGGAGATGGAGATGGAGATAGATGAAGATGAGAATGAGGTCTGGGGTTTGGGGTTTGGGGTTTCGAGGGTTGGCAGTTGAGCTGGTGACCTTTTTACCCCCAGGCAAAGGAAACACAACAACTTCCAACCAACGCCGGATATTTATCAATCCATGTATTCAATTTATCCATTATTATTTGAATTTGCTGAATTTGCATTTATTTTAACTAATATTATTATGATACTTATTCTACTTGTAGGTTCAAAAAAGAAAACATGTGACGGGGCCCTCACAGAAACAGCTACATACACTATGTAGCCAGGCCAAAAAATGCTCCATCGCCTGCTCCAATACATCCGTCAAGTTTCGACAAAACAAGTCAAACGTCCGTCTGGATTGGATGGAGCTAGAAAAAGAAATATATCTCCATTTCCCTCCTTGATCTGCCAGAAGAGAAAAGAGGGACATCGGAGGAATGCTGAAGCTATGGTATTTCCCCAAGCCCCGGAGTAAATAACTATCCTGGATATAACTAAAGCAATCAAATCCCCTCTTCCAGCGCCGTTATCAGCCGGTCAATTGGCATCCATGGAAATAATAATAATAATAACTAGCAGCTGGTCGCCGTGTGAACCGGATATGGCATCTCCCGCATCTCCCGCATCCCCCGCACATCCTCGTCCGCTATCACAGTCTAGCCTACTACCTCTACAAGTCACACGCGCATCTCGCCCTCCCAAAGATTGTTTTTTTTTTTTTTTGCAAGCTTTGCCGTTATCGTCAACTTGTCGCTGGGCACAGACGGCGGCCAGGCCTCAATTATTAAGAACCTCCATGTCCATTCCATCTGACGGGCAGGGCTTCACTGCGGCCATTGGCCATCGGTGGGTTGCTCCATTCCTCGGATATCCTGCCCCCACGGTCCCGCCATCGTAAAACATCCAAAGAATCCGAAACTACGGAGTAGTAGGAGAGAAGATGTGAAAACGAAAAAAAAAAGGTGATCTAGATCAGTAGTGGCTGCAACGCCTTCTTTTTTTCCATTCCCTTGCCCCTCCTTGTGCCTACTGCAGGGTGTGCGGCGTAGGGCTTTCGGCTGCCCAACCTGTGAGGCTCAGGCGGGAACAGAGCTTCAGGGCGCATTCGATTGGCCCTTGGAACAAGTTTCCGTTTATGCAACACCTGCATGGGTTGCTGTTCATCGTTTCTGTAAGCTGTACGGAGTACATGGAATGTACTGTACAATAAGTTGGTTGGACTGGAGCCGTTGGACTAGCTGCAAGCTTCCCCCAAGCTGCTTCCCCCGTGGGTTTGGGTGCTGGTAACTAACTTAGTTAACTAACTTACCGCATTTGCTCAAATCACTCTAAATATTTAACCGCAGACAACACCGGAACAAACCTCAAACTTCGTTCCAGCTCCCCAACCAGCCAACCAACCAACCTCTACAGCGCTTTTCTCCACAGACACCACCGTCCTCTGATAATTCACGCTACTTAACCTTTTTTTATTGCTTTGTTATTTTTCTAATTCTCGCCTTCTCTCCACCCTCGCGCCCTTGCCACTCGATTTCGCGTTTCTAAAGTCGTCGCTTTCTCGATGGCAAAGGATAAGGAACGCTCCATCAACCCCGCCCTAGCCCAACGGCGGCTGGAGAAGGCCAAAGCCTTGAAAAAGGGTAAAGCTGAGGTCCAAGCTCGTCGGAATGAAAAGCTCGCGCGTCGCAACCCAGACCGGCTCCAGCGCCAAATCGACAATCTCAAGGCCGTCGAGGAGTCGGGGCAGCCACTGAAACCGTCCGAGAAGCAACATCTTGAAGAGCTCGAGAGGGATCTCCGCGCTGTCAAGAAGGCTAGAGAGGCCCTTGGTGACAAGGCTCCGACATATGGTGGGGGTGAGGCTAGACAGGGAACGCATTCTCATTCTGATCGAGGGGGTCGCAGTGATGGTGGTGGTCGCGGAGGGGTTCTGGGGAAGAGAAGGCGGGATGGCCAGGAAAACAACCGGTGGCGGCGACGTGATAATGACGATGGCGAGGGCAGCAGCGATACAGACGAGAGCGTTCGACGGATCCCCATGCCAAAGGACACCCCTCCACCCATCCCGCGCCAGCATCATGCACCCCGCCGCGCAACCAATGCAAACATGGAACCCCTTGGTGAAGGTAGAGGACCCGGCGAAGCGCAAGCCACCACCACCACCACCACCACTGTTCCCGTTTCTCACCCACCTGCGGCACAACCCAAACCTGAGCCGAAAACAGTCTACGAAGCGGCCCCCGTGATCAAAGACCTGCGGAAGGAAGCTGTGAGCAAGTTCGTCCCGACCGTTGTGCGCATGAAACAGGAGGCCGCCAAGGGCCAACCCGGCAGGTTGTTGGAGCCTGAGGAAATGGATCGACTTGAGAGAGAAGGTTACATACCAGGTGCTTCTTCTCAAGCGTTCCAGCCTTCGCCTGTCGAATCTGGAGCTGCCACTGGAACTGGACCGGGAACTGGCTCTCCTGCACCGAATGCTACACCCCCTACGGAAGTTAATACGTCGAAGACGAGAACGGTGCAGATAGAGGACGTTGAGGACGAAGATATCTAACGGAGCGCTCTACATGGGAGTTCTATTATTTTTTATTTTTCCATTTTCCATTTCCATTTTTTTCATGTATCTTTACGGATCGGGGTTGCTGTCGATTATTCGCACAATGTCTTGGGATTTCTGGCGTCATATACAGGGACGTTTTAGGATTATGGCATACACAAAATGTCGGAGACGGAGACATTTCACGGAACTGCTTTTTTTAAATCTTTTATACCGGTGTATTTTATTACTGCTTATCACCCATCTGTTTATTCAGAGAAAATGATTGCAAAGCAAAAAACACAACCGCGAACCACCTGACACCACCAAACCCGACCACCCTCCCTCCTAATATCTCCTTCTCCATGTCCTTCAAACCGAAATCATCCATGTCTCACCTTGCATCCTCACCCTCTCACCCCTCATCTCATCTTAATGCCGGCGAACCCACCTCCCATCCCGCGAATCAACATGGACCTCCTCATCTCCACGACGACCCCAGTTACGCATAATTACAGCAGATATATATGCAGGGGCGAAATGGGTGGCGGCAGCACTACACTACCCAGAAGCGTACAGCCGGTGTGGTGTGCTCACAGCTGAGGCAATGGCGGTTGCGGTTGCGGTTGCGGACGGAGTGATTCTATTCGCGTGCATTGTTTTTTGAAAGAATTTGGTTGGGTTGGGCGTTGTTGGTACTACTTTGGGAACCCGCTGAGTCGGGGAATGCATGTATAACTAACTACACAAAGCTATATGGATTGTGTCATAAGTGATAAGTGCTATTGATAACCTAGCCAACAAAACACTCACACTCACTTATCGTAAGCATTATTTTTCACAAGGTGCAATCAGTGGCCAGTGAGGGTTACAACCGTTTCCACATCCCGATCCCGAGTCGCGGCGCCCCCTCCCCCATTCCGAATCAGGAGCAGGCTGCGTTTTCTCCGCTCTGGAACGCTAGTTTGCGAGCGAACGGGGGAGTCAGCGAGCTCCCTTGGATTGGCAAAAAAAAAAAAAAAAAAAAAAAACTTCTTCCGCTTGAGGTTGAGTTTCCGTTGCCCGCATGCATGCCGTTAACTGAGTTTCGCTTGGGGGTTTATATGAAGGTGCTAGTTGCGCCGGCAATGGCATGCGGGATGGGTGGATGTCCAACGCGTATTTCAACAGGTATTTCAACACGAGTGTAGTGTACGGCAGTTTGGTTATATCAGCCGATGTGCTTTTTTTTTTTTTTTTTATTCCCTGGAGGGCTATCTGTACAATGCTAAGGGTAACCTCTCTCTTCTCCACGTCGTGCCGTACCTATACCAAGTTTTGGTGAGGGAGGTCTGCACCGATCACATCAGTATGGACCACGCTGCGCTGCCAGATAATTTTATTTTCCACTCGAGACAAAAAATAAATAAATGGAAAGCTATGTAGCAAACAAAAAAAGCCAGACAGAGTCTTCCACCGCTTCCAGTCAATCGGCGTTTGGTTTGAACCCGCGGACATTGTATGGCATACCCCTAACATTAAGGTGAGGTAGGCAAAGATAGTCAGTCAGTCAGGTATGAGTCAAAAGTCATGAGCCCAAGGACAAATGACAATGGGTAAAAAGGGTTTAGTACATCCGTAATGGAAAGTAAGGTGTGAATAAGAGGACTGAGCGATGAGAGAAGATAATCGATTGCTACCAATCAGGGAAAACGAGAAAATGACTCTGAAAGCGAGGAACGAAAGGGTAGGGAAGGAAAAGGTGCACACAGTGTATAAAAGGACTAGATATCATAGTTATTTTGATAAAATGGGAATGAAGAGAGAAGAAAAGCGAAATGGAATGAAATGAAAAAGCGCTATACATTTAAAAAAAATAGGGAAACCTAGAAAAAGAAAAGTAAAAGCTAAGTAGTAAACAGCCTCGCCATGCCAGTTATGTGGTGCAAGTATAGAATAAAATCAAATAGGAATGAGTAGGGGGGGAACTGAGGGTAAACAACAAGTATTTTTCCAGACGGCTCTGAGGTACGAAAAAGCGACGCCGTTTTAAGATAACATGCAATAGCATCGGTAATAAAGGGGTAAATAAAGGCCGTTTCCGGAGCCTATCGCATTGCAAACAGGTAGCTTCCCCTGAGAACCCTGATAAGCTACCGAACAGCGGTGGCTAAATTGCGAAAGGCACTTCCAACGCCGTGGAATGCAGCCAGCTGATAAAAACTCCTTGCGCCGTCTCGAGAGAAAAAGAGAGAGGGAGAAGGAGAGAAAAAGAGCGAGGAAAAGGTAAACAAGGAGAAATCCGACCAGGGAAACGCCAGGCACCTAAAAAACAAACTCATGTAGACATGGCCTCCTGACAAAGGAAATATGGTGAAGGAAAGAATTCGAGACGGCTCGTCGTGCAGGCGGCGAGACACGCCTCTCCAAAATACCAAAGCACACTGCTCCCCTGACATGTAATAACAAGCTTTGGACACAAAGGATAACGCCGCACAGACACCAACTGCGGACCCTACAAATGACGATTATGATGCGACGCTCAAACACGGATATAACACCGAATTCCTATCTAAGGTTTCGAATAACTTTGGCCCCCCTAGCCAAAAATGGGCTGGGCATCTCATCTCGCTCCGGATCCCATGTTGCTGGAGGGTCTCTTTCAGCGGTCTTCATGGCGTCAAAAACATGTGTATGAGGAGAAAATCCCGTTGTCGGAATCCTGGACTCGCTAGAATTTCGCTTCGTGTCTTCAACTGGCCTGCCACCTGCTCTGGCCTGGGCAAGCTCGACAAGTGTCCGACCGCCCATGTTCCGCTGCAGAACGGCTTTGAACATCTCCTCGCCGCCAGCGTTTCCTTTGAAGGTCGGCGGTTTGCTCCCTGCCCTGCGGGGAGATCCGCCCTCTCCAGCAAGATTTGCGGATGAGGGGATCTTCGTTAGGCGACGGGGGGATTTCACTTTTGCCTCTGAAGCAGCAGCGTGTCTAAGATCGTTGTGTGATACAGTAGTGGTAAGGTGGGGTAGACCCGAACCTTTAGAGGGGAACAGGCTAGGTTGCGTGCTCAGTTTCTGCATCATGGCAGTTGTATTTTGCCGGAGCAAGGGCCTTACAGGGGCCTTTATTGGGTCCGGTCTCACTCTCGGCCGGGTGGGAGAAGGCACATCGGGAATATCATCTTCGTCATCCGAGTTATATGCTAAACATGGTTCCAATTTGGGATTTGACCTTGCACCTTCCGCAAATATATTTCTGGAGTTCCCATTTCCTGTAGTGCGGCGCGGGGAAAGGGACAATGAAGCTATAGACATTGGAGACGGTTCAGCCATTTGTATATCATGGGGGGACTCGAAGGTAGTTTTTGAGCGGCTGAATGGCGTCCGGCCAGCTTTCTTCAGTAGTTTACTGCTCTCAGATGTTGGGGAGTCAATTGACAGCTCACTGAGATCCGTGGAGGAAGGGAAGTCATCGTCTGCAGTCCCGGTTCCAATAGATGACTGACAAGAGTGCTCCGCAGACGACGTAGTTTCACCTTCATCAATGGCTGGGGAGGCACTCTTTCTGTGCTTCTGCAGCTCTGTAGCAACTCTTTCTTGGACCTCCATGTCAAATCGTTTCCGAAGCCTCTCGAGCTCCATTTGAACCTGTCGATCAATCTCGAGCCTCGCTTTCACTTCCCACTCGCGGCGAACCTTATTTTCGATCTCCATTTTCATAGTTGCTTTCTCCTTCTCTAGACGTGCGTAGTTAAGTTCGACTTCCTTCAACCGCTGCGATACACTTTCCTCCCGTTTACGCAATGAGATACCCAAGTCCACGACTTCTTTTTCCTTCCGCATGAGGCGAATTACTGGCATGTTTAGCAGGGCAGCGGTGTCCGGCCGGTGGTCCGGGTTGACTCTTAGGCAACTCGCAACCACGCTTTTGAGCTCAGAAGAGTACATATCCGGTAGAGGCGCAAATTTCCCCTCGCGAATTTTCTGGATGAGTTGGATATGAGTCCGGGCATTGAAAGGAGGCTCCTTCTGGCATAGTTCATACATGATGCAACCGACCGCCCAGATATCAGAGTGGAGAGTATATTTTTCGGCAGCACATATTTCTGGGGACATATAAAAGGGAGTGCCAACGTAGGTTGAAGCGAAATCGTGGGATCTCATTTGTTTCGATAGCCCAAAATCGCCCAACTTGACAGACTGATCCGCCCCGAGGAAAACTGTCATCACTGGTTAGCCACGCCCAAACGGGGATACAGAGTTTTGTCCTTTTACATACTATTTTCCGGTTTCAGATCGCGATGTAGGATCATCATCTGCGCCTGTTTTCCTTTCAAGCCGGAAGGTTTATTATTCGGTGGTGGCCCCAGCACATTGGATCCAGCTTCCGGCGGGTCCACGCCGTAGTGACACCGATACAACGCGGTAACAAGCTGAGAAAATATCCGCCAAACGAACTCCTCTTCTGCATATTTACCCGTCGCCTTCAAGTTCTTGATAACCATTCCAAGGTCTCCACCACCACAGTACTCCATGTAGAGGTAAAGGTCCTGGGAAGCCTTCAGATGCTCTCTGTGATAGTATGCGACAATATTGGGGTGTCGAAGAGAACTGAGGATATTGAACTCGGTCGTAAGCTGCTCGCGCTCCTTTTGCGACATTTTGACATAGTTAATTTCCTTGCGGCAAAGGATCTGGTAACGTCTGTTAGCTGCTTTGACGAAGTAATATGGATACTGCAAGTCCCGGCGTCCATACGTAGCCATCGGCCTTGCGCCTAACTTTGCGGATGACCCCAAATGAGCCGCATCCTATAGACCATTAGCAATGCCATATTGCAGACTTCACGGCAAAATACGGGAACTTTTTTACCTATCCTTTCTAGTACATCATACTTGTCCACTTCGGCCAGCGCAATCGCCATGGTTCGCTAGGAAGAATGTAATAAAGAAACTAAAACAGAAAAAAAGAAACAGACAGGAAATTAATACATGGACAAAGTTTATTTGAATTGAAGTACCTGCAATGTTAGTATATTCCTCACAACGACGAGTGGTGATGTTTGCAGAGCAGAGGGAAGTTCAAAAAGTCACTGATCGATATCCCATCACCGAAGCTCGTTTTCACTCTTCGGACTGTTTCGTTTGGTGGTTGTTGCTAAGCAACCAGTGCCGATGTACATAATTAGCTGTTTCTGGCAGGCGGTGTGGATACTGCCCACTTCTAAGAGAGAGAGAGAGAGAGAGAAAAGCTACGTTCTGTACAGTGTATACATCCTATTCTAAGTTAACTTCTAAATTCAATTATATAAATTTACAGAACTACAATCTCAAGAAGATAGTATATAGTAAGTAATTCCTGGTTTTGTTTATTTAGAGCAATTAAAAAGTTTTGTTGGGAAATCACATGGCGTTAATTGGCTTGGTTAAACTTCAACCTTGTTCGACGAACAAGCCTGGTAAACGTCAAGCTTAATTGTTAAAAAAACAAGACTTCTATATGAGGTGACGAGAGACTAGGGGCACAGGCATGCAGAGGTTATTCGTTTATCAAGGAGAAAAGGCATCGCTTATTAGTTGTTCGTTTCTCAAACAGCAAAAGCCACTCCCTACCTTGGAATGCAAGTCAAATCCCAGGGTAACTAATGGTGGTCTGGCTGTTACGCAAACCCGCTATATTGAGGAGATCCTAGAAGACTTCGAAATGGAAAGAGTCAACCCACTCAGCACCCTGATGGCGGCCGGCATACGCCTTGAATTCACCCCCGATGAAGGGGGTGGCCTAGGATGATTTTACAACTAAGAGATATCATCAAGGATTTGGGATTGCTGCCGTATTTGGTCTTGATTCTGATTGGGTAGGGGCAGGGGCAGACGCCCAATACACATCAACTATGGGCTATGTCATTACGATTAATGGATCGCCGATATTGACCTCAATCACCAAGTTATCCATGGGGGCTGAATATATTACAGCTAGCGAAGGCTGCCTGTGAGCTAATCTGGTCGAATGATATGTTATATGACGCTGAGTTGGTCGATGGAAAAGGTAAGATATGCTTCCTGATGCGGATTGACAATAAGGGATCAATTGATCTTGTGAAAGGAGAAATCCTTGATGTGAAGATCGCGCCACATTGAGATATCACATCCTCCGCGAACTGGTTGATAAGGGTGAAATCACGTTGGAACATGTAGGTTCCATGGCCAATATAGCAGATGGCCTCACCAGGCCATTGGCAGGCCTGCTTTTGAAGAATTCGTCATGAGGATTTTCGATGAAGGATATGGATATGGGCAAGAAGGATCGAAAGGTTTGGTACTGGTATTACAGCAGGTTGATGGATTTAGCCCACACCCTTTTGATTTTTACAGTTATTGCCTTGCAGGCGTCTATTCCTAATGAGGGAACTAGAGTCTGAATCCTGTAATCTATTATTATTGCGTTTTTGAAGGAATTGGCAGCTAGCGGGTTGCCGGTTGAGAACGCCGTAGCAAGGGGGGGGTGCTGGTGCTCCGACTACCTAGGTAAGTACCGCAGTCACGTGTCCCCCTTTTTTATAGAGAACACTTTGTAGTGTCGCCATCGACGTCAACTTGGAATTCATAGTCTTCTCTGCTGTGCTGCACTTGATATTAGTGCTTTATACTAACCTGTCAGATATGCCCAAAACAGCTACGCTGCCCAAATATCAGCTACAGACAACCCTACAGAATGAAAGGAAACTGATCAAGGATGGCAGGCTCAAGGATGACAACCCCCTTGACCAAAGCCAGCCATTTCGGGAACTTTGCGAAGCATGTCGACGAGGCGACCTGAAAGTCTGCCAGGAGAAGATTACTGAGGGCGTTAATATCAATGCAAGAGATTTATTTGATTGCACGCCACTGATTCTTGTAAGCACTGGCCCTTTTCCATGATTTGCCTATCCTCCTTGTCCATCGTTGCGGCAGCCCCGGTCGGCTTTATTTCCTGCCGTAAACCATTGTGGTACTTTAGAAAGTGACTGTGCGTAAAAAGGCGAGCCTTTGCGGCCATTATGAAGTGGTACGACTTCTCCTTGACTCGGGGGCATTGTGTGAGCGTGATACTTTTCAAGGCGAAAGGTGCTCTCCTCCACTCACTTTCATTCGCTAATATGTTGGATATTTTCTGCTAACATTCATTTTTCTTTTAGATGTCTATATAATGCTCTGAACGATAGAATACGAAATTTGCTTCTTCAATATGATTATTCGAAATCCACGGATCCCTTGCAGCCGTTTGCTGCTCATCTGGCCTCCTTGTTATCACGAGACCACCCTCAAACTGCGGATATTGCAGTCACAGCATTGGACGAATCATTTCGATTACACAAATTCATTCTGTCTGCGCGCTCCCCGTCCTTTTCTAATAAGTTGTCATTTGCCCCCATGGTAAAATCGTGGAAACTTCCAAGCTCAATTCCCCCTGAAGCATTCAACGTAGGCGTAAGGTATTTGTACCTAGGGGAAGCACCGCGGGAGCTAAGATTCGGACCGGGAACTGACTACACCGAAGCAGAAATTTTGGCTGGTATCGAAAGGGTTGCCAAACACCTGCAGCTCCCGGGTCTAGTAGAGACAATTCTTGACAGTGGAGATAGAAGGCTGACCAGGCAACGAAGGGCAGAGGAAACTTCAAGGGGCCGTGACCAGATGGAATCATGGTTTCGAGAGAATGTCCTCCAGCATAAACTCGTTGTCGAAACCGACAAGGCCAATAAAGTGAAATGGCCAAGGGACAATGGGATATTTGCTGATGTCTTACTTCGTGTGGATGAACCCGTGGCCGAAGACAACATGCCGCGAACAAACGATGGTACGCACGAGCTAAATCCCGGGAACCTCGAAGCCACGAACCGTATTCCAGTGGGCCCAACGTCACGGCCATCGTCTCCTACCTCGTGGCCGCCGTCGCAAAAGCCTCGCAAGTCAATCCTCTTCCCCGTCCATAGGGCGATGCTGCTGCGCTCTGATTTCTTCAATGCGATGTTTTCTTCCACATTTAAAGAAGCCCAGATAACGGAGCATTTACAAATAATACCTGTGGACTGTTCACCCGAAACATTGGAAGTTGTCCTCACCTATTTATATACCGACAGAGTTGAATTCCCATTATCACTGGGTGTTGAGGTGCTTTGTGCTGCAGATTTGCTTTGTATTGAAAGGCTTAAGTCCAAAGCAGCAGTGTTGATTAGCTCCCTTGGTAATGGTAACATGAAGCAACAACAGGCAAGGAGGGAGGACGAAAAAGTCGCCAAAGAGACAGATGCTACCCCAAAAGAGACGCAACAAGATGACGATGAGGAGGAATTAGATATTTACGAAGTCATTCGAGCAGGATGGATGTTTCGAGTTCAGCGTCTCGAGGAATTCGCGGCCCGGTATCTTGCTTACCGCCTCGAGTCGCACATTGATCTACCAGAGTTTGCAGAACTAGTTGCCGAATCAGCGACCCGTATCTCCCAGAGGCAGGAAACAGATTCTATCGAACTCGTGGATGATATTCGATTCTACCTTAGCGAGAGATTCAGGCTGCGGTTCGAAGATTCGGGCCTGGACGAAATCATGATGGACGAAAACCCCAAAGTGACACAAGTTGGCGACGGCAGCAGCGGCGAGGCTGTCGACGGCGTCAAAGTGGATAATGATATTTCAAATGATAACCTGACAGCTGATATTCCCAATCGTGGCTCCGAATCGGAGCGTGACTCTGCAGAAGACGAAGCCACTGATGTCAGCAATCACAAATCCCAGCCAGTAAATGGCTTCCCTTCTAATGGTGCAGTTTTCAGAACTCTAGATGGACATGTTGCAGGGGATGAGTTTGCGAGGGACAACGCGGACTACCAAATTTTACTGGATAAATTGGATCGTCTTTTGGAGAAGCTTGGTTTGGAGGCATAGGTCGGCTTGCCATTAGTACCGAGATTATAGATATTAGACAAGATCCATCATTCTCAATTGCGTCAATATCTTGTTTAGTCTTTTTTATTATTTTTTTTTTTTATTTTTCATTTTTTTTTTTATTTCTGCTTCGCTGGAAGGGAAATTTTACCTTTCAGCCATTATTAAAACATATTTCTCTGTATTTGGCGTTGCTATTTCGTGCAAATAAATGAGACTGGATAATTCAATTTATGGGTTTATTCTTCCTCCCATAAGATATGTATACGGGCGGGTATATATGTACATGTACATACACTAAGCCACTTATCGGCCACTATTGATTGCCCCGTTCTCTTCCTCTTATGCCTGCCCATCTTAAACTGATTTCCTTTTTCTTTCTCAAGTACCAATAGGCCTCAATGAATATGTGGAAGAATTGTACAGTAAATCGCATGCTGCATGCATGTACAGTAGTGTCCAAGAAGTCAGCGTACTAGGGGCTCAGCGCTGAGCATTCTCTCATATACCCCTCTTCTTCCTAACAGAGGTTCATCTAACATAGATATATATATATACATACATATACTGGATCCAAAAAATGTAAATACATAATAGAAGTGAAAGCTGCCGGGAAAAAAAAAAAAAAAAAAAAAAAAAAAAAAAAAAAAAAAAAAAGGGTATGAAGAAAAAGGGAGACATAAGTATGAAAGAAAAAAAAATAGCAATCATAGTAATACATCGAATGCGTGAAAATGGCTATTCAATACACAAGTCGGCTTTCGTGACTTGGTCCAGAAGTAGCTAAGTGAGATAAGTGTCTGGCTCTTTTCGGATTCTATTTCTCCTCTATCAGTCCATGCCATCCCCTTAAAAGTCCCTAGGTCTATACTTGTTTTTCTGTTCATATTTTTCTTCCTCCTCCTCCGCTCCTTTTATTCCGGTGTAGCAATATGTCCCATAATTCCCTTCTGCTGTTTAACACCAATCAAGGTCTTAATTGTCCCAAACTTGTCGGGCCTAGTGCCCTTTAAGACATTCGAAGAGCGTGGAAGCAGTCAAGTGGATATCGCATATCCTTTTGGGGAGATATTCGGATGCACTGTGCCAAGTATATCTGATTCCCATAGCTGCGCCATTTCACTATAACATTTGGAAGTTTATCATTTTCGCCGAAGGGTTCGTTTTGGCTCTTGCATCATTTTCGCTTTTTTGCTCCTGCATATGGGCGGGTATGCAGGCCAAAAGGGGGCTTCGTGGACCATATAAACCGGCAGGATTTCGATTTCGCGGAAGAGGTGGTTTCATTTTCACATTATTAAGAACCTGATTTTTCCAGATTCGGTTTCAAAGTAAAGATGACAAACAGGGGAGAGAAATAAGGGACACCAACGGTCCTGACGGTGTATCTCTATTTTCAAGAACAATAGTGGGAATATTCGTCCTCCTGGCATTCATCATGCCCAATATTCGAACTCGTTTTGTGAGGTAGTTTTGCCAGAAACTGAATTTAGGCTGTTCTCCGATCTTCTCAACTCACCAGAGCTGCTTGCGTAGGTCTCCCAGTATGACAACCACGTTCGTGTCGTTTCATATTACTCCTGACACTGAACGATTTGCCACAGTTGACATGCGGGCATTTGAATGGCTTCTCGCCCGTATGGCTGTGTGAGTGAATACGCAGACTGGAAGGCCGAGAAAAGGCTTTGTGACATGTTCGACAGATGTACCTGTCATGATTTTGTGGGTAGGGAGCCGTGTTTGAGGGTGGGAAGTAGTGGTGGTGCTGCCAGGTTGAGACCATGGAATGGTGATGGTGCTGGTGGGCTGACGGGGATGTCAGAGGAATAGGTGGAGAGAACGAAGGGGCATGAGTTGGGCGAGGATAGTACTCTGTAGAGGTGGTTGGAGGTTCAACTGGAGAAGCAAATGGTGTTGAGATTGCGGGTAGACTTGAGGACGCTGTGTAATGCTTATCGGTAAGGGAGATGGGAGAACTCTGGGATACGGACGACCTGGCTGATTGTGGTGGGAATGGAACTTGGGACATCCCGGGCTGGTAGGAAGAGTCCGTAGATGACGCACTTGTGAGGTTTGCTACTGAAACGGGCGAGTTTGCGGACGATGGTGACGAGCCAGACGGAGAGTGTTTGCTTCCATCTAATCCAGAGCCTGGCCGTAAGGGAGGGGTCGGTGGTAAAATCATCCTGGGCCTGCTTATTGGCTTTTGGGAGGCTCCCTGGCCTTGAGACTTCAGGTCTACCTCTCCAGATGACAGTGGATTGCGGCGATGTTTTTCTATCACCGAGTGTTAGTACGTATATTTAAATGAGGACTCCAATGGAGCTTTCTTTCTTACTAGCTACGTGAACAGGAGCGAGTTGGTCCGCCCCTTGCAATAAGCTCGATATTGAAGGCAGAGAGAATCTGGCCTGGTCCTCGACAGGTGGGGATAACGGCGGTTGCGGAGAGCGGGCATATGCAAGATTTGAAGCATTGCGATCGTAGTATCCATTGGAAACAGATAACGAGGAAGGCTCGCTCTGTAAGGCTTGACGTTTCTGGGACGTGCTTGAATGAGAATACGTCGAAGGAGGACTATAGTAGCTGGTCACCAAGTGGGATAGATTCATCTTGTCCTCAACACGTCGGCAATGAATGAAAGTTGACTGAAAGTTGACTAGATATTTTTTATATAAAACCCTATAAGGTATTGAATTCACCAGTGTATTCGAAAACTCATTAATGTGGTGGCGGACGCGGAATGGTGAAGAAGCAGCAGAAGAAGTTGAGTTGAACAGGGTCAAAAGTCCAGGACAAAGGGCTCAGGCAGGTTGATATGGGATACCCAAGCAGGCAGGCTGGTGCAGGAGGCCACAGTGGACGGATTATTAGGGAAATATTTAGCTTGACATGGGTACACGAACGCTAGGCCCAAAGATCTTCCAGAACCCAGCCGGGGGGGGGTGGTGAAGGACTAGTGGGGATGATGCTTTTTCTTCTTTTGCTGGCGCACTCGGTAGTAGCAGCGGAGCAAGGAGAGCGGAAATGATAATCACTACCTACTACTCGGTAAGTAGTAGTAGTAGTAGTAGTAGTAGTAGTAGTAGTAGTAGTAGTAGTAGTCGTAGTAATAACGTTGAGCATCAACAACTTTGTGGGAATGATATATACTTTTTGTGCCCACTTGTCCCCAGCCGAATGTTGAACCATTCATCATTGTCCATTTTTTCAATCAATCACGGGATAATAATTCGTGGAGCCAGCCACTGTAGCCATTGAAGTCCCGTTTTATTGAAGATACTTCAACATTTGGAAGCTAGCCATGGCACATGCCTTGTGCGGTGTATAAAATACAGAATACAGCTGCATTCCTTCATAACCATCCTACCGGAATCGAATAGATCTGTAACTAATAATAATACTTGTATGCAGTAGTGATGAGATACTTTGCCGCATGCACAGGTTAATGGAGGCACGAGCAGAAAAAGCATTGTTGTTTTTTGCCCGTTGCGTTGTTTGAGACAATTCTCCTTTGAACCAGCGGCATATTTTTCGAAGTTCTGGGTCCCCTTCTTCTTCCCGTAGTTCTGTTTAACCTCTGACGCCCCCTTGGCTTTACTCGGTGCGTTGCGCCAGACGGGATGTACGGTTCGGTTCCAACCTCAGGAAACTTTAAGCTGCCTCGTGGCTACTGGCGTAGATGCAACACACATGACTCGTGGAGCCCTGGGCGCCTCCTGCTACTGGCTAAATTCGTGATCGATCTCCGCCCATCAGCCAAAACGACGGCCACGGGGGGGAAAGTTGAGGGAAGCGAGGGAAGCGAGGGCTTGGTTCCCAGCAATCCAGAGAAGCAGTTGGGCTAACGCTGCATAGGCCGAACTCTGTTCTTGCACCCCATTTTATTCTCGTAAGCTGAGTGGCTTAGTTAGCGAGGGCCCCCCAATGGGATGGATACGTGAAAAAGTAAAAAAAAAAAAAAAAGAAAGAAAAAAGAAAAAAGAAGAGAGAGAGAGAGAGAGAGAGAGAGAGAGAGAGAAAGAAAAAGAAAAAAGCGAGAAACATAAGTAATTTTACAAGTTCGTGGCGATCCATGTGTCCCTCCTCGAGCTACTCCCGTAGCGCAGATCCATAAGCGGCCAACAACGGACGGGATGCTCAATTTCCCTGGGAACTTGCTAAGCCGAGTGGATTTGGTGAGAGGAAGTTCACGAATAGTGAGCGCGCGATTGGACGGATCTTGCCATGGGAAGAGTAGTTAGGGTAGAATAATAATAATAAGACTGGCGCGCAGCCAGAAGTAGAACGAGGGTGAGAATGTTGCGTTATGTACGGAGTAGCGTAGCAACCTTGGGGCCAACCAGCGCATCAGCCTATGAACCCCCGTCAATCCCGAAACACAGCCTGGAGCGTTGGCGTCCTTTAGGGACGAGTTTGGGGGAGTCTTACTACTGGTACTGGTACTGGTAGATCACACAATGTTCAATAATAATCCCCCATGTATGGTATTATTTCCTGGACAACCTGTCTGTCAGGCTCTCTCACGTTTGACGGCTTGAGAGAGCCACGAGCAATCACCGTTCATTTTGAGCATCTGAGATTTGATGAGGGTGGAATAATAATAATAATAATAATAATAATGGCGAATGGTGGTGCTGGGAACATACATCATACATCATCAAATCCTCTGGCGGGCTCCAATGATCCATCCGTGTAATTTACCCTCGTACGTCCCCTAAAAACATACGTGACAATCAACGGCTTCAAATTAGTATTATTAGTATTATTATTATTATTATTATTGAATAATAACATGGCTTGTCTCTGCAAAATCGAATCCGGCGATCCCAAGCGAGAAATAGCGGGTAGATTTGCGGAGATCAGAGTGAGATGGGCTTTGTACGCAGTAGAACGACGAAGCAGCGCCCCTGTTTTTTTCAAATACGGATGAAGCGCGAGAAGCCAACAAGCCGCTCAACGATATGATATCTATCAACAACCAACGCAAAGGCAGGAGAAACAAAGCATCCAAGTTCCTTATTTCTCTCAAATCATGACAGGAGGCGTTAAAAAGGGGTTTTTGAAAGTTACAAACTTCCCATTCTGGGTTTAGCTGAAGGAGGTTCAAGAAATATACGACTCTTTTCAAGATAGATCTCAAACCAGAAGTAGTTTGTTGTCTTGACTTCAATAATAATAATATATCGCATCGTCCTCTTTTTTTCTTTTTTTCTCCTTTCGCAAGGGTTTATGATTATTATTAACCCTCCCGCCCACTTTGAGAACCCTGCCTACGATCCTCCTTGTCTACTCTACTTTTACCCGTCCGTGGGGCCAAGGAGCTGATTGTACGAATAATGAACAGCCATGGGGCGATATCATATCCTTTTTGCCTGACCTACCTTGCTTCCTGCTTCCTGCTTCCTGATCCTGGCATATCATATCCCAACACCTCCCCCGGAGCAATCAATTTCCGTGGCTCGATTGATGAAGGCCGCATTCATACGGTTATTTATTCAATGTATTTGGAACCGGGACCAACATTCTTTTCAAAGGTTGCCATTTTGCCCACAATTCACGAGGGAAAAGAGGCGGTGCAGCAATACAATAACTTACAGCGTAAGAAGAAGAATATGGGGGATAAAGGAGCAGCACCAACCTATGTTTGATCAGCTAACTTATTAGTTAACTTAGATGACAAGCCAATCGTTGAACAGACTGGCCGTTCCGTTCCATGCAAGGTTCAATATAAAATATTAATATTAATATTAATGGTTCCACTGCGGAAATGATCTGCCTGGTGAAAATGCGTGGGCCCGCCCGCAAGCATGCATCCGACACCCTCGAGGCCTGATGAAGATGAGGCCTGATGCACGGATATCATCACATCACATCAACCATCATATCATGCTTTGCCTTATGATAAACCAAACTGACAACAAGGCAAAGTGGCACGTTTTCTCTGCTGTTTCCCCGGTCGAATCACCTTTCAACAAACCTGCCGAAGGTTTTTATTTTAAAATTACACCTTGGCGTAGTTAACTAACTATCCTATCACACAAAGATGAAAGATGCAAGAATAAATAAATCCTTCGCTTCAAACTCCTCCCCCCTCTCCTCTCCGCAGCCACCACGCGACCTCGGAAATCTTGCAGCTCGTGAAGGCTTTCTCAAACTGAGAAATTGATCAGCCTGAGGCCAAAAACTGGCTTAGCTGTTGGCTTGTTATGCTGGGTCAGTCCTCCTGTCTTGCCGAGACGGGCAGAGAAAAAAGGAAAAGAACGTTCATTGCGTTTCAGAGTTGTGCAGGTTTGATTCTATCTTCGCGCACACGGTTGTTCACAATCTCTGTTCTGTGCCATAATTTCTCTGTTGGGGGTTGGTTCCTCAAATTCTTACCGTGCTCAGAATTGAACTAACGAACCTTGCCGAAAACTTCAGGTCGATCATTGATAGGGCATCTATCTATCTCTTCCTAATAATAATGATTCTTTACTGCGTATGTGCCGGAAGCGAAATCTTTGCCAAACGCTCCTTAGCCTTGTTAGATTTCAACAATCAATCCTCGGCGCACAAATATTATTACGATGTTCCTGGATTCTTCATCCAGTCCTTTTCCTGTCCCCAGATTCCACGCTCAATCTAAATCTGACAAATGGATTCTTTTGCAGACCCTGTTCGGTTCCGGAATCAATGCTCTTTCCGGCCGGGCTCTGGTCCTTTGTCATCGGGGCTAGAAGCGACCCGATATGAGAAAGCTCCACTTCGTAAATCATCCAGAAGACGATTTGCTCCACAGCCCTGTTTCACACTCATGGTTTTTGCCGAGGCTCATTCACTGCTGGCACCGTCCGTTCCAGAGGATTAATAGATTATTGATGGGGGGATCTTCGAAGATCCCATCTCATCCTCTTGGACCCCTGAAAGGATAAAAAGCTGCATTCTTTTCCACCTAGAGAAGCAAATAGATAGATACATCAAGAATAGAAAGATCTGCTGAGTCTGCCTTGCCCGGTTGCCCAAAAACGACCAAGCAGTCAAGAGGACAAAGGAAATCCAGACGCTACCAGCCACAACCACACCCAACCCGTTCTTTCTCTACCAGTTGGAAAGAAGCAATATGTGGAAAAAAAGAAAAAGAAAAAAGAAAGTAAATCAAGTGTGTCCAGGGTCGCGCCGGAAACGACAGACACCTACCAACAACCCTCAATGCCCATGTGGCAACCCTCATGGCCCGCCCTATATACGCCACCAAATCTTGTGTCACAAAAACACTAAATCAGAGCCTTTCAATTTTTAACCTGCTTCCAGGTTCCATGAAGCTATTTTTTTTTATTTAATTTTTTTAATTTTTTTTTTCCAAACTCCAGATCAATAATATTCTTAGCTCGCAGATTTGCAGATTTACAGCACTATATGAGGATGGTTGTCAGACACTGCGATGAGGCCATCCATCTATCAGATCTTCAACTAGAAGTCGACTGAAAAATGAGTCGGCCATCCTTCCCTCTCAGTAAACATCGTACGTACTGTTTGTTCCTGGATCGCTGAAATCCCATCTGATCATTGATCACCGCCTTACAAATCTGCGCCAGTGCGCCAGAACACTCGTTCGCACTACAGAATAATAATAGATAATCTCTGTCTCATTTTCGGGTTAAAAGCTTGAATATGCACGGTTTTGACGTCTCTCTTCTCTCTTCTACCACCGTCATAATATTGTACAGTAACTACGGATTACACTCGGACATGATGAGGTTACGTCTGATAATGTCGGTGAGGAAAATGCGATGAGCAACTAATAATAACTCCCAAACCTGCTGAATTTTCCTCCTCAACCCGTCCTCAAGGCAGGTTTTGTTATATCTCACCTGATTCTGCGCCAGTTCTAATCGCCCCGGCTTTCGAAGGGAGCGCCCATCTTCATTATTTTTATCTTGGGTGCGGAATGCAATCGATGAACCGGCGGAGTTTCTCCCATTTTATTTTACTTCATTTATCTGAACGCGAGATTTAAGCCAGTAATCAACATCGGAACAGCGCAATTATGGTTGTAAAATCTGCGAGTTCCTACGCTGTGATCCAATAATAATAATAGAACGATAACGCTACTCCCCATGTTGCAATACTTTAAAGCCGCCAAAAGAAGGTCGGCATGACATTCATCAACGTCGATGGGTTAACCCTCTGCATTAGCATGCATTTGGGGAAGATTACAAAAAATGCATCGTCCGAACTCCCTCTCGCCAGAGAAATTTCGGGGATGCACACAATAGCTAAATAATAGACTATTCGGGACATAATTTGTCGTGAGAATGGGGAATTGAGTACATGTAGGTGCTGTTCATTTTTGGAACTGCGGCGGTCTCAAGGCACCTGAAGAGAGTCGAACGTTTCAAAGGGGAGGAAGACCGGTGATATGGAAAGCGTTCTTGTCTCGATGCTGAAACTCAACGGATGTTGTTCTGGGCTCCCGTTCTGTGTTTTTACACATAGATTTTGTTATACCGCCGTCGACTGGGAATGCATGTGTGGAAGCCCGAGTGTAGTCGAAGCTTTTTGTTTCTCCGCGCTATGCTAAGTAGGGTAGATTCTACGAGAAAAAAGAGCAGTATCGGACGAAGCTTGGACAATAATAATAATAATGAGGTTTGTCTGGTGTGCAGGGTTCTTGGCGGAGCCTTGCTTATTTTCAATTGCTGTTCTTCGCAGTTTTGCTCTTGAAAAGCTGAGTACCAATCTAAAAATTGGATCCTCATAGTTGTGGACAAGCCCACGAGTGACGCTGGGGATTTGCTTCCTTCTCCTTTTGATGATGCTTGTTACAGTGCAAATCACTGCCTGAACCCCTATGGTATTGTTTTATCATCCTGCCGCATTCGCCGAGATTCTTGCTTGTTGTAAAAATTGTGATTATTTATGCAGGTGACTGATTTGTGAGATGGGTGGCCCCAGAGGGACGGGTAGCATTGCAGGAAACTTCCATCACATCACATCTCTGATACACACTGGGGGGGAACTTGGTGAGGGGAAGAATATCTCCGATCAAGTTCACCAATGATAGCGCGGGTTGTTCCACTTCCCAGATTCAACTTTCTGTTCTTTGTACTTTTCCAATCCGAATGTGCTATTATTAGTGTCCACCAAAGGGTCAACGATTCAAATGGTATGGTAGTATTCAAAGCCAACGACTGTTGGCCAATGCCCGAATATTGAGTATGACCATCATTCCCAACCTCTCGAGCATGCATCTTTGACATGGCAAATGCAGATAATTGCAAAAAAGAAAATATTGTTTGGGGCTGCCAAATGGCATGGCGGCGTGCTTCAAAACGTCCATATGTCGTCCATGATCATTTTTGCCAAAAACGAGCAGGATCGAGGTCATGGGCCCGAGATCAGCATCCTGGGATCAAGCTAAGAAATGCAGCTTTTTTGCCATTTTCCACTGGTTGAAGCTCATTGCTTATTATTATTCTTCAAAGCATGGGCGACTACGCAGTATTTTCATGATGAAAATTAGATTCTGTGGTTGTTCGTTTGCGGGAGCCTTTTTTGTCGTTTATGTGTTCCTATTTGGGGTTAGGCGCTGCATAATGAGATCTCCACTTCCCCATCTTCTGATTTGATGGCAGGCTGCATACTTCCCACGGCGATCCCTACGCCGTCATCGGCGCAGAGGCGACGTCAAGACGATCATCACTTAGCGCAGGCTCAAACAGCGTACCCTTTGGTGTTTCAGCGTTCGTAACTTTTCTTGGCAGCTTCTTTCCTTGGCTGGTGGTTCTTTGGGGCTCGAGCCGGATGCCATGCAAGTTCCGAAGTTTCCACCTCACCAACAAGTCTCGGTAACTAATCCACCATAGTATCAAGCACATAATTGATTGAGTTGAAACCGCAACTAATAATACCTATCAAACAAGGAACCCAAATATGACATAACATCCAGGCCAAGGCAGATGTTGCACCTATTTTCCTGCTTACTGCATACGACGTACGCCCGTAAATGTGGCACCAGTGATGCGTAGCGTCAGTCCGGCCCCAAAACTAAACCGAAAAAATAGGCCTTTGCGGCACCACTGGCACATGGGACGATCATCCCACGTGTCTTGGAAGCATGCTCCACTCAAGCCCTTGCTGTTAGCCTGTTACTTTTGGTGTGTCTTGGACACAGGCTGGCAGAGGTTGCACCCACCCGCTCGCCCGTCAGCGCCGCGAGCTAGCGCCTATTGAAGAATCTGAAATTAGGACCACTACCGTATTGGAAGGTATTTGGTAATATTTGCGGAAAGTTCGCGCGTTATGTTATGGGGATTATTCCCCTGAAATGTGCTGTAGATGTATTATGAAAATGCCATAAAATGTTCACATGTTACTGCCGATACCGACCTTCAAGTATGGTTAGATGCTGCCAGGTATCCATAGGACTCTTCTGTCGTTTCCCTGGATAATGGCCGTTCTCAGAATCAGGTACCAATTTCCTTGCTCTGCAATGATCCAAGGCCATGGGACAACATGGGCGCCATTATTACTTAACACGAGCGCGATCCCAAACTCTTTTCAAATTTCCGAGCCAAAGAGGGCTGACCGCTTTTCACCGCTAACCTCCTGCATTTTCTACCAATTTGGAACAGAAGCGGCGATAATCAGTTTCTCAACTCGTCCCCTATACTGTTAGTTCTCGGATCACCATGCAGCGGCAGCGCACGGAGTATTTCATCTAATGAAAGTTCGAAGGGATTATTGTTTGGTATTTTGAGCCCGGTTTATTTGGTGTGGGTGCAATTCTTCTGGACTCGTATATTATTATTAATCGAAGTTCCAGTAAATCATCCTGCACTTGGCCATCACAGCCAGCTAAGCCAAGTTCTATTGTGGATGCATGATCAATAGCCCCCTTTCTAACCATGCAATTCATTGTCACCCACCCAGACTTGGCAGGGAGCTGGGGTGGAGATCATGTTTGAGCATACGGATTATTTTATTCGACTGAATGTTTTTCCATCGTAGACACCTCTAAGAGGATTTCATATTTCAATGTCCAACTCAGGTTGTTGAAGAATGGGACCGGGGCCCGGGGCTTGGGGCTTGCTTGCTGTTCCTGTACGTGAATATGATATTTGTTAATAATGTAGAACCAGGGTTGATGGAGATGGTGGGGTCCCAAATTACCTTTCTGAAATAAACCTTGTTGGAGGAGGAAGCAAGTTCCAGAAGCTCAAGGAACGCCCCAAAGCGGGGAGTTTTAACGTGTCAGCCCGGAAGCGATCATCTTTGTTAACTTACCGACCATTGATCTTGTTTGGTTTTTGTTAGAAATTATCATGTCTCTGCTCGTATCTCACGCTGGAGTTTCTCAAATGCTGAATTGCCTTCTCAACCTTGAGAGAAAAGAGGAACCGACCCCGAAAACGTGCGACCTCCTTCACCCGTGATCTGCTGCTCATGCCCGCCTTGACAAGGCAGTAACTCAACTTAGCTATGTTAACTTAACAACTAGTTAGTTACATATGATTAATAATAATAAACTAAATATGTGCTTGGACCGGGGCCACTGGCCATTCAGAATCATCACGCGTTTCTTGCGATGAAAGGTCCGGGCAAATTCGACCAACCATCGCCCTATTTAAACGAAATTAACAAGGATAGACCGATCTCCAGACCATACCGTCCTTGTTATCGCACTCGCCAAGAAAGCGTGCGGCAGAAGCACAAACAAGCAACCATATGATTTTCTATTTTAAGGTCTGACTGAGCATCCGATGATGCACTTCTCACGTGGGAAGGCAAATCAAAACACCGAACCATGGAGAGAGTGGAATATGCGAGGAGGGTGGTCTGCTCTGCCAGCTGTTCTCGGGCGCTCTGAATAAGAAAATAAGATAGTTAGGAATCCAGTTCAATCAGCAAGGTTTGTCGGTAAAAGGATACTTCAAATCGAAAGGAGAGACGTCCTCGTATTATTATTCTTGCCAAACTGTATTATTGAATTAAGTCAGCTTTTCATCCGATGTGGATCCACAGCTCTCCGGGTAAAGATACTCTGTCTATTTGTCTGCATCTGACTTCCGATTTCGCTTGCCCGCTTTTGACTTCTGGCGCCAGTTTTCCTCCAGTTCTAACCCGCCCATTGCGTTCGAGTCACAGCTTCACAGAAAGACACAGCAAGAGGAGTTGCTTGCACTGGTTCACTCACAAGTTCCCATTTCATTCTTCTTATTTTTATCAACGCCTACCGTCGGTGGAGAAGACGTTTGATGTCATGGAGCAGAACCCGAGCGAGCTTGGATCCTGCGCTGGAAATAGGAAATACCGGAGGATTGGGCTCCCGGCAACGCTAGTAATCACGTGCTATGTAATACAGATACAGCCTCATGTATTGTCATCTTCAACTACAATCCATCATCATCGCTGTTCGTCATTGTTATTTCATTAAAGAATATAATTCTAGCTGGCACAGTGACAGGCACTGCAGTAGTGACTGCACTGGGGTGACTCTTCCGTTGACGGGTGTGGACAAGAATGCCAATCGCCGCTTAGGCCTCCGTTAGCCTCGCGCTTTGCTCAAGCGGTGCCGGAGAAGTCCCGAATGCCTGGCAAGCTTCGCCCTGACCACAGCGACCAGACCTTCAAGCGAGATATGCCAAGGGTTGTAGACCCTGTCTCAGATCCGCCTTTTGTTCTGCCGTCTCACCCCGATGCTCTTTAGGCCCACAGAACGAAATGAAAAGTCCCCGAGAACTCGAAAAGAACAAACCGAGGGCGGGGGTCCCGGCCCTGCTCACCCAGCTTGATCCTCCAACCCCTCGCCAAGGATAACCAACGAATCAACTTTGAGGGCTATCGGGCGCCCTCGAGAATTCAGCTATTTCGAAAGGAGGTGCGCAATTCATGGGCTTTCGGGTATAGCCATCTCTATGACACAAGATTTTCAGACTCGTCTATTTCACCAGCAGGATGATGCAGGAAGCAAAACGACTTCATTAAGTCATTCTGAGCGGGATTTCTGTTAAAACGACTTTCCCTCTTATCTTGAGAGTTAGGAAATGACTACCTCCGATCGATGTCTGCACCGGTCGCGGCCAAAACTTGGCGTCAGGGAAATTTCATCCGAAGCTTTCAACGCTTTCCCTGTCTCGTATGGCTCTCTTAGGCCGAAGTCTGTTTTGATTGGTGTATTGAACCTCTCCTGATAAATATTCTGAGATTGGCTGTGGTCAGGCTCATGTTGAAATACTTCGCCATAAACTCCTTGTGTTCTCCTCTATGGTCCCTTTTCAGAGGGCATGACTTTTCTCTTTGCCGTTTATAAAATGGGCGTTGACCATCTCCGATTTCGGCCTTGCGTTTTCCCCTCAGAGGCTCAGGAATTTGGCGGTGGTTTTTCTCCTCCCAGTGAAACAACCCTTTTTTATGCATGGAGATAATTGAGGCAGGGATACCCGAATTTTTACGATCCTGGTTTGGCCACTTGAGGTCTCCTCCAGAGCTGAGCATTTGCAGCTAAACGGACACAAATCTCAACCCCTGTCCGAAGCGCAGTTCACACGTCGCATATACTGGCGATAATTACGTCTCACCCCTCCAGACACGACTTACAGGGGATCAAATGTGCATAGACCTTTGAAGAGGACAACGACAATCCCCATCTTTCTAACACCAACCACTTTTGGCCACAACGAGGTATCTTTTGGCTAGTGTGTTGAGTAGCAAAGTGACCCCATGCTACTGCTCAAAGTGGTGCTTTTTGGACAGGTCCTGTATCTCACGAGTCCAGGCCACCTCATACAGAGCGGGAGAGCTCCTGTGACGTATTTAGATCAGAGATCTCCATGGAGGTGGACTTCCTGAACTGCCAGTCCTCGAGGCACCGGATATTTCCAAATTTCCCTCCCACCCACCCCTAGGGCAACAGCTTTTGCATTGTTGGTTTGCGTTGCCGCAAAAGGACGTCGTGCTCTTAGCTGGGTTAGCTGGCAACAGTGCCCTTGCAAAGCTTGCTCCACCAGGTTCTTTTTTTTATTTCCACCTGTCATTTGCTAGGTTGGCACCAGTTACTTAACCGCCTCCCCCACCTCTTGAGCGCCGGCCTCGTCATGTCATAAGTTTTTAACAATTCGCTCAAGTTTTTGCCTTGCAGCCTATCTTTTCAAAAGGGAGCTTTTTTACCTTCTCGGTCGATATCTATTTTTTTTTTTTTTTTTTTTTTTTTAAAAAAAAAAAAAAATTTCCGCCATCCCGAATACTATCGAGCTACTGCATTCTATTATTCTTGGACAAGACAAGATAGTAGATGCAGTTTCTTTCTTATGATCCTAGCTGATTGGATTGTCGCTGCTTGGGATTGCCAGGTTGGTATGTCGTCCATCATGGCCATATTTACCACTATTCTCAACCATTCTGATACATTGTCTCCTGAATATCTGCGCCCGACGAAAAGCGAGCTTCAGTTTTCTGGTGCCAATGTCGTTGAGTGTGACGGCTTCTGCAAGTTGGAAAAAATGACTGCTATTGCAGACCACTCGCAAGGTTTCGTACATGTACATGTAGTACATGCACACGGATGTTTAGTTGCTGATCCTATGACATGTTACTTTTCAAGTTCAGGTCGATCATTACATTGACTGGTGCAACATGTATGGAGTGGATCAGTTGATACAGCGGGAAGTTAGGTCCATTGTCAATAAAGCTGCGGGGATTTGCAACCAGTTTAATACTCGAAAGCGATTAAGGAACGTTTCATGACAAGCTGCCAAATTGAAAAACAGAAAATATTGCTGTCTTATTTCATACCTGTTTTCCATCCTCGTTTCGTTGCCAATCTATGTCAACCAACCCCACCCCACCCTCAAACTTAGGAGTATTTCGCGACTTTAGATGCCCGAGCCCCTTAGAATATTTGCCTCGAAATATACACATCGTCTGTATGGCACTCTTAATCTTGCACGTTCACCCATAGGGCTCTAATAGCGAGATTGCGTAATTCACATATTTCATGGTACCTCTGTTGCGCCTATTGTATCATTTGTGCCCATTTCACACCCCTTTTCTTTCATATTAATGGGTTTTTAGAGTCGAGGGACAACCTCCATTCGTCTTACGACTGAATCTACGGAATCATTGCTCTAGACACATAGCCCATAAAAGGGGACGTTTCTCCTTACATACAATACAAAGTCAACTATGTTGGATCATGCGTTACTTTTATAGCCACTGTGTCTTCTTGAAGCTGTGAATTATCCTATCTTGCAAATCTGTCATTGCCAGACTGACTGTCAATCATTCTCTCTTTTCCTGTCCCATTCTCTTGCCCCTGTATACACTTGGAGCAGGAAGAAATTTCAACAAGACAGACACTAAATTTTTTTTATTGAAAGCTTTTTGCTCTACAACATTGATATGTCTATATGTGAATCATCCATTCTTCATTAACATCCTCCACTATTTTATATCACCTTTGTAAAAGATATGAGCTTTTTCCCTTCATAATGGGCTCAATGTACGCCCCATTTTGCTTCCAGTGAGGAGTAGTTTCCACTTGACAGTCCTGCTGGAGCAAGATACAGGCGGTAACATTATGCAACAGCGACAGACAAGTCAGGTAGGTGTGCAAGGTAATATAATAGAAAGAACAACAACTACTTTGGGATGAGTGATGAATCTTCCTTCTTTTGACAATGGTATATGTATATACTAGGTATACCACATGATCAACTGGGAACAACAGGTGTCTCCATTGCTCTTCATCATTCACCTTGGGAGAGATATACTCCTGCAAAACATTTCAAGGAAGTGATGTCAGACTTCTCAGACACAGGCTGCTGCACTGGGATAGTATAGAAAAATAGCTGGTGTGGTGGTGCAGCAATGTCAGAGATTCAGGATCATTCCATTTGTATTTGAGGGCAGATAGAGCATCCGAATGGCAGACAACCAGAAATGCCTTTGCTCTCATCTTCAATCTTAAGGCACCTTTGGACAGAATAAATGTGGAAAGATGGTTTCCTGGGAACCTCAGTGTCTCCAGAAGGTTTCTGGGGCTGAGGTGCTGAACACTGTGAAGCTCTTTCAATATGCATCATGTATGACTTGCGGATTTTTGGCTAAATGGGGTGAGATCCGATACATCATTGCTCAATTGTTCCTTGTGAAAGTGTGTGAGGGACAGATGGCTGGAAAATAATCCAATGGCAATGAATATAAGCAAGCATATTGTAAGAAACCCTTGGATAATTACAATGACAAACCCAACAATGGTAGCAGTGATTCACCCCAGGTTGAATTGAGAGTCAAACAAGGAAGACAAAGGTACTGCAGACACCTTGCTGATTCTGACCAAGTAAACCATCAAAGCATTTATTCAAGTAGATTCAAATGGCCTAAACCAGCCAATACAGAATAGAGCAATACACTCAACTGCTAGGAGGCCAAATACTTGAGCTATTTAATAGGTCGTTTGAACCTGCTCTAACGAAGCACGCACGAATAAAATTCGTAGCCAACCCACGGCACAGACAACCACCAACGGGATTGACGGAAACGAGCAGAGAGCCAGCCAAATCTCCGGAGAAATCTTCCATCTTCGTGGATTGGAGGAGGCTGAGAAGCATGAGGTGAATTCGGATTGTGTTCACACGTCGTTCTCCACCAGGGAACAGATACTAAAATTTCCAGTCGTCGTCCTTCACACGACTTCTTCTAGACACTTGGTAGCAAGGGAAGCACCCAAAAATCCTGGTACGTATGACGAGTAGCTGATCTGGAGTAAACGTGGATCTGCCTGTCCTTGATGTGATAAAATAGGACGTAGCCCCCATCATTAAGCATATTCTGAAGAAGAACATGAGGAAAACAATGGAGCATATCCCAATGACTGTAGCCTGTCCACCTCGGGAAAGCTGGAATAGAGCAAGTGACGTGATCATGAAAAACCTGACAAACTTTGCCCGTAGGACGTCTGATGCGAGAAAGATAGTCCAATTATTTCAGGAATAAGCACATCATTCACCCTTGGTAGGATTCAGTTTATAATATCCCGCAAAAATGGCATTCATGAAGTTATCACACTTGCCACTGTCATCACCAGAATAAGAAACCAGAAAAGCCTCTTAGGCAAGCATTTGATGCCGGAATTTTTCCAGAGGCTAGAGTTCCTGCAATCCACTGTTGTCTCCAGGTTAAGGAAGCCCAGGCTTAGAGCCGTTCCGTGCCATGTAGGACCTGTGGTTGTGTGCGGACTTTCTCGCTTTGCCAACAGGAATTCGAAACGTGTCTGGAGTTTGCTCAGATCATTCACTTTTAGGGACGCGTTTTGGCTATATATCTTGGAGATATTGAAATAAACACCCCTAGTTTCGACAACTCCAGCTAACTGCGCTGCGGACCATTTTGTATCTGCTCTTTCAGGTCCAATAATTGATCAATCAAGCTTGCATCTTGTCATTGTAAAGCATACCGGAAAACCAAGCAAAATTCAACCAGAAGGTGACCAGAACGCTCGGGCAATTCATAGCCAGGGCACCAGTAAAGTATATATGATGGAGGATGGAAAATGCCACAAAGGCAGATGGTGAATGAGCATAATGTGCCCGCGTAGAGGCTGGATCTGTTCCATATATCGCCAGTGAGGTTGACAAGAGGATAGCTAGAACAACGAAGAGCTCCACGATACTGCTTACTGCAAGGGGCTGTCCGAGGGTAATGCCGTTGGTACTCGCAGCAGAGTAGCAGCCAATCTCCGGCTGAGCTGAATTTGCGAACAGTCGAAGAACAGCTGTACCCTCAAAATGTGCTATCTTCAAAGCGATCCTCGGTATAACAGAAATGTCGGACTCAGAAAGAGCGGTGACTATGTTCGACCTGATTGGAATACTCGCATTCAGGGGGCATAAACTATTGATATAAGCCATGTTAGACCCCACTATGACTTAAATAACGGCAAGGGAGGTGAGAGCCCGAATATATTCACCCTGTTGATCAGCAGTCTGCTTCCTTTGATGAGAACGAATCCTGTGTGAAGAAACCGGGCGGACCACGGGGGAGTGTATTTGAGTTGTCATGCACCCCCCTTTTCTTCAACTTTTCAAACTCCATTTTACCAACAAATCCACGCAGAAAAAAAGCGGCTCTGCATGATCTGCAGCCTAAATCCCTTCATGCAAGGACGGTCGAGGTGAGTCGTAGAAAAGGGCCGGTGATAACCATACTTGAATACTTGCCTCGCAATTCGGTTAAGGCGGGTAATCGTCCCTTGATAGAGTGATCGGCTAGCTGCCCTCTGGGGTAGTAACTGTTTGAGATTGAGCGGTTCAACGACCAAAGATGATATTTAGCACGAGAAGCAATATTAGAGTTGTTGCTCCGGTGCCAGTGCATGGTATTGTTGCCCGGCACTTGTACACCACAGGCTTGCACGATTCCTTCATTTGATTTATTTTATTCTTCTTTGTCGACCTCGTTCGTCAGCCCCTCAGTGGCGCCGATGGACAATCCTGAATCCCTAGTAATTAGCCAGAGACGTTACCGTCTAGTCTTGCTTTCCCCACAAAGATGCAACAGCTCTTCTTGAGCGTGGCCAGAGTAGCTAGCGAAGTATGGCCTCCGCCTGATGCGTAATCCGCAACAGTTACGAAGTCAGCACAGATGGCCAACCTAAGACTAAGAGAAGCCACAGCGCCCACATCCCGCAGATCTATCAAGATCGTTTCCTGCAGCGACTTCAACGTCTCCATGATCCACGGTGCCAGGCCGAAATCGAAGCGTTGGCGGTTGGCTTGTTCGAGTTTAGCTTCTCAGGGGCTAAATCCAACCGTCCACGTGCCTTTGGCCAACTCGAGCTAACCGAGCTGGAGTCTTTCCCAATTCTGCCATGAGCCCTAACTTATTATTTCTTCCTATTCTCTCCTCCGGCAGAGTTATATATGCGTTTCGATGCATTCAGGGTGCGTCTACATGCCACATTGAGCTGGTTACCGTGTCAAATGTCCCTCAACAGAGTCATGAAGCAGGCTTCCGAGAAGCAATTCAAATGCACTGTCTGTGACCGCTTGTTTACTCGTATTGACCATCTAAAACGTCATCAGCTCCGTCGTATGTGATTTTTACCTCCCCCCTTTCTCCCCCCTCCCGCAGTTTCTTCCCCTTTCCCCCAACTGTGACTGATGCCGTGACTCGCGGAGGGAATTATGCTTAAATGTAACATAGATTCTGGCATAAGACCCTATTCTTGTATATTCTGCAGCGCTGCTTTCGCTCGCTGGTGAGCTCCATCGTGTGTCTCCGCCCTTTATACAGTTTCTGATTATTTCGTCTAAAGCGATAATTTGCGCGACCATTATCATGATTGCCCCCAGCGCGGGGATCGACTTATCCCGGAGACTAGCCAAAGAGGCAGGAAGCGTCATGCTTGTGAATCTGTAAGTTCCCTTATTTTCCTAGCCTGAGAATGGCCGAATTTAGTAACGCTTTTCTTTTACAGTGCACTTCTATGAAGTTACGTTGCGATGGGGCTTGTCCATGTGGTGCGTGCCTGAAGAGAAATATTCCATGCACTCGTCAGAGTTCAAGGCCGTATGATGATAGTGAAACTCGGACCGGTATGTCATCATCCTTAATTCTGGTGTGATCAACTTCTTCATTCCTGGATGCGCTAATCACCGGCATTATACTATAATACTCTCAAATAACAGATTCAACGAAATCTGACGATTTTGATCAGACTTCTGAGCGGGGTTCAGTCAAATTCCTGCTCAATGGAGGCACGGATAGCTTTACAGAAGGCTTCCACCTCCCTTCCCGCCATGACAGAGCCCAAGTTCTTTCTTGGCCTGAGCATAATCATAATCATGTGGGAAACATGAGCCAAGCCATGAGCACGCGAGAGCCTGTGAATTTACCAGATAATGCTCACACCCATCATCCCGTTTCAGGAATTGAGAGCCAGCCTGTGGATGTGGCATTTTACAATGACGGGTTTCTTCAATTTTTTAATGGCGGATATAACACTGGCCCTCGATTCCAGCCTGACGAAACTCCAACTTCATTTGCTCACCCACCTGCGACTCCCATTCAAGGGCTTCCCCTAACATCTTCAGCAGAACCATATTTTCAACCAGAAAGCCCGTATTCGACGAACTTGATACAATCAATTCTATCAAAATCATGGGTGTTGGGATTGGATGAGATCTCGTCAATGGAACTCGCGCATGAGCTGCGATTTTTGTTAATGACCCAAAGAATCCAAAAGTTTGTCGCTCTCTATTTTCAGAGCTGGCACAATAACTGCCCAATGATACACCAGCCGAGTTTCAATCCTGAAACAACTGCTCCGACTCTGCTTGCTGCTGTCGTCCTTATGGGAGCTACTTATTCGGAGAACGCAAGCGAAAGGCTTGCGGCGAAAAAGATGTCCGATGTAATAGAGATGTTCATCTTCTCTACCGAAGTGTATTCCCAAGAATTTGAAATTGCCCAATCATATAAAGTAGCCCATGACCGAGTCGATATAAAGACAGACTGGAGGAGCTTTGAAAATTTCCAAGCGGGATATTTGATGTTTTTGATACAGTACTGGGGAGGTTCTAGGGCTGCGAGGAATCGAGTGATAGAGGTTAGGTTTGGAGAAGTGGTCAGGGTAGGTCCAACCCGACGAATATCTTGAATTCTGTTTTCAGTGCAATGAGTCAACTAACCCATGGAAAAGGTTGCACGTCAAATGCAGCTGACAAAGTGTAGGCATGGCCTTGAAGATCAAATGAGCGAATACCTTTGGCTCCAGAAAGAGTGTCGGATACGGTTGGTCGGCCTTTTGCCCCTCACTAATTGTTACTTGATGTTCTCCTAACTGATATCATCAAGGACGATGATTCTCGTATCGATGATCGACTCCGCAATGCCATTTTTCCAGAACTATCCTTCACGATTGACGAACATCGAAATCCAATGCGATTTACCTTGCCACGAATCACAATTTGCGGCTAGACATCCATTTCTGGAACCAGACTTCCGGCTCAGCCGCGAGATGACGGTATACCAGGCTTTTCAAAATTTGTTCGTGGAAAACGGGCCTGTCCGCCCCCTTTTCGTTCACTGCGGCACGAACAAATTACACCTAGGAATAATGGATATGTTTCTTCTCATCCATCGTAAGTCCTACCCCATTAAAATATCAATTACCCAAGGGAAACAAAAGCTTACATGCAAAGAAATCTACGCCCACATCCATATGATCATAAACCTTGCAATGCCACAATTTGGAAACCGAAACATCAACAAAACAGATTGCGCAACTGTTAGTGGGATTAAGGTCGCTCTTGAGCACTGGCGGTCACTATGGATCTCCCTCCGCACCGAGCTTCCCAGTACTGAGTGGGAGCGCGTGGGATTCTTCAAGGGAGCGTACAACTACTGGCTCGTAGCGCAGTTGCTCATTAGCAAAAATGCCAGCGTGGATATTCTGATGAGAATGGAGATCAACTGCGAGGACAAACTGAGCCAGCTGAAGGTCCTCCTACCAGACGACTATGATTAAGCTTTCCTTTCTCCCTATACGATTTTCTTAGTGTCATCTACGTGGCGTAAACTCGGAATTCATCTGGAGGTTAGATCTAGGACGAGATCCTTTTGTTGTTTTAGCGAGTTACCCGCCAGTTCCTTTATTGCATTACACGCCAAGCAAGCCAGGCCCCATACCGGACAGATAGGCGGGTTATAAATCTTCCTGTGTACATTGCTCTCCCTTCCCATACTTTGTACATTTTTATTCCTCTCGTTTTCGTTTTGCTTTTCAGCTCATTTAGCCCCAGTCGTTCATTTGCACAGGTTAATTCGAAAACTCCTCACCTTTTAACTAGTTTTACCCCGTCATATTTTTTCACTCTTTCCGCCTGCTTGGATACCCAGATGGATGTTGCAATCGCATTGTTATTTTTCTTTCCCGATGGTCTGTGTATATACCCGCCGCAATGCTTGTGTCTCTTGCTCCCACCATACCGCGAGATATAGATATTCATCCACTCAATGTATAAATAATACAATAATCCACCCTTCCCTCCCTTTTCATACCCCGTTCTGCGGGCGTACATTCTATTTTTCCCGCTTGTTTAGAAGAAACTCGCGCTTAAAATCCAAAATTTCTCAATCGAATTCTCCCTGCTATCCACTTCCGAATCGTGAGGTTAGGTTAAGCTCGACACTTTGTGCAGCCTAGCCTTTTATAGACTGGCGTACTCAACTTTCGGATAATAATAGATCCGACATACCCGCTGACTAATCTGGCCGTCAGAACCACCCAGAGCCGCGACCACAAGCAAAAACAATCGACGGCACGAATAAACCAGCAGCCATTCAGCTAATCCTGTTGTATACATCTGCTCAACGCTATCTTGTTCGGTACGTACCTCTACTGCTCTGCGAAGCCATATGCAAAGCGACCTTGTTGCGGCCCGCCTGCGTTGTTTGCTCGCCCCCACAAATCAGTCACCTTCCAATAGATAGTGTGTGTGCACTGTGTGCGGATGGGCTAATTAATTTCGCCGAATTTTCGTGCGCTGCTTTTTCCTGGCAAAAGACGGCTTGAACAGATTTACCATTCCTTCCTGACTCCTTCGTTCGTGCGGGTACTTGATTTTTTCTCTCCATCGCATTCAATTGCCCATCATGGATCAAGCGAAATTGGCCAGGCTCCAGCAGAGTGTGCGGATTGGTAAGTGTTGGAAAGCCCAACCTCCCCTCCCCCCATCTTTTTCCTGGGAGATACTATTGTCCGGGGAATATTAATTCTTTTTGAACGATTGGACGATCGCTGACTGCTATGGTGTTTTGTAGGGTACGTATCCTAATATTAGTTGCCGAGCTCCTCCTAGTCGCGTGACCGGGAAATGACCAGTTGATTCTTTATCTGTAAAGGGAGCAAGGTTGGGTTATATTAATTCGATGGCTAATGATTTCATGTCTTTCCTATGTATAGAGGCAAGGGTACCCCACGACGCAAGATGAAGAAGGTCCACAAGTCATCCGGAACCGATGACAAGAAGCTCCAAACGTCGTTGAAGAAGCTGAATGTGCAGCCCATCCAGGCTATTGAGGAGGTGAACATGTTCAAGGAAGACGGAAATGTCATTCACTTCGCTGCCCCTAAAGGTGCGTTTAGCGACCCCCTATTACTGGTATCTTTCGGCATTGGAATTTATATATCTAACGTTGGTTTTCTTCCCTTGCAATTTCCACAATATAGTTCACGCCTCCGTCCCCAGCAACACCTTCGCCATCTACGGCAACGGCGAAGACAAAGAGCTCACTGAGCTTGTACCTGGAATCCTCAACCAACTGGGACCCGACTCACTTGCGTCTCTCCGCAAACTGGCCGAGAGCTACCAGAGCATGCAGAAGAGGGAAGGTGAAGATGACAAGAAGGATGATGATGAGGACGATGACGATATTCCCGATCTAGTTGATGGAGAGAACTTCGAGAGCAAGGTTGAATGATTGTGGAGGACGGACATTGAACAAAAAAAACACCGCAACCTATCCTAAATACGACCTAAAGGGAATCCATTTTAACAATTTTCATAAAATTATATTTGCGTTCTCTTCTTACTCCCTTTTTGTTTTTATTATTTGGCGGTTCATTTTGGTGTCCCTGATCGAAAGCCAGAAATGATCAGAAAAGGGGAAACTGGAAAAATTGAGAATTATTTAAGGCGCCCGTGGAACAAAATAAAGCATCCCAATGAAAAACACACAGATTTAAAGAAACAGGCCCCAACTGGTGCCGCGTTGAGTTTGATGATCATTTTTCTTTACGATTTTCCCTCATTACTTTGCGCTCTCTGCCTATGACCCCTGATCTCTACTTCCTGTGCACAAGCATAGCCATGTGCTATGCGCAACATAGGCAAAGTAGCGTGCCTTGTAAGTCCTGGTTTATATCTCTCAACATACAAGCATCCATTGATCCTCATACCATGACGTCGCTTGCCACATTTACCCCTCATGGTTCATTACATGCTGCAGGGCATGAAATTCGACCCCCTATTTCAGAGGGCTGGGTGAAGGAAGACAAGAGTTGACTGACTACATTGGCGGTTTGTGCGCGAAAATAGCCTCCGCAGATGAACGGATTTTAGCGTTGGAATTCTATATGCTTCACACTAAGCAGGGTTAAATGTTTTGTATGCCTTTTTCTAATGATACTTTGTGTTGTTGTATCGATATCTCTCATTCGGTTCCTATCTGATCCAAAAAACCAACCTTGGTTGCCAACTAGAGATGCATTGGCAATCACAAGAAGGGGAAGAGTTACGGGAAGGGCTCCATCAACAGAGAAAAGGGAGACAAAATAAAACTTGGCGCTCAACGCAAGGCATTTATTTCTCTCTATGGATATGAGTCTTCAGGTACAGTAGTTCCAAGAGGACATCCAGTCATAAAGGGGGAATAAAACCGAGAGAAATTGCTTAAATAGGAGAGTAAAATAAATACATTAAGCAGTGGCAACATCTAGTGAATCATGTCGAAAGAAATGCCAGGCTCTGCTCTTCACCCGCCAGATCTCGGGGGAGAAGGGTCAAAGACGCAGGAGGGCGAAACGCGACAGGTGATGAAATAGGTACCTGCGAAATTTCGAACGCCATACATGACCCTTGTGTGACAAAACACTAAAACCTAGTAAGCTCATAAACGCACGAAGATAAAAAGGTATGGCAAAGGAAGATGTGTTTGTCATTGCACAAGTAAATATAACATATCGGGGGAAATATATCCCATGCTGGTAGACAAACGGCAAGGCGGAAACGATGGATATCAAAGCGCTTTAGTACTGTGTCATTTCAGATCGATAACAAAGCTCAAGTATGAAGTGTGTTCATTACTTTGGAGTGTATAAATACAGGGCCTTGCCAATGCAGCCGTAAGTTTATGTTCTGTGGTGCGAGTGATCACACATTTCCACGACCCTTGCTAAGCCATACCACGACCATTGCAGACGACCTTGGTCGCCATGAAACGTCGTCGTTCGAAGGGAGACATAACGGCTATCCAAAGCAGGGTCGAGAGGAATATGCAGCCGGATGTTGCATTTTGAGAGGCAACGCAGTAAGCGCGTCGTTGATGGTGATATGTATAAAGGCGACAGGTTGATATGGCAGTTGCGGGGTCAGGATTCTTCCTTCAGGGCGCACAAGTCAGTTCCAAGCAGCCTGTCTATCATGTACCAGAAGCGCCAGTAAGCGTTTGATTTGTCATGATCGAACGTTCCATCTTCGCCAAGTACAGGCCCATCACCAACGATGTCCCCAGTAAACCAGCTTAAAATTGGAATAGACCGAAGGATCCGTTCAATGACAGTTGGTTGGGGAGGTAGCGCTTCAGAGATTGGCCGTAAAACGGCACGACGAACTGTGGGAATATGGGTCATACATTCGGATTCAGGTTTTCGTGGAGGTTCGGATTGGGACTGCAATTGAGTTTGAGTTTGGCGCTGGCGCAGAGTGCTCCCTGAGCCTAAATCAGTGGCTGTCGCAGAGCTGGCAGTTACAGTGGATCCCTGAGAAGCAACAGAGTCATCTATAGTTCCGTCCGTCGAGATTGTATTGGTAATGAAGGAGCGAGGAAGGGTAGATCTGTCGAGATCAGATGGTTTTTGAAGGAATATGTTGGACTGAGACAGAGTTAAAGTATGTGGCTTCAGTTGCAGTCGAATAGATTCGGCAGAGTCTTTGGGAATCGGAGCATCATGTTGTGGACCCTGACCATGGTATGGTTCACAGAATACTAGGAAACCGTCTATATCTTGCGGGGAGAAGAAGCAGGCACGATCAGCGGCAACGGCTGAGTCAAATGTGACCTTTATCCAGTGATCTCCTCCAGCATATCGTTTCGCTTTCTTATTGGCATCAGCTGATAAAGTCGGGTGAATAACGACGTCACGACCGCTTAGTAGCTGGGGATATTTTGGTGTCAAATCAGGGTCGGTTCTGGAATAATCCTCGCATATCATGCCGTGAGATATTCGCTCGAATTTGTCAATGACTTTCCATTCAGAATCTTTGGTCTTGTAGCCATAAAGGACGCACTCCGTAGCAACTTTTTCAATAGACTTTCGGGGTGGATCGTTACAATTATTGGTAGTGGACGGAGGTAGGTGCTTTAATTGAGCCTGTTCTTGTTCCTGTTGCTGCGCGAAAAGCTTGCTGAACTCTGCCACGTTTGGGTTTTCTTTTCTGGCTGGAGTCCCCGTTCGAGTTCCCGATCGAGTAGAGTTGTAACGCGCATTCCGCCTCTTTCCAAAAGGACCACTCTCTTCTGGGGGCCGTCGTGGATTCCGCGACTCGCTAATAGATAGGTTAGTTTTGGTAGGGAAGCGGCGGGCATTGTAAACGAGGAGTAACAAAGATGGTGACAGCATCCAACAAAGCGAGAGTGAGGTGAAAGTGAATAATAATACATATATAATAATACATAAAACATAGCAGCAAAAAGAGAATAAAGCAGACGGATGTGGGGAGAATATCTTACTCTTTGTAAACATATCCCCAAGGGAGAATATTTCCTTTCTCGTCTCTGGCGCGTTCCTCTAAAGGAACAGCGTGGTACTCCATAGCAACGGTAAGCTCTCAGAAGTACACAATACGAACGGGCATAATAGCGGCGGCGATCAGCAACCGCTGGACTTAAGTACGATGAGAGCGGTGTTGATTTGCACAGCGGCGGCCTGTTTGTTCTGGTTGAGCTCTTTTTCAGGACGCAAAAGTTTGAAGCTGTATTTAAAACAATAACTACATATCACGTGTTTGACCAGTCACGTGTATCATCCGCCAAGCGAATCTATATCGATTGACACGACTTATCTCAGCATGCTCAGCCTCTCTTCTCGATATTTTCGGATTAGCGCGACCAACTAAACTCCTTTAGACTTCTGCCAAGTCCTGCTAACTTCTGGACCAATAAGAGACTTCACACATGCTCATAACCTAATATCTCATAGAGAGTCTGAGAAGAAACAGTTTCATTATATGTGAAAAATCAACTTCACTCATATAAAATATTCAATTGACTTTGAAATCATACATCTATTCTAAATATCTGCCTGATTATTATCAAACTGATATTTTTCAAATTCTCAGTCATTCTGCTATTATCTCTGCTATTTTACAACTTACTACTTCTTCTCATTATATCACAATCATTGATAAAAGACAGTGTGTCTTTTGAATCTCAAGACACTCAATATCAGACATACTTCAGTTAATATTCTTTATCACTTAAAGATGAATTCTCTCTACAATCACTACAGTCTCTCAACAATGTAGATGATGAATATAACATATTAGACAGTGACTTAATAGAGCTTAAATCTATTGATACTTCTTCAGAATTTGAGATCACTGATACTGATATCAATACTCTGTGAGCTTGTTCACAATCAAACTGCTATGGCTTACAGCACCTGTCTACAATGTCTTATAACTGACAGAAAAGATGATTGAAATTATCTCATATTATCAGAATATTACAGTAAAACAGTTGAGAAATGAAGATCTTTATAGAGACTTAGATTCAGAGTTCTGATATCTTGACTTATCAATAATACAGTACTTCTACAAAGCAGTGAAATACACTATATTCAGCACTTTTCAAAGCAGGAATATTCAATGATAATCAACATTATACTGTCTTACTTAAATAGAAGCTGAAATATCTTATTAACACTCTCTTCTTTATAAAATTCAATCATGATTCTGATCTGAATATTATTGACTTTCAGACTGCTTTTGAGATTATTCAGACTGATGCACTAATCTGGTTTGATCTACTTACTTCTGTTCTAAAAAATAAACATGTCAATCAAAAGAGCTATGAATGAGACTCAGATGAAATAACAGCTATCAAATAACTGTTTATTATTATGAGTATTATATATCACTCTTATTTCTTGAAAAACTTAAACTTCTTCAGCTCTATTCTCTCTGCATATTTTCATAACTCAGAAGTAAAACAATGAGTGATAGAAATCATTTCTGACTTTGAACTCTGTCACAGCTATGTGATGAGAAATAGATTGATAATGAAAATTACTAAATGAGAGAAGATATGACTTAATATTCTTAACTTATTAATATTTCTATCTAACATCTCAAACTTCTAGTAATCTCTGATAACATCTGTTATGAACTTCTCAAAGTGAATATTCTGATTCACTTCAGACACTCAAGATGTGAAATGCTGAATGATATCATTGATGAAAGAGATATCAGTATTATTGACATTCTACCTGTTATTCTGACAGATCTGAAGAAGTATTGATCAGAAATATTACACTGCTTATTGAATCTTAACATGACTGTCAATAAAGACAATAATCTTTAAAATGTGTTAAGATATGATCTTTCCATTTATATCAATGACCTCATTCAATAAAAAATATAACATATCATAGAATACAAGTTTACTGTGTGAAATCAGATGTATGCTGATAAAGATATCAGAATGATTAATAAAAGTTCAAATAATCTGAGTCTGCTGTGAGTTTATATCAATAGAATGAAATTCAGTCTCTTGAAGAATGATATTCTTAGCTTTACTGCTGAGAGTTGTAGAACAGTCAAATCAGATAATATTCTCATGAAGAAGCAATCTCAGATATCTCAGTCTGATAAACTGACTACAGAATTGACTTCACTGTGTGATAAGATAACACTTATTGATAGCTACAAGCTCAATCTTTTCTTGTAAAGTAGAGTCTTGAAGAACATGCTGAAATTACTTACAAAGAGCTTGCTCTGAACTGAGCAGTATATATATATACTCACTCTGTTAAATGTGTTTAAGTAAGTCTTCTTATCTCTGAAGATTATCAGCACTGATCAGACAAGAATTGATATCAGAAAACTGTGTTATATCTCTTATTTACTGATTATCAAGCTTGTTTAGAGAAATCAGTTGAATGATTATCTTTTCTGTCAGAATTATATAGAATTGAAGAATAAGACTCTTTTCATAGCTAGTTCTGACAATGAATAAAGTGTCACTATATTTATATATCATATGCTAAAGTATACAGACTTATTCTATACATGACTGAAGAGTACACTCAGAATCTGAATACAGGTCTTAAAGTATTCATTGAAGATAATACTGAATAACATTCTATTGCTTATTAATACTATCTGATTCAGCATAGCTTATAACAAGTTATGACATATCTTCAATGTTCATTGAAAGTATTTACTTTAATAATGACTTTTGAAGCTATTATTATAGCTGACTTATACATTTTCTTCAATTCTTCTTAATCATATTTGTGTAAGAAATCCCGCTCCTCGCGGATCCTTTACCTCTATTCCTATCTCTCGCGTAATCAATAGGGCTAGCGGCCCTTGACTACACACAACTATATAGACTGGAGTTCGCGAATACTATTTACAACTCAGCTTGAATACTATTATACATTTAATCTCTACATTTATCTTTCTACTGTGAACACTTCTAGTAGTTAACAGTACATATCACATCAAGCTGCAAACACCTGAATAATCACCTGTGAGCACTTATTCTTACATTTCAAGCTCAGTCAGTCAGCAATCACCTGTTATGACTGAAAGAACTAGAAACTCATATGCTTCAATCTCTGTGAACCCTACTACAGACACTCAGAAGCAGTCATCTGAATCATGAATAATTCTCATGAAAGAAGTCTCAGAGAACTTATCAATCACTTATGAGACATCATTCTCTGCATCTGTAACAGAGAAATTCTTTGAACTCATAAATAAATTAATCTCAGTGAAGAACATTCTTAAGTATCTTCTGTGAGATCAAGCTATTTTTCTATAAGAAATACTTACTGTCTGTAAACACTCTCAAACTGAGTCTCTAGACATGATCTTCAGAGACACTTACAAACTGAAAAGAAACTTTCTCAAGCTGTAATCACTTAAGGTCATCTATTGAACTACAATCTATAAAAGCTTTTGCAAGTTTGTATTTGAAATTGACTTACAAGCTCAGCTGTGTGACATGAAAGATGAAGAAGCTGTTATCTATGTGATAATAGATCTCTATTACACTGAAGTCAAGAACTAGCTGAATTATCTAGAGAATGATCATGAGAGATTCTGATAATCTGTTCTCAAGACCTATCTAGAGAATAAGTTGAGAGACTCTGTAAGCTGAACAGAGAACACCTGGACTGTGATTATTAACATTAGAAAAAGAGGTGAGAAATCTGATGAAGACTACTCACAGTGCTTTATAAAATTGTGATATGAATTGAGACCTGTGAAAACAGAGCTCTGAAACAAGACCTGAATAATGATGTTTGTGAAGAGACTGAATAAAGATATGCAGAACAAGCTCATTAAGCAAGACTCTAAGCTCTTGACTCTGAAGAAACTGATGACTTTCATTCATCACTTGTAAATCACTGTGAGAGTTACAGATCTGCAGAGAGCAGATCATCAATCAGCCCTGTAAGAGTCAGAACAATAGAGAACAGATTTATCAGAAAAAGATGACAAGACATAGAGAGATTCATGTCTGACTGCTGAGCAGAGAGAGAGAGCTTCACAAGCTCTTATAAACAGAGTGTATAACAGAGAGATTAAGAAAAAGAGACTCTGCTTCATCTGTTCTAAATCAGAATATCTTCACACAAACTGTCTGAATAAATCAAAATAGAAATTTAAGAAGTCATAGACAGAGTCAGCAACAGCCTTCTTAAGAGTCTTAAAGCTGACACCTGAATCTGTTGCTCTCTCAATGAAAATGCTTACTTATGAGAAGAGACTGTATCACAGTACTGCTGTCTCACAAGCATGAGAAGCATTGATGAACTCAGAATCTCAGATCACTGTGATGTTTCTAAAGCTTATGAAGTGAATAAGTTGAAAGATGAAGACTGAGAACCTGCTCTTGTAATAAGCAGAGTATGAGAACTTAGACCTGAGAGCTGAGAAACTTGCAAGAGTCATCTTTGAATTGCAAGATCTCTCTGAAATCTGAAGAAGATTTGTAGAAACTATGATTATCACAGACATCACAGATGACATGTATTTAAAACTTATATGACTTTAAAGACATAATTCACACATAGCTGTCTGTGAGTCAGGTTTATACTTCTGATCAGTGTTGACAGACTCACTTACAGAGATAGAAGCAGTTAATGCTGCAGAGTTGATTAGAGAAGATAAGCTCATCTATATAATGACTTTGTAAGTGTCTGAGAATCTCACAGTCATGAAAACTGAGCTTCAGATATTAGAGAAATATCAAGATCTCACAGAGGTGTTCAGCTCAGTTAAAGCAGCTGAGCTTTCTTCTCATCATGAGAAGAATCTGATAATAGATTTGATAGAAGAGTAGAAACTCTTCTGAAAATCAATCTATAAGCTCTCTCATCATAAGACAGAGATCTTACAGATCTATGTGAAGAAGAATCTGAAGAATGACTTCATCTGATCTTCACAGATCTCTGCAGAAGTCTCTGTGATATTCATAAAGAAGAAGAATGAAAATCTCAGATTGTGTGTAGACTACTGTGATCTGAACTTTAAGATAACAAAGAGTCACTACTCTCTGTCTCTGATTGAGAATGTGATTAACTGTCTCATAGAAGCTGTTATATTCACACAACTGAATGTGATCAATGCATATACACAGCTGTAAATACAGTCTGAGAATGAATAGAAGACTGTCTTTAGAACTGCACTGAGATTATTTGAATATCTAGTAATGTCTTTTAATCTGACTAATATCTCTGTGATATTTCAGTCTTTCATCAACAAAACACTTCATGTATATCTGAATGTCTTTGTGATAATATATCTAGATAATGTGGTG